GAGACAAATTTTGTTTTCAGTGTATAGACACTTGCCCAGGTTTTTGACATGAAGTCAAACATCTCCGTTAATAAGAAGGGGGCGTACGCCTCTAGAAAACTAATGCAAATCCTAAATTAATTAACTTCTGGTAATTATCGTCAGAATCAATTACGTTATTCGATAATTTCGTGCAAATATACGCAAATAAATCTAATGACGGCGATCTACTTGAAATAAGTGCTTTAGGAAGCAGGAGCTGTTGGAAACACAAATTCTAAAACGGATGTTTCCTGTAATAATCATGTCCATATTTCAAATATGTTTACATCAGTAGCATGTTTGGAATCGTTGTGTAAACTGTGAATTATATAAATTTACGGAAAATTCAGTGTATGAAATTAATTTAGTCTTTCGCCAAGCATGCTATGAAACAATTTAGTAATTGATTAACATATTCCAACGAGGGTTTAATTCTTTAAATGAGGGTATAGAATAACTGAAACAAAGTAGGCGGGTTCAGCTACGTTTCCTTGCAAATGTTAGCTTTGTTGCAACCAACCATGGAACTGATTCTATAACTGGCAGTTCTCTGAACCAACAAATTCCGTACTGATTCCTAACCGGTTCTGGCCTGGTTCTAACAGTTCTAGTTCTGAGAGAGATTTAAAAGTTCGAATGGCGACAATCGTTCATATACTAAGTGACATATAAATCCGAACACCCAGTTTAAATGGTTTTATTTTAATAAAAGTTGGTGAATGTATTTATCTTACTGTAAATAACAAGTGAAAAAATTTTCAGCCTTATCAGTTGAACGTTCCGGTTTTTATACTGCTTTTTTTTAATTCACTAACGCTCTAAAAATGAATATTTCAGCCGCAGTAAAGAATCAACGTTGGCGGATTTTGGTTCTTGACATCCTTTACGATCGGTTACGATGCCTAGAGTACGGAGACCTGTACGATTTCGTCAACTTAGTGAGTTTGATAGGGGCCGTATAGTGGGACTTCGGGAAGCTGGACTTTCTTTTCGGGCAATTGCAGTTAGAGTGCAAAGAAGTGTAGACACTGTGGTTAGGTGTTGTCAGGCATGGCTTCGAGAAGGCCGTACGCAAAGAGCAAGGGGCACTGGACGCCGCCGTAGAACAACAGACCGTGAAGATCGCCGCCTAGGATTATTGGCCTTAAGGGACCGTTTCTCCACTACCAGGTCCATTGCAAATGAATGGTTTGCAGAACACGGAATACCTATTGGCATGCGAAGTGTTTACCGACGAATGAGAAGTTTTGGCTTGTTTTCATACCGGCCACACTGGGTCCTCCCTTTAACTAGAGAACACCGACGTAATCGCCTTGAGTGGTGCAGACAACGGTCACTCTGGGATCAGGAATGGAACAGTATTGTCTTTAGTGACGAGTCTCGATTTTGTTTAGGCATGCACGATGGTCGTGCCAGGGTTAGAAGGCGACGTGGTGAAAGGAGGAATCCACAGTTTTTTGTTGAAAGACATGTTCATCACACTGTTGGAGTTATGGTTTGGGGTGCTATAGGCTATGGTTCCAGGTCACCTTTAATCTTCATCAGAGGTAACATGAACGCGCAGCGTTATATCCACGAAGTTCTAGAACCCCATCTTTTACCCTATCTTGACACCCTGGCAGATCCAACTTTCCAACAAGATAATGCCCGACCACATGTTGCAAGAGTCACAATAGACTTCTTTCAACATAATGATGTCACATTGTTACCATGGCCACCAAGATTTCCCGACTTATACCCAATTGAGCACGTGTGGGATATGATGGGTAGGAGATTGCCCAATTTGCAACGTCCTCCTCAGACTCTAGAAACACTTCGAGAGGAGTTGGTGGTTGCCTGGAATGAGATACCACAGGAGGACATTGACCACCTGATCAGAAGCATGCCTAGGCGCGTTGGAGAATGCGTAGCACATCAGGGTGCATCCACACATTATTAAAGGTCAAAGGGCTTTAAAGCAGTACAATCATTTTGAAATTTTTATCATTTACTTATTATGCTTCATTAAGTACTTATACAAAATTTTATTAAAATAAAACCAATTAAACTGGGTGTTCGGATTTATATGTCACTTAGTATAGTTCGGAACTAGTTCTGAACCTGTTTAGAACTGCTTGTTGGAAAAAACCTGTATTCTCCCTCTATTTCTCTCTCTCTCTCTGCCTCTCTCTCTGCATCTCTCTCTCTCTAAAGACGAAGTTAAGATTTCCCTAGGGGCATCTTCCTAAGCTCAGAATTGACCTTCATTCATGTTTACAGCTATATATGTGCCAATCACCATCTTTTGATGCCAGCGTTGCCAAATCTCACAACATTTTTTTGAGCAGGGGGAAGCTTATGTAGCCACTCCCAGGAAGAAAAGCTCGAAAGCATTGACCTGTCGGACTTTCCTGGGCGAAGTGTGAGATTCTTCAGAAGCGGCATATTCACTAGAAACCCCCTCAGTCTTTCGCCTCACATTCCACCACGGTAATTCTTACAACCTTTGTTCATACTGGGTAGCGTTGCGCTGGGTTTACATACCAAACAAACATACATTCATACCTATGCACATGTACAGCCGAGCAAGTATAAACCTACTATTGATGCCTTAGACTATTTTTGTCCTCCTGTACATTGCTGAGCAAAATTGTCAGCAGTGAGCTTCTTGCCGAGCGGTATTTCCAACTGTCTCTAGCAGTCACCCCATCAACTACATTCGAGTAGATGGTTAGGAGTATCCTCCTCTTCGTTACAAATACGCAGTTCGCGTGCTCTGTTTTTCCTACTCTCTTCAGGTAGCTGTCCAAGCAACCATGTACTGTGAGGAACTATGCAGTATAGTAATCCATCCGCACCGATCCCTTGCCAATCCAAGTTTTAACATATACTAAGTGACATATAAATCCGAACACCCAGTTTAAATGGTTTTATTTTAATAAAATTTTGTATAATTACTTAATGAAACATAATAAGTAAATGATAAAAATTTCAAAATGATTGCACTGCTTTAAAGCCCTTTGACCTTTAATAATGTGTGGATGCACCCAGATGTGCTACGCATTCTCCAACGCGCCTAGGCATGCTTCTGATCAGGTGGTCAATGTCCTCCTGTGGTATCTCATTCCAGGCAACCACCAACTCCTCTCGAAGTGCTTCTAGAGTCTGAGGAGGACGTTGCAAATTGAGCAATCTCCTACCCATGATATCCCGCACGTGCTCAATTGGGGATAATTCGGAAGATCTTGGTGGCCATGGTAACAATGTGACATCATTATGTTGAAAGAAGTCTATTGTGACTCTTGCAACATGTGGTCGGGCATTATCTTGTTGGAAAGTTGGATCTGCCAGGGTGTCAAGATAGGGTAAAAGATGGGATTCTAGAACTTCGTGGATATAACGCTGCGCGTTCATGTTACCTCTGATGAAGATTAAAGGTGACCTGGAACCATAAGCTATAGCACCCCAAACCATAACTCCAACAGTGTGATGAACATGTCTTTCAACAAAAAACTGTGGATTCCTCCTTTCACCACGTCGCCTTCTAACCCTGGCACGACCATCGTGCATGCCTAAACAAAATCGAGACTCGTCACTAAAGACAATACTGTTCCATTCCTGATCCCAGAGTGACCGTTGTCTGCACCACTCAAGGCGATTACTTCGGTGTTCTCGAGTTAAAGGGAGGACCCAGTGTGGCCGGTATGAAAACAAGCCAAAACTTCTCATTCATCGGTAAACACTTCGCATGCCAATAGGTCCTCCGTGTTCTGCAAACCATTCATTTGCAATGGACCTGGTAGTGGAGAAACGGTCCCTTAAGGCCAATAATCTTAGGCGGCGATCTTCACGGTCTGTTGTTCTACGGCGGCGTCCAGTGCCCCTTGCTCTTTGCGTACGGCCTTCTCGAAGCCATGCCTGACAACACCTAACCACAGTGTCTACACTTCTTTGCACTCTAACTGCAATTGCCCGAAAAGAAAGTCCAGCTTCCCGAAGTCCCACTATACGGCCCCTATCAAACTCACTAAGTTGACGAAATCGTACAGGTCTCCGTACTCTAGGCATCGTAAGCGATCGTAAAGGATGTCAAGAACCAAAATCCGCCAACGTTGATTCTTTACTGCGGCTGAAATATTCATTTTTAGAGCGTTAGTGAATTAAAAAAAAAGCAATATAAAAACCGGAATGTCCAACTGATAAGGCTGAAAATTTTTTCACTTGTTATTTACAGTAAGATAAATACATTCACCAACTTTTATTAAAATAAAACCATTTAAACTGGGTGTTCGGATTTATATGTCGCTTAGTATATAAGAGCAGCCTTCTAGTCCATGCACCTTTTATAGAGCGCTCATCTCGGCCAGCAAATCAATTGGCGGGATACCAGCCGCCACCAGCAGTGCAATGAACGACACCGTTCTGTGAGCACATAACATGCGCAGCACTATTTTTCGCTGGCTTCTAAGCATTCGTAGTCTATTTTTATTTATAAATAACTAAAAACATAAACTCGCAAAATCCTTTCTGATCTAACTTCACAAAAATGGACCGTTCTTGATTCAGATCACCCACAATACAGATTAAACCTTATTAACACGTTCTTATCAGTATGAAAAAACAAAAAATTACTGGTATTTTCTTTTCGTCAGTTGTTTGATACAACATTTTCTACAATAAATTATTGCGTGTTCTAATATCACGACGATGAATGCAAAATACAGATATTTATTTTTCAATTTATTATTGAAACTCAGGTTTATAACTTAATTTCTGTAGGACTTTTATTACATTTTTTTTTTTCGATAAATCAACCCCTTTCGTAACAGTGCATACAATTATGTGGTTAAAAATTAATTAAGATCCTGTATTTCTATCTCAAGGCCTTGTTATAGAGTTACTTCTACTTGGCAACATAGCTGTGACGTCTAGATACAGCATAGAGTTGCGCTTGGCTTAAGAGAATTCTCTAATCAATGCTCATACTAAAGAGAGTTGGTCGAATTTGTAAATTGCAGGCAAATATTAACACAGCTTTTCAATCATTAAATTTATGGTTATACGACAACAATTTAATATAATTAATAGCTTCCATCGTGTATTCATGTGATTGGTCGTTCATTTCAACAGGACGTGCATTAAAAATAACAGAAATATACGTGTAAATGAATCTATAATTCGATATCAACGGTGTGGCTATTTCATTTCGTTTTTTAAGCCAGAGTTGTCCGGTAAAAACGTTAGAAATGAATCCATTTGTGACGATAAGTCTTTTGGTTTTAGTTTTACCTAGCTATCTGTTTTTGCTCGTGCTTGGATCTCACGTAAGTTACATTGCTATACTGATGTGAACGATCTCTGATCGAGTTATTCTCTAGAGTCATGAAGATACAGTCGTCTTGCGCATCTCATGTAAATGGTCACGGAATCAGCAGATAATCAATCACCTCTAACTTGTTTTCAGTTAAATATCAAAGATCTGCCTGGTTATGAAAAATGTTTGTCATCAAGCGGCTTGGAAGAGAAGGACCTGGAAACTGCGAATAACTCCAAAGAAATGAAGTGTTTTGATAAATGTCTGTTAGTTGAACAAGGTGTAAGTATATTATCTCTTATCGAAATAAGGCAGCACAAAGTGCCATCTAATATCAGAATCGACCTCTGCGAGATTAAACACCAGCTATACTAAGTGACACATAAATCCGAACACCCAGTTTAAATGGTTTTATTTTAATGAAATTTTGTATAAGTACTTAATGAAGCATAATAAGTAAATGATAAAAATTTCAAAATGATTGCACTGCTTTAAAGCCCTTTAATAATGTGTGGATGCACCTTGATGTGCTACGCATTCTCCAACGCGCCTAGGCATGCTTCTGATCAGGTGGTCAATGTCCTCCTGTGGTATCTCATTCCAGGCAACCACCAACTCCTCTCGAAGTGCTTCTAGAGTCTGAGGAGGACGTTGCAAATTGAGCAATCTCCTACCCATCATATCCCACACGTGCTCAATTGGGGATAAGTCGGGAGATCTTGGTGGCTATGGTAACAATGTGACATCATTATGTTGAAAGAAGTCTATTGTGACTCTTGCAACATGAGGTCGGGCATTATCTTGTTGGAAAGTTGGATCTGCCAGGGTGTCAAGATATGGTAAAAGATGGGGTTCTAGAACCTCGTGGATATAACGCTGCGCGTTCATGTTACCTCTGATGAAGATTAAAGGTGACCTGGAACCATAAGCTATAGCACCCCAAACCATAACTCCAACAGTGTGATGAACATGTCTTTCAACAAAAAACTGTGGAATCCTCCTTTCACCACGTCGTCTTCTAACCCTGGCACGACCATCGTGCATGCCTAAACAAAATCGAGACTCGTCACTAAAGACAATACTGTTCCATTCCTGATCCCAGAGTGACCGATGTCTGCACCACTCAAGGCGATTACGTCGGTGTTCTCGAGTTAAAGGGAGGACCCAGTGTGGCCGGTATGAAAACAAGCCAAAACTTCTCATTCGTCGGTAAACACTTCGCATGCCAATAGGTCTTCCGTGTTCTGCAAACCATTCATTTGCAATGGACCTGGTAGTGGAGAAACGGTCCGTTAAGGCCAATAATCATCACGGTCTGTTGTTCCACGGCGGCGTCCAGTGCCCCTTGCTCTTTGCGTACGGCCTTCTCGAAGCCATGCCTGACAACACCTAACCACAGTGTCTACACTTCTTTGCACTCTAACTGCAATTGCCCGAAAAGAAAGTCCAGCTTCCCGAAGTCCCACTATACGGCCCCTATCAAACTCACTAAGTTGACGAAATCGTACAGGTGTCCGTACTCTAGGCATCGTAACCGATCGTAAAGGATGTCAAGATGTTGATTCTTTACTGCGGCTGAAATATTCATTTTTAGAGCGTTAGTGAATTAAAAAAAAAAAGCAGTATAAAAACCGGAATGTCCAACTGATAAGACTGAAAATTTTTTCACTTGTTATTTACAGTAAGATAAATACATTCACCAACTTTTATTAAAATAAAACCATTTAAACTGGGTGTTCGAATTTATATGTCACTTAGTATATTTGTGGGAACTATAAAATGGCATCAAGTAGGTTGACTACTCGTATACACTTCCCACGCAACGACGTCCTCAGTTCGTAACGTTCAGCACAAGTTATAGCCTATCTAAATGAGACCTTGTATCAAACAGATACATACTATTAGTCCATAGCATTCTATCCCTGGATTATCACTAGTGCCGTTCATCGTCGCGTCGCCCGTCCCCTATATCTGAAAGCATCAGGCGGCAGAGCGCATAGCGCCCACAGAGCGACAGTGATGCAGGACGTACACGAACACAGGCTCGCCGGCCACGGCCGTTAGTCAGCAGAAGCAGGGAGGCTTGTCGAAAACAATCTACTATATCGCCAGAATCGATGGTAACTATCAGTCACAGCGGTGACTCGGCTCTCAAACTCTTGCGGTGGTCGATCATGATAATAAATGGCACTTTATGCTGTCTTATTTTGATAAACTCTTCGAATAGAAGATTGTTGATCTGCCCTACCTGAGACATAGACTAGGCCGTGCTGATGATTGCCGAAAAATTGACTTTGTACTTAATATGACATGTTCGTGAACATTCTACTAGGTCCATGTTGTTCTTCTATAAAGTTTTGAGGTTTCCGGTGGGAAAATTTTTAGAAACTCCTTGCGCATATATGTGATCTGAAACTACTCGTGTCCTGTTTAAATTTGATGCAAAGATTCTATCAAATATCCAGAAAAACTAACATAGTGTAACGAAAACATCGTTTTTACTGCTTAAGGCGGCTCCGACGCAGTGAGTTTCAGGCCATTTACAAGGGTTTAGCTGCTTCAGAATTGACGCTCCATTTTTCTATATATTTGAATAAAATTTATACAGTATGTTCAGAAGACAATTGTCCAGGGCGCTATAGAGCCACTTTTCTAAAAAAAAATTTTTTTCAGGAGTTATGGTGGGTGGAAGTGCAAATAATTGTTGTTCGACTTGTCGATTTTTTTAAAAATAACCCAGAGGAAAAAACGAAAAAGTGGCTCTATAGCACCCTGTGGAGTCTTGTTTTTAGTGCACTGTGAAAATTTCATTGGAAAATATTCAAAAATGAAGCGTGAATTTTGAAGCGCGAAAACCTCTGCAAATAGGCTTTTACACGAATTTTATCCACTATCTCGTGCTGCCAGTCGAAGCAACGCGGCGGTGTGTACGGACTAAGAAAGGACGTATTCAGATAATTTGTTGTCCCAAGTTAAACAGTAGCAGTTTTGACGTCGGTCGTTCGAGATAAACATCGGACCAGTAAGTGACATTTTTAATAGACTGCAATGAAAGAGGGGAAATTTATAATCGATTTTGATCATTTCTTTTTATACAATAGGCCATGCTTCAGAGGTGATACCACAAAAAATCATTTTTGTTCAATCACCCCAATATGGATATCAAACGGAAGCACTTATACAAAACAGTAATACGAAAACAGTTTCAGATCAAGATGGCGGCCGTCACAAAATGGCGGATAACATACTTGCTAATATCTCAAATAAGAGTCGTTGCCTTGTAGAATACAGTACTTCACTAAAAATTTGATTCCAAGATTGCAGCCGTTTCGAAATTGCGGGTTACATATTTTTGTACAAAACCCCCAATTTACATATCAAATGAAAAGACTTGACATGTGCGGTAAAATACAGAACTTTGTGACCAAAAGTTTCCAGGTGGTTCCAGGGTCATTGGAGGGGGTAATCTTTTTAGTTAAAAATAATAATTATAGTGAACGCATTTAACACAAATAAAATGTCACTTGCTGTTTAGCTTTAACCTTATAAAGTATCGTAAAATAAACTTAACACGATAAGCGTCATGAGATATAATGCGTGTGTCGCACCTCATTTGGCGCTTTGGGCCTCGTGACACACATGATATGTCCCATTGCTGGCAGTTATATTTGGCCGCGTAACGTAAGACGTGTGCCATGCTGATGTGATTTTCTTACGGGAACCAAGAGTCCGTGGCCTGAGGGAGCAAATTATAATGAATTGGAAATGAAAACATTAAAAACCAAGTTGTTTATAGAGTTTTACAAAAAGAGGATATTCTACAAATCTAAAACAAAAAGCAAATCTTATAAAATACTCAAACATTCTCATTCAAAAATGAACAAAGTAATTTCACAGCAAATCAGTAAGTTATGGTAAATGTCGATATTCTAACGAACACAAATATGGAGGAACTCTTATAAACTAAACAGATTTACAAAGTCTTATGCAGGAATAAACAAAATAACGGTATAAATAAACAGTAATACAGATAATAATGGAATTACTACAACTACTATCTGATTCACTACTACTTGGAGAATACGCATCAGATAAGTATACATCCCCACATAACTCAGTACTGCCACTCTCTTCATCCCATAGTATTTCATTACACAATTGTTCAAGCCTTTTTTGCTCCGCTTCGTAATGCGACATCACTAAATTTGGTATTCAATAGTTTATAAACAGTAAAGCAATTTGGACAAGATGACGTACAATACCAACAACGCTTCAATAATAAATGACACGAAACAGTGCTCAACGCGCGACATGATGCAAGTCTTGACTTGCAAAAAACGCAACGCGACTTATGTGCCACGCGACCCGACTGGTCTGTGGGCCACGCGACATACAACTAGTACCTCAGAAACAAAAATCAAAAAAGGGGAAAAATCATAGGATTTGAGAAAAAAGTCAAGTAAAAATATTAAACCGAAACTTAAAACAAGCTAATTTGACAATAATAACAGTTTGGCCCACTGGACTGGATTTTCAGATTCTACTGTGGCGCTTAACGTGTCAATGTGACATTTCAATATTCGCCATCTAACAGACTAGATAAAGCTAGCCGATGCTACGTGCTATTGAGCCTGATGATCGACTTTTATTTAAATAAACAATATATACAAAATATACAATAAATAGTGAACATCTGGTACTAGTACCAAAATGGAAGATATTAGCATAACATCTCGCACATCGCTGCTAATGCGAGATCTGCACACCGCATTTGCCGACACGAAGGGGTTAGTAACGGCGTACAATGTAATAGGCTAATCTCTTCCATTTGGGTACCCGAGTACAGCAAAAATAGCCAATTCTCAAGAACTCTTTTTCTTGTTCAAACGGTTCTCTTGTGTCTTCAAGATCGCATCAGGATCGCGGATTGGCATATTTATGCTTTTCCTGGGATCGACCAGTTCTGGGAGCAAGCAGTTCATGTAGAAGAATTTCAATTTCTCTTCCATTTCATTTTTCCAGAAAACGTCATCCTTTTGAATGACGTCTATTTTCAAACCATACGGGGTCCAAACACCAAGCACACAGTACTCTCTTTGTGCAACGTGTAGCTGCCCTTGAATTTGGTAATACCACTTATGTTTTTTATTTATTTCATCATTTATCCAAAACGTATTTTTTTTGTTCAGAATGCCCTCTTCAGGGGTCATTTCTTTAGCCGACCATGGACATTTAATTTCTAGCAGACCTTTTTCGCCTATCAAACCATCTGGCGATGCTGCCAGAAATGGATGGGTCCTATCAATAAACAACCCGCAAGATTGTACTTCTGATTGCGAATATGATTTCTCTATTTCTGCTTTTGTCACGCTTTCATGTTTTTTTTCCATAGTCACATGCCTTGCTAAAGAATTCGTTTGGGTATATTATGGCGTTTACTAGAGCTCTGCAACTTGCTGCATCTCTTCTTCTACAAACCTCACCAAACCGAGACGCAGTCAACCTCATTCTTCGATGAAGACGCCACAAATTGCAATCCTGAGATTTTGTGGCTTGCTCGATCTGGGAAATTTCGGAGTCGGTTTTTGCAAGTTTTTTCAAGAATTCTACCTTGGCAGCCTCTATATCTCTTTAGTATCACTATCTCTGATTTTAATCTTCCTTGGTTTCAGCTTCCTTTTCAGATTTTTGTGCGCTCTCCTTTCTTCAACTTTAGCAATCAAAGAGGTTGGACTGAAACTAGGGAGTAGCCGCTTTTGGATCACACAAACAGGCCGCTGTGTATTGTGATTCACTACGGCTGCAGCACATCTTCCTTGGTAGGATCTCTTCTTGCAATAATTAATCCGTTTACCCCCAATGAATTTAGCTATGATTGAGTTAAACTGCTCTACAATATTATTATCGACGTCATGAAGTAAACTTACTGCATTTTTAATCAGAATTGTCAGAAATGGTATCAGCCTCTGGAACAAATCTAAAAAAAAAGGGTATGCACACCTGAATTTGAAGATCCATGCCATCTGTCTCTGTTAGAGAATGCATATGCGAAAGCTTGCTGTCATTTTTGAGCTAAAATAACATATAAAATATAGTTATAATAGTAACTACGTATAGTCTAATTTATTGGCAAAATGAATGCTAAAATTCATAATTGTTTTGGTACCTACCTTTCTATCTGGAAAACGTCTTTTTTTCCTGTGTGTATTTAAATGCGGCGTCTTCGAGAAGCCACGTTTGTTTCTCTTATTGTTCATTTTTGATACCTTGGTAAGAAAGACACTCAACAATAACAACACAACAATAACAACACGATAATACAACAATACAATAACGATAATAAGAGTAATAAGGGCTGGGTATACTATGCGCCAAAATAGGGAAACAGTCGTACGCAAGATCATATATCCAAATCAAATCCGACTCTGTGCAATATGCAAATTCAACCAGGAACGCGAACAGCACACCTCTGCGTATTACTATCCTTTTCTAAGGTAGAGCGCTTGCCTTGTCACAACGCCGTCCTACTAGCGTTTCCCTATCACCCCCCCGATACCCCTCAGAAACTTTGCTTGACTGTGAGAGCGCCGTTAAAGTCTAATTTATTACCCAACTAACAATTATCACTCCTATTAGAGTTGCAAGAATGATTATACAGTCTTCCTTACACAGCATTGTATACTGTAAGAACATTGGCAAAACCCTCTTAGAACAGCTATACAAGCGGAATGGGCACACCTAATAGGACACTTCAGTCATTTAAGAGGTTGTATAAGGGCTATACAACAAAAGTGTAAGCCTCTTGCAGCCGCTATAGCACATTTGCGTCAGTGCAAGATTCAGTTTTTGTCAACTATACAACTATTCTGTTACGTGATTCTACTTTATTGCAACCAAACTATTTCTTATGTACTGTATAGACGAAATGAAAAATATATAACTAACACAATACAGTCATCTTGTTTACTTACATATCGGCCATTGTGAATTTCATACACAGGTATATGATAAACTTCTACACTGTGATATAGGGCTATTGAATTACTTGCGCAGCAAATTTTATTGTGATTATCGTGCAAAGTAGTTACGCAATTTCTACGGGCTTCGTATTTGATTCTTATTTTGATAATGATCAAAAGTATGTCTAGATTTTTAAGATGGAAAACTGAACTTATATGCGTTAAATCTTCCACAAATCCTATATTTAGACACAATTACACTAATGTTTATCACTTTATATCTGTAATTTCGAACTGAAACATAATTATTTAAAATCAAATGTTTGCCCAATATGGCGGGTAATTGTGTATAATCATGGCATCATACATGTTGTCTTTAGTTTATTAGAATATTTTGGTGTTGCCTGCAGATGTTATACAACAATTTGACAAATGTCAGAAATGAAATACTGACAGAGTCGAATGATTTAACTAGAATTTGTACTAGATCTGTAGTATCTTCTGTTTGAACAGTTGATAAAACCCTTTGAACCAATATGCATGCGTTGTTTGTCTTAAATCATTGGTTATGGCATGTTAACAAAAATATGACAGCAGAAAGTTAGGTTATGGTGAAGTTGTATACCAACATATTTAGCATATGTACAGCCTTTAACAGTTACTAAACAACAGTTGTATAAGTGCTTCCGTTGGGAGCAATTTGTTGGCTAAAGTAGTAAATTTGCACAGCAAAACAACAAGGCTCGGATTTGTTTTATAAACGTTACCATGGATGCCACAACATAACCATTTTGACTAACCTGCAAATATGCCGTATAAAATAGTTGTATAAACGTTTATGCAACAGTTAAAAATGTGTCCTATAAGGTGTTGTGTAACTATGCTATAAGAATATTTTAAACACCTCATTTTAGAGCAAATATGTTGCAGAAAGCAAATCTGCATTCCACACAACATTAAGCCAGCATTTTGGTGTTCAGAAAACAACAATAGAGAGCTTTTATGGCTGAACGGTTCTTTTACCAAAAGCTTATAGCACTACTTTGCTAATTGGATACTTTCACACTAATTTATGGCAACACTTGCAACTAATTTATGTTATGTCGAGTGGACTATAGCATATTGACCCAGCGGTCGCTGTCCATTGACTGACTGTCCCTCTGGCGGAGGCCCCTGAGTATTTATTCACAAATTGACGAATTCCAGAACATCCCCGAGCTATATCAAAGATAAGTTCGATCAATGCTTCCCATGTCGGCCGATCATTCTCGATGATGCCGCAAGCCGTAGCGCTCTACATGCACAGTAGCGTAACTCTGGTTGTATAAGCGTCGATATTGCGAGGGCGTCTCATCTTTACTCAAGCTCCCAGTTACGATGGCGTAACAATAGTAATATTAATATACTAGTTTTTCTAGGATACAATTTGTGAAAAATGAACTCTCATAATTATAGGCTATAAAAGAAGATGGTACAGTAAACATGGAAAACTTATTCGATGAAAAATATGCAGGCCATGAATTTTCCCCAGAAGAAAGGGAGATTCTAAATAAATTGAGGGAATGCGTGAAAGATCATGTCTTTAAAGAGTGTGAAGATATAGATGAAATAGACAGGTGTTATAAGAAGATTTTGGCAGAAAGGAAGCAATAAGCTGCTATGTTATTAGTTCAAAGGTCACAAGCACTAAATAGTATTATACTTTAATTATTGTAGGAAGAGTATTTCTGGAATATATAGTAAATATACTATTTTTTCATTGGATGTGTTTTTATTGAATCTTTAATTTCCACTGAGAATGCAAGCCATCATTGTTTCTTTTACATAATATCAACGATCACCTTTCCTGTACGGTCAATCCGACCCAAAGATTTGTTGGAGAATGGCTGGAGAAAAAAAGGCTAGCAGCGACTTTCTCTCTTACGAGACACTTGGAGGATATTACTGCTTGAGGATGCAGCAATCTGTTTCAGTTTAATGCTTTCAAAACACAGTCCTGTACCTTGACTAACCGCAAGGATCCTCGCGCTCATCCGGTTTCAATGGATGGCCGAGTTCTACCAAACAGCGGTTCATTTCGGCTGGTCCGAGTCCAGATCACTGAGAACTTGATCTGGCATGAACACAACTCGTCAATAGCGGCAGCTGAAATCTCTAGACTATTTGTTTAGGGATGAGAAATACTTCACACAACTCTGTACAAGGCCCAGATAAAGACCTAGCACCGGATCCTGCTCACATGTTTGGGGTGCTACCACCCCGACTACATTATCCATTCTCGATGCTGTTCAGATGAGAACTGTGTGATTGATCGATGACTCATTTCTAGCAGACATCCTCGGGACCCTTTCGCACCAACGAGCCGTCAGCGATCTAGCTCTCTTTTACCTCTACGCCAACGGGCTTTGCTCCTCAGAACTCTCTTTCATGATGCCGCCGCGCAAAGTGCCTGCCAGACAGCGATCTAGCTCTCTTCTACCGTTGCGGCAGCGGACTTTGCCCTTCAGAGCTCTCCTCTATGCTGGCGCCGCGCGATGTTCCTGCCTGACAGACCCGCCTGACATCGACCTACCATCCTAACCGTGTCGAACTTCGTACATCGGCAACTAAAAAAATCTTTCAACTACTGACAAGCAGTGTTATTCAATTGGGAAACATAATAGGTACCCCACAGCTTTCAGGTCGGAAAAATTATGGCCTGATATATGAACTATTTAATTTACAATTCACTGTAGCCATTCGATAATAACTTGTAATAGTATATGATTAATACGGTCAGAATCAGAGTAATCATTACAAATCTGTTCTCCAAATGCAACAGGAAGTATAAAAATGACAGGAACACAAAGCGGATATGTGGATCTGCATCATTTGATAATTAGCCTCTAAACCTAGAGTTGTATATTGGTTTTGCAACGATGAATTCTATTATAATCTCAAAATATGTGATTATAGCTTTAGTTCTAGCTCACGTAAGTAACATTTTGAGAATAATTTCACGCTAGTTTTTTGGAATCATCACAATCACACTTTTTTGAGACACTACTATTAACGAAAATTCTAAGAAATTCTTGCGTAACAGCAGTCTAAATCTTCTAAATGAATTCCGATTGTTGAAATTAATTTCGATGTCACGTTGCCGTCATACATATAAGCCGCTGTGATAATTTTGACAGCTGATTCCAGCGATCTTTCAAACTCAAATTATCATTGCAGTGTCGAATTTATCATAGTTGATCAAATATATGACATCAAAGCGCCATCAAAATTAATCTCAAAGGTTGAACTTCAATTACAATCAGTTTCATTCACTTTTTCAAGTGCAGGTCAACTTTCACGTTAGATAACTGTAATTTGGAAGTTATGTACAAGTTGACTGGAAATTCGTTTCTCAAGTTCTGATTAACTAGCCCACAACAATTAATGCGGCAACGCTGCTTATATATCTGAACGATGGTGTGTTCTATGCGTTTCGTGATTACTCGGTATTTTTGTCTCGTGACATCTCTCACAACTCATGTCACTGTCGGGTAAAATAGGCTAGAGATTGTGGTTTACCTAAAACTTACACAGATGGCACTCTGGTTGGAGTTAACCACTACTTTAGAGTGAACTTAATATTGTTAGAGATATTTCATTGCGCTTGTCTTGCTGCTTCGTTATGATATTGGTTAATCTATGTTTATGCAGTAGCGAAACAATCCTCCGTTCTCTGTCAGCGAAATAAAATCCGGATTTTCAATCGCAAGTTACAACTTGACTGCTAACCAGAAGTTGAGTCTCAAAAAGCTTTTTTCAATGTGAAGTTTATCTCAAAGCGGAGGACCATGTATGAGATAACTATAAAGTTGCGGTAAACTCAGGTAAACTGCATTGTCTAATGTCTAACCTAATGTGTTTGACAGTGACATATGTTGTCACGGATGACACGAGACACAAGTACCACGCATCACGAAACTCTTAGAACACGATCATTCAGGCTTGACAGCAGCCTAGCTGCATCAACGGTTCATATATTGTTAACCAGAACTTGAAAAACAAATTCACGGCCAGCTGATAGTTAACATCCAAGTTATAGTTACCAAACTTGAAAATTAATCAGCGATTGAAAAATGGTCCATGAAGTCTTTTGTTTTTCCAATTATCCTTTCATTTGCGATCGCTGTCAAAGATAACGTAACGAAAGGCTCAACGATTAGTGATTTGTGTTGTATTAAAAACTTTTTTATTATGAGTGGTATCTTCTGCTTAGCTGAAGCTATCGCTAACCTAACATTATGTAGGTTTTTCTACAAGATGTTAACTTAGCACTAGCTGATGGACACTAGTTGTGGCCTCGTTTTGTAGTTGTACGTGTTGCCTAAACGTCATGATGCTTCAGTTATCAGTGTTTGGCTCTGATGTGATGTAAATTCTGCTTCAGAGATGGCATTATTGGAGGTCTAAGCTGTAAGTTGGATACTATAGCTGGATGGAAACGACAGTGCATAGGTGCATAGTGAGGATTTGTGTGCTAATAATATGTGTTGATGATAATTTAACTGCTTTCTTGTCTCAAATACACTAACTTGAGTTGTATGCAAAGCTAGAAATTAGTCACTTTTCAAGAAACGTAACCCGTGCCGTACTTCGTAACTTAAAAAGTGACAATACAATATATCGATTTTTTATTACATGTATGTTTTCCTATAAAATGTCGAACACCTTTGAATTAGCAAACATTCACTTCATATTCACTTGTAGCAGACGTGAAATAAACTATCGGCACACTAGCGGCTACATAGTGCACAAGTTGACAGTTTCCCGATTTTTTTTTAAATTGTTTATATTTTTTTGTAATAATAATTTCTTGCTCATCGGCAATTTCGACAACTCGTTAAGACCATCAGGAGGCCACACACGTCCCATTTTCCCACATCAAATAGGGCTTCGCGACATTCTAGCACTTTTGGATGGATATTCGAAAACGGTATACCAAATTACCCATGTGTACAGCGTTTCATTCGCTTGCAGTAATGGGCGTTTACGCGTACACTTTAATTATCCATGTCTATGTTTTAACGTACACGATGCGTAGCCAATGTATACAATGCGTATACAATGTATGCAATACGTATTCATTACGCATACAATGTTGATGACAATAACATAAGTGAGGTTAGATTTACTCGCAAACGTCAAAACATTGATGAACCGGCAACTATTATATAGTCAAAATCACGAAAGATGACTATTACGTCGTACTATAAATTGTACTGAAGTAATCAGTGGACGTACGTCGATGATAAAAAATCTCGAGTCAGAAACATAATGACAACAAATTTATATTATGATATTGCGAAGTTAGGTTATTTCACTGATTATTTTTATTTTTATTTTATTTCATGGTTTTGAGTGATACCTTAATAATAATTTTAGTGGGGAGTTTTTGTTTTGATAAAAACAGTTATGAGTAGAATACCTTAAGACAGGAACACCAAAGACCAAAGTATTATTCGAAAACAACATAACCTGCTTTAACATAACCTAACTATTCATCTTTCAAATATGATCGATCATGCAACATGAAAACATCGTCTATCTTTGTCGGATACATGCAAATTAGCAATACAGTTTGTTTAGACAATAAAATTCTGTTTGTCTCTGTCTAACATATCAGAAACTTCATTAAATATATTCACAAATCGCTGTCGTTTGTCTTTACTACAGACTAAAATGATGACGTAATCGTCATCTTTCGTGATTTCGACTATATTAATATTTTTGGACTCACGGAAAAGTAGGAAAATCGATAACCTAAGATTAATTCTGTTGAAAGATGGAAGAAAATATTCCGACGAATACTGTATCTGTACAAAAAGTTATCTTATTCAGCTACATCAAAGTCGAACCATTATATGAATTTTCTTATCACAACTGACCTGGGAGCTGAACTAAAACAAGGATTGCTTCTCGATAGTAGAAAGTGTTATGTTTTCAGGTAGAGGACATTGAAGCATTATCTTCATACGAAAAATGCCTCAAATTAAGCCGTATAACCTCTTCTGAGGAGAATGCTTTCAGTCCAGAAGGATTGTGCTTCCAGAAATGCATGCTAGAGTCGGAAGGTGTAAGTATATTTCTCAAAAACTCGTCTTGAAAAATTGTACAATACCGAATATATCCAAGCCATTTGAAAGCCATGCCTGCCGTTAAAAAGGGTATAGAGAGGAGGAGGGTTTGTTCATGTCAAGCTTTCGAAAATGTTTATTTTCTTCATGATATGCTTCAAGAATACTGCATGAACTACATAACTTATTACAATATCAATAAAAAAACCACTTGCAACGTTGAAATCCTGTTTCGGGACAAGCGATCTCAAAAAACGGAGAAACATCAATGTTGTTCTCACGTTTTATTGAAGTTTCTCCGTGTTTTTTTTCTGGAGTGGGGGATCGTCCTGTAACAGGACTTCAACGTTCTGAGGTTACGAAATCTTATGAATGATTACCAGATTGATTGAAGGATGGTTAAGAACAAACAACTTTTTTCAAAAGGGGAATTGAGTTGTTACTTCTAACTACTGTTAGGTTGGGCAGCATCTTGGAGAGCATTTTATATCAAGGAAATAAATAAGTTTTATTAACAAGTTAAAAGTAGAAATATTCTGATAACTGACACCGCTTTGTCAGTCACACTGAGAAAGCGACACAGATATAAGTAATGAACTTGAACTTATATTTCACCAGATACTAAGGGCAGATGGGACGCTGAATGAAGAAATGTTCGATGAAATAATCGAAGAAACGCCTCCAGAGCAAATAAAACTTGTAGTAGAACTCAAGGAATGCGTGAAAGACATTGTAGTCAAGGAATGCGATGATATTGCGAAACTTATGGAGTGTTTCAATGAATCACGAAATATATAATTATATAAATGTGAAATACTATTTTATCATAATAAACATAATAGTATCTGATTCTGTTCCATTCGAGTGTCCACAGTCCTCTAAGTATACTCAAAACAGTGTTATTACGGTCCTGTCCTTTTGGCTTGTACCTAGAAAATGGCGTCTGCTTTATACGTCGCACTTACCGTTTCTTGCTTTGTTGTTTCTGTTCTTCAGTCGCTTACATCTGTGCGCAGAACCAAAGTTCCTCATGTCATGGTTGACGTTTGATCACATTCCATTCTAAAACCACGTGGTTAGTTGGATGTTTTGAAATTTAAATTTTCATAAAAAAGAGTAGAAATAACAGTGTTGTGGTGGTGAAGAACGATGTATCCAAGAAGAGGTCGAGGTAGAAGGCAGTATGACAACGTAAGCTAATTTAAGTTCTTGTTTAATTCAATATTACGTAATTTGATTCAACGTTTGTCGATCAAAGTGTACGTTTTTTTAAGGTTTTTTCAGTTACCATTCCAACGTAATCATATTGCTATTTTCATAATGTTGGACCAATTAGTCTATAGAAGCTTAAATAACGAGATATTTTAGTCAACTTTTGGGGATGACTGGAATATTTATCATCATGACTTGGCAAATTGGAATCAGTTTATTTGAAAGACATTTAGCATTGACGAAGCTCTACTTGGCAATCAACCAATTCGATTTTATTTTTATTGTATCATTCATAAATTTTGGGAATGAGAAATAACAATAAGCCTTCATTTAAACATCACAGGCATGTAACATGAACATCCATTCTTTCAGCATACCTACTCATATATGAGGTGATTCAGAAAACATTGGCACTATTTGTGGGGATAAAAAGTACGAGGGATGTCTTTTAAGTTTTGCATATCTGTACCTCAGAGCCAGACTAGGTTAAGTCCTAATAAGTAGTTTTGAGATAATTGAATTTGAAGTATTTTTCTTGTATTGTGTTGTATGAGACTTGAAATGAGTTAAAAAGTCGTAACTTCCATATTATTACAGATTATCTATCGCTGCAAGTAGCAAATGAAAATTCACATTATTATCATAAGCTTAACATATGGAATTCATTTTTGACAAAAATGGACTTAACCTATTCTAGCTCTGGGGTACAGATATAGAAACATAGTAGGCCGCGCGGATCGGACGTCAGTACTGAATCTTAACCTCACTCTTTAGTAAACTTAAATTCAAAGTTTCGCAACAATACGTGCAGTGTTCTCACTACAGTGAATTTTTAAGTGTCACCAAGACATTAGAAAAATGGAACTCAACAGAGAACATTTTCGCGCCATAATTTATTACAACTTTCAGAGACAATTATCGCAACAAGAATGCCTTGCTGAGTTACTGTTTATTTTCGGCAACGAAGCGCCACATTAGTCTACATCAATTTCCCGTTGGTATGGAGGACGGGTGGGTCTTAGCGATGATCCCAGGGTGGGTGCACCAAAAACGACAGTCACCCAGGAAAACGTCGATGCTGTGCGCAAACTCATCATTGAAGATAGACATGTGACATATCGAGAGAGATTGAGGCGTCCTTGAAGATCTCAAAGACATCAATTCAAAAAATTTTACATGAAGAATTAGGAGTAAGAAAATTAGTTTCTCGTTGCATACCCCACCTGTTGACTGAAGAGCAGAAAGCAGCCAAGGTTAATTGGTGTCAAAAAACGCTTGACCGTTTCAATTCCGGAAACTCAAAAAATGTGTACAGCATTGTTAGTAGTGGTGAATCGTGGATTTACTGTTATGAACCAGAAAATAAACGACAGTCGGCTGTTTGGGTGTTCCAAGGTGAAGAAAAGCCAACAAAAGTCATCAGTTCTCGAAGTGTTTCGAAAAAGATGGTCGCGACATTTGTGTCAAAAGCGGGTCATATTGCAACAATTCCTCCTAGTGAGCAAAGAACTATTACTGCGGATTGGTATACCACCATTTGTTTGCCAAAAGTCATCACCGAGCTTCGCAAAATCAACCCCGAAAGAAGAATCATCCTCCACCAAGAGCCCAAAAAACAAGGCAATATATAACGGAAGAAAACGTGGAATTATTGGACCATCCTTTATATAGTCCCGAGCTAAGTCCTAACGATTTCTTTACTTTCCCGAAAATTAAAAACAGACTGCGTGGTCAAAGGGTCCAGTCACCCGAAGAAGCAGTTGACGCATTCAAAAATGCCGTTTTGGATTTCCCAGCAAACCAGTGGAATAAGTGCTTCGAAAACTAGTAGAGCACATGCAGATGTGTATTAATCTTCGTGGAGAATACTTTGAAAAACAATAAGGTCATTTAAAACTACCTACCGTGTTGTTTTATTTCCATATGCAAAACGTAAAAGACATCCCTCGTACCAGAAAAAGTTCATTTAAATATGGATCTTAAAATGGCTACTTACCATGATACAGGGTGTTGAAGTCTTAAAGGTTAAATAAAATGTATATCTTCAGAAAGGATTGAGATAAAATGAAGTAACATTTTCTACAGGTAGTACTAATAGAAAATACCTACAGAAATTTTCGTTTATGAGACTTCACCAGTGGAGCAGTAACTGGGAAATTTTGGACCTCATGGAAAAAATATCACACTATTGTCTGTTTTGTAACTTGCATTGCATTTTTTAATAAGGCATTCAGACTTCTATGCATTGCCTCTTTATAGAAAAAGAAGAAAATATTTTCAAACATTGTTTATTATAAACAATTATATAAACTTCTATAGGTACAAAATAAATACAAGGCACAATGAAAAAAGTACTATAAGGCAGTCATGTTCTAAAATACATCGTTAAGTACATAGACAAAAGCTGGATATTCTTCAACTCTCATATGCACAGAAGCCTCCTGAATATTTAAGGACTTCTTTGTCTTATGAAGTCAATCCCACTTCTGATCATTGTCATCTCTTCAATCATCCTCTTCTTGTCCCGGTTTCTTGATCACTCCCCATTTCTCTGCTTCTTCTAATGCCTCTTGAGCTACTTTCACAATCTTGTCTCTTCCGTCATAAGGAGTCAATTTTGATATTGCCAACAAAATCTCCATTACGTCTGTTTCCATCAGTTTCTCAGTCAGCTCCTTAGAGGCACTGCAAAAAAAATGAAAGTTAAGACGTAGAAGAATCACAATGCAACACCTCTACATAGTTTACAAAGTAAATACCATCACTTACGAATTTACGATATGTATTTTGAACAGTTATTTTAACTTATTACACGACTAGCTTTGAACCTTTTCTTGTAAAAAACAAACATCTTTTATATTTTAGAAAAGAATTATCAAAATTAACTGAATTTTTGCAAGTTGAACACATGTCACTGTTTGACATATGCTTGTGCCTAATGTAATCTAGTTTATTTTACTAGATAAAGACCATGGTGGTGACCTTCCTATCAATCACGAAGTAATTTTAAGGATCTTATTTTAACGTCTTTGCCCAGTCAATGACTATAATGTTTGTTTTAATCAGACATAAGTTGAAAAATTTTTAATGCTTAAGGTTGCGCTTTTTTTTCTTTACTGCTCGAAGTGAAAGACTCTACATACCTGATGATGTTGTAAACGACGCAAACACCCCTGTATTGCATATCCAGCGATGGATTGGCCAGCAAACAATGCATGGAATCGAGCCAGTTTTTGGAATCGAAGACTTTCTCGCAGCATTTTTTGCTTGATCCGGTGATGATGGCTAAAAGACCCGCCGCGGCCATTGCGGTTTCTTTGTCTTCGTCTAGACAGAGAGCTACCGCGTATTTGACCCGATCGTTTTCGCCGGACTCAAACATTTTTATTACCTAAAACAAAAAAATGGCGTCAAGTCGGTTGACTCTGCACTTCCTATGCAACGCCGCAGTTCATAAAGGAGAAATTGAACGTATTAAGTCAGTCAAACAGGTCCATACAATCAGTCCATAGACATTCTTCCCTGCCCAATATTTCCTCGCCAGTTTTGGCATAATAAGTAACAAGATTAAAAAACACCTGTTCGCGTGAAGAACATTCAAAAAATACGAGCAACACTTGATATCGTGACAGAACGAACATACCCTTAAACAATTTCCTTTGTATCAGAGATTTCAAAATAACTGCAAAAAATTCTTCGAAATTCTAAAGTAATTGGAAGCAATAATTAATACGACAGGATAGATATATAACGTAATAGAGGGCGCATGGTTGAATGGTGTCGTTTTGCTGTAATAAAATTATTTATTATGGTGGCTTAATGTGCGAGTCCTTCACTCTGTTCAAATCTCATTTAAGCTGCGTCCAAACTGACAGGTGCGCACGATTTTCAAATTCTCGCATTGCTATTGGCCAGTCGGCCATGAATGCCTAGGCGCGCAACAACAGGTGAATAAACGCGACGATCGAGTGCTAGGGATTGTAAATGAGGTTTAAACAAGTTAAAAGTCACAAATAAAATGCTCACCTCTTCCGACTGTGTCATATTACACATGCACTGCACCGCAGCTCTGCATAAGTGCGTGTGGTCTTCAAACATGTAGTGCTCAATTTTGGCGAAACCGCCTTCCTTGATGATCCTCTGTCTTGCAGTATCGCTCATTTGGGCCAAGTTGCAAAGAGCCATTAGAGCCTCAAAGTTCTCTAAGCCGGTGCAGTCGGGATGGAGAATATTTATTAGCGGTCGGATCACCTCCAGAGCTCTAAAAAGAAAGGATAAAGGGTTGAGAAAATTATACGCGTAAAATATTTATAGCTTAATGAAAATAGAAGTTGTTCCCAAAACCTCCAAGTGTATGAGTGAATTGCCGGTTTAAGATTTAGATGACATATGCGGAATATAAAATGTCTAAGTTGTTGAAATTGTCACCAAATGGACATCCTGAAGTATCTGTTCGGACGCCATTTACATTTAAGGTTTTTGGGGCGTATTATCCTAAAGTAGGTTGCGCATTGCCTCTAATTTATATTCCATCGAAATGAAAAAAAATAATATACCTTTGCCCCGGGAATGCAACCTCAGGATTCATGGTAATCCCAATCCTCGCCAAAGCTTGTGACGCTTGTCTCTTCCCCTTCTCTGTACCTTTAAGTGCCAATGACATGAGTACCTTGACACCGCCTTGAGCCACAACCGTTCCTCTAAGTTCTTGTTCTGCGCATAACGCGTTAAATACGCGCGAAATCAGTTCGCGAGAGTTGTCACTCTCTGTCTTTGACAATACTACTAATGCTGTAGTCACATTGGCCTGGGCCAGAGCGATCACACGTTTTGTTACAAAGTCCTAAAAAAATACAATTATATGAGGATACTTACAGACGAGGTTACGTCGCTAATCATGTAAACTGATGCTTAAGGTCGATTTATACACTCTGACGTTGCCACACAGCCAGCGTGCCGTTATAAAATTGCGCTATTGTTCAGATATTTGAAGACCAAACTTGTCTGCAGATCATTCCGGTTAACAGTCAACAAGAGGTGCTAGATCACCTTACTTTTGTGTCAATATCAAACTTAGCGAAAAAAACAGATAGAAAGCAAAAACTTTGTCAAGTCTAGCGTCAGCGTTGCGGACGAACGTTGCGGAATTCCCGTTTATAAACAGTTTAACGCCAAGCGCATGATTCAAGTTCTGCGTTACGGCAAGGGTACGGCACTGGTGTGGATCGTCAGAGTTTGTAAATCGATATTAACCTTAGTGACATAGCCTCAATCTTTACATACTTGAGCCAAAGTTGGAATGTAGATGTCCTTGTTGTAGTATTTTTCATCAAAAAGTTACTATTAAGGAGTCTTATAATATGGCCTTACCGGGTCGTCTAATTCATGTTCTTGTGGAATGTGATGTTTGGCAAACTTGGCTAGCTCCACCATTTCTGGAATGATTTCTTGTTTGTCATATGCATTACATAGATTGACCAACGTTGTCACTACGCCAAAGAGGACTGACTGATCACCAGACTTTGCTAGTTCCACCAGAGCTTGCAGAGCCGCTAAAATAAAAAACAATATTTATAAACGCCTTGTAGAAATTATACTTTTGTCTTCTCACCTTTGTCTTCAATGAGTTTCTCCTTGACCTCAGCGTCCAAGGTCAAATACGAAAGACCTTCAGCAGCCCATTTTCTGATATCCTTATCCTTGCCCGGATGCAGCAAAAACCTTCTACAAGCCTCTGCTAGTTTTACAGTTGATCCTTCGGCGAATGGTTTGACCGAAGCGTCGTTGCCGCTTGAACTGCCTAACTTGCACAAACCTACCAAGGCTCTGATGCGAATATGGTCATTCTTGGATTTGTAGAGCTGTTTCAATATGTCAGCACCCTTTGCTAAAGAGAAACAAAAATCGGAAATCGCTTTTGTGTGTTATCTAAAGATTATAAGTAAGATGGGAGTTCTGCAAGGACGCGCATTGGGGCCACTATTACCCTTGATTGAGATTATAAGTGTTTTCGAGAATGATACTGAAGGAGTTGGATGAGTATTTAGTTAATGCAGTTGATAAAATCAATGTTTCGTTTTGTATGATCATGTTTATTTACCAATAATTGCTTTAGCCTTATCAGCTTTGCTAGCAGCTGCAATGATGCATTCGCAGGCGACTTTTTGTTGTAGCTCATCATCTGTGTTGGCCATGACAAGGATCATCTCCATGATGCCTTCTTTGCCTATTATAGCATTTCCTACATCTAGAGGTCCTCTCAGTAAGGATGTTATTGCAACCGTCACGCGGACCTACGGAGAAACTTTATGACTCATTTGTTTTATGAAAAATATAACTACAAAGTAAATAAAATCTAAGCAGACTGTGGACATTTGTTAACAGAACTCACCTTCGACTCAATGTCTGGAGTTAGCAGCTTATCCTTGATGAAGTCTTCGATTTTCTGTATAAACTTCTCTCGAGCTGCGTCGTAGTACATATTTTCGTGAATTCTGCTCAAGCAAAGTGCTGCTATAGTTCTAGTCGATGGCGTTATGTTCATAGCACTTTCGTATTTGTACTCTTCTAGTTCACTTGCACATTCCATGATCCTCGCTAGAATTAGAGAAAAAATATTAAAATTTTACCATAAAAAAAATAAGATAAATCTTTAGGTGTAGAAGCTTTAGAAGCAAAGGATGACTGACAGAATTCAAAATTTCTCCGATACAGAGAAAATCATATTTCCGTCTGAATCTTCGTCATTGTCCTAAGTCCACGCCCACGCCATCTCCAGTATCCTCGTATCTTACAGAATTGTCATATCGCCAAGTTTGTAATAGAATGTACATAATTTTGCCTGCAAAAATAACTTACCAATGCCACCGATATCCAACAGTTGCTCTGCCCAATTTAATTGACTGTAATGGATGTTCCTCATGATCAGTTCCAAGATGGCGTCTCTGGCCAACCCTGATATGGCTCTATTGTTGACAGCGTACACTAGACAAGACAACAGAGTGTCAATGTGTTTTTTGTTTTTCTCCACAAGTTCTTTATTTGGTTTGGTGTCTGGTTTGTTCTCCATTCCAGATAGGGCGTTTAGGATTGTTTGCATGCAGTGTTCTGCTGCATTTACTTGTCTTTCATCATTGCTGTCTATTATCTCTAAGAACCAAGGGATGCCAGCGTCTTTTAGAATGAGTTTGGTGCGTGTTTCATTGTGTTTACATAGTTCGCCTGAAATAAAAAGTACTTTTAAAATTTTGGCAAAACATGATCGTGTTTGAGATCAATGCTCGACTGAATGACCTCGAGACTTACCAATGACCCTGATCCCAGTAACAAATATCTCCTTGTTCTTCTCGACCTTCAGCAGCTTCTTGATCTGTTGGACAACGGGCGTTTTCACCATAATCTCAGCTCCAGCATGTTCTCTTGCTAACACCAACAAGTTGTTCATAGCAGTCTCTCTCTTGTCCGTCGGTTGAGTTACGTCAAAAACGATTTTGGTCATGGACTCCAAACGGTTGCTGGTCTGGGCGTTCTGTCGGGCACGTTCTTGAACTATAGGCAAGAGGCGGGATAGTACTGGTTGGATTTCTTTGTTAGTGGGGTCGTCTTTGAAGATCTGGGTTGCGTCGCGGTACGCCTCTTCCAGCCTGCCGAGTGCCTCCAGAGCTTGGCATCTATAAGAAACAGATGTTGGATTTACTGATGCTAAATAGTAAGATTCTGTATGGGTACAGATATAGTTCCTCTAGAGCATACGGTCTATGGCCATGGGATCATCTATCAAAGTTCTTCGCAAGTTATAGGCAATCCCATACAGAAAGGCCAACTGGCACACGGATCCACTGGAAAGGGTTGACATGGTTTTTTGTGATGTACATGTCAAATAACATCCAAAAACCATAATATCTCATTTTCAAAATTCGCCACAGGTTAGTATATTGCAAAGACAAGATGCTACTAATGTATATAGAGTGTTAAACTTAAACCAAACCTGTGACAATATGATACAAATATTTCAGCCCTTAGTTTTGGCCCTGATGTCGTTTTGAATAGCCAAAACAGATTCTAATAGCACCTCTCAACATATACTAAGTGACATATAAATCCGAACACCCAGTTTAAATGGTTTTATTTTAATAAAATTTTGTATAAGTACTTATTGAAGCATAATAAGTAAATGATAAAAATTTCAAAATGATTGCACTGCTTTAAAGCCCTTTGACCTTTAATAATGTGTGGATGCACCCTGATGTGCTACGCATTCTCCAACGCGCCTAGGCATGCTTCTGATCAGGTGGTCAATGTCCTCCTGTGGTATCTTATTCCAGGCAACCACCAACTCCTCTCGAAGTGCTTCTAGAGTCTGAGGGGGACGTTGCAAAATGAGCAATCTCCTACCCATCATATCCCACACGTGCTCAATTGGGGATAAGTTGGGAGATCTTGGTGGCCATGGTAACAATGTGACATCATTATGTTGAAAGAAGTCTATTGTGACTCTTGCAACATGTGGTCGGGCATTATCTTGTTGGAAAGTTGGATCTGCCAGGGTGTCAAGATAGGGTAAAAGATGGGGTTCTAGAACTTCGTGGATATAACGCTGCGCGTTCATGTTACCTCTGATGAAGATTAAAGGTGACCTGGAACCATAAGCTATAGTACCCCAAACCATAACTCCAACAGTGTGATGAACATGTATTTCAACAAAAAACTGTGGTTTCCTCCTTTCACCACGTCGCCTTCTAACCCTGGCACGACCATCGTGCATGCCTAAACAAAATCGAGACTCGTCACTAAAGACTGTTCCATTCCTGATCCCAGAGTGACCGTTGTCTGCACCACTCAAGGCGATTACGTCGGTGTTCTCGAGTTAAAGGGAGGACCCAGTGTGGCCGGTATGAAAACAAGCCAAAACTTCTCATTCGTCGGTAAACACTTCGCATGGCAGTAGGTCTTCCGTGTTCTGCAAACCATTCATTTGCAATGGACCAGGCCAATAATCTTAGGCGGCGATCTTCACGGTCTGTTGTTCTACGGCGGCGTCCAGTGCCCCTTGCTCTTTGCGTACGGCCTTCTCGAAGCCATGCCTGACAACACCTAACCACAGTGTCTACACTTCTTTGCACTCTAACTGCAATTGCCCGAAAAGAAAGTCCAGCTTCCCGAAGTCCCACTATACGGCCCCTATCAAACTCACTAAGTTGACGAAATCGTACAGGTCTCCGTACTCTAGGCATCGTAACCGATCGTAAAGGATGTCAAGAACCAAAATCCGCCAACGTTGATTCTTTACTGCGGCTGAAATATTCATTTTTAGAGCGTTAGTGAATTAAAAAAAAGCAGTATAAAAACCGGAATGTCCAACTGAGAAGGCTGAACATTTTTTCACTTGTTATTTACAGTAAGATGAATACATTCACCAACTTTTATTAAAATAAAACCATTTAAACTGGGTGTTCGGATTTATATGTCACTTAGTATATGTATGTACTGTCCATACCTGTATCTAATGGCTGGCTGTGTAATAGTGGTATCACACTTTTAAGGTTATTCGAAATTTACTAGTACTGAAACTAAATCAATATGTACAGTGTACTCCGTCTATAAAGTACATGGGATATAACGTACTTCCGGTTATTACGTACTTATCCCATTGGACCCGCCTAAGTAGTCTTGTAACTTTACTGAATATAGTGTACTGATTAAAATTTTAACTCAGGCTATAACGTTCATTATTTTTACCCACTTAGCAGTCATATTCTGGTTATAACGTACAAACGGGGATTCCCTTTGATCGATACTGGGAAGTTTCACCGCTGTCGCGGCGCGACACCAGGGACCAGTCATCGACTCTGTCAATTTTTATAGCACGGACTGAGATGTCAGGTAGTTTTAGATTGGACGTTGCATTTAACTTTGCGAATTTTTAGTATTAATTGTTTTGTTAAAATAACAGATACGCGCAAAGCTGTAAGTTTGAAAGAAAAGATAGACATCATTAATGTGATCGAGAGTGGCATCGGCAAATCGGAAATTGCGAGAAGGAAAAATATGGGAAAAACAACAGTTTCTACAATTTGGCACAATCGTCAAAAAATCATGCAAGCTAGTGAATATAAATCGCAGAGAATCAAGAAAATTAGAAATCCCCTACGTCCAGATGTGGATCAAGCTCTTATACGATTCCTATAAGTAGTCCAATTTTAACAGCAAAAGCGGCAGATTTTCCAAGGGATTACACAGTGGCAATTTTAGGTGTACTGCGGGTTGACTTGAGGGTTTCAAAGTTCGTCACAACATAAATGTCGGCGAAGTGTCTGGTGAAGCAGGAGATGTTAACAAGGAAGCTGTGGTAAACTGGTTAACGGATAAATGGCCAGGCATTGCACAAAATTACATCTGCGGGAATATTTTTAATGCGGACGAAAACGGACTATTTTACACTCCAAACCATACACTGAAATTTAAATGAGAAAAGTGTGTGGGAGGCAAACTATCAAAGCTGAGGTACACCGTTTTGGTTTGCGCAAATATGGCAGGTAGTGAAAAATGTAATCTTCTTGTTATTGGTAAATACGAACGACTGAGGTGCATTAAAAATATTAAAAACCTGCATGTCATTTATAAATTGATCAGACGCGCATGGATGACTTCAGACGTATTTATTAAATATTTAAAGGAGTGGATGAAAAACTAAGACGTCAAAAAAACTATTGCTTCCAGTTGACAATTGTGCAGCTCATCCTAGGAATGTAGATCTGACAAACCTTAGTTGTATAACCGATTGATCAAAGCATGATAAAATGCCTCAAATCATAATTATTATCGTAGATATTCTGAGGAAACTTTCAACATAACAATTTTAGACTCGATAAATTTAATTGCTCAATCATAGAATGACGTTTCAAGAAACACAATTCAGATGATGACTTGCCTCTGAATTAGTGGTACGATAAATACAAAAGTGTTGATGATGATGATTGGAACATCCCCCTAAGTAATTCGTTGTGAAGTCACTGCCCAGATGTAACTACTTAATGGATTATGACATTATTGCTGAACTTGTAGAGTCAAACTATTCAATGAATGATCTAAGTGCCGTTAACGAAAGCGGCGATGATGATGGACAAGTGAACGAACCAATTCCAAGTTATTCTGAAGCACTTTGTGCAATTAAAACTGTTAAAAATTTCTTATAATTTACTGATTAAGGATCTGTTGATACAATTTTACAAGCCTCGTTAGAAGTTGAGAACCACATTGTGAATATAAAAGTGTGTAAAAAAAAACAAACAAAAATAACAAGTTTTCGAAAAATCATAACTGTATGTGTAATTACATATATAATTGTACATATTTTAAATTGATTATGTCCTATTTCAATTTTATATGTTACATATTCATATTACTATTTCTTTTTTATATTACATACCTAGAATGTATTTTTTGTTAGTTTAGGCCCGTATCGTCAGCCGTCCCTACAATTGTAGGGCGCCTTTATGGCCTCCTTGATTGTCATAGTTTTCTACTTCTCCGTGTCAGCGCTCTATTTTGAGGTTATGTCACAAACATCAATTTGCATCAAATTGTGCTTGGTTTTGAGTTATATCATGTTTTATCAGCCTGAAATTTCCTACAATTTAAAAGGGAAACAAATCTTCACAATAGGAGAGCGCTGACGCTGACATGGGACAAGTGTAATCTAGACATTTTTGAAGGAGAGAAAGGAGTATGATAATCAAGGAGGCCATAAACGCGCCCTACAATTGTAGGGTCGACTGAGGATAGGGGCCTAAGTCCTTTAATTGAATAAAATAAAAATTTACATATTTATTTTTATGGGTTTCCTTTATACTGTACCTCCAGTCATAAAGTACTCATTTTGATCTCCCTAGAGGGTACCTTATAACTGGAGCTCACTGTATCTATAATATAAAATAAATTATTTTGAAAAAAAAATTTTAGTCACAAAGGGTTGTCTGCAATCTATAACAAAAAATTATTGGATGGCTCAAAATTATGACAAAAAAATTTCTTACATTGTCCTACGTTGCACTGTGTACCATAATTTAACTATCAGTTTTTATATGCAATGATAAAGCTTCGAAAGTGAAATGCAGATTTATATAACTCTGTCCTACCTTCTGAACAGTGCTTTTGGATCAGATGGTACAATTTCCAAGCACTTATCGCAATCCTCTAATGCCTCTTGGTACTTTTGCTGCTTCAGATGTGCTGCAGCCCTGTTTTTGTAATACACAGCCAAGTTCCTGTTTTCACCTTTGGTCACATTGATTGCTTTAGTGTACAGCCTCACAGCTTGATCATATTCGCTGTTCTTGAAAGCTGTGTTACCTTGTTCTTTGTACTGCTCAGCTTCAATTTCAAATTGTTCGTGTGTACCCATTTTCGAGTTTTGAAAAAATTAAATTTGAGGAAAAAAACGCTTTTTTCGTCGCTTTGTGTTCGTTCGTTCGCACTTAAAACTATAATCTAGCTGGCCTTGCGAACATGCGGTGCTTATATTGCTGACCTAAGAAAAATCTAGTACACTCTGGAGTGACGGGAGAGGCGAGCTAATTTTGGAAAATGTTAAAATTAGATTAGTTTTATTTTCGTTTAATATTTACCGGCTGATATTTTGGCAATGTTTTCAAGAAAACAAGCGAAGTATTCCCATTAATTCAGAAATAAAAAGAAATATCTAACCCCTGTAAGCAATTATTTGTCACATCCAAAGCTTGTTTAAGCGAATATTTTCGACAGCAGCTTGCTAAATATTGTTCTAAATTAAAATTAAATTAGCATGTAGGCTCAGAGAAAATTGGATTTGTTTATAAATAGACTTTTCTCCCTGATTGTCTTTGACGTACATGTCAAATTACAGGTTATGTATGATTTGCACTGTTGCCGCATACATCGTTCTAATTGCAGTAATTCTGGATTTCTTAAGGTGAATTGTTTCTTGACCCTCATTTTGTGAGAATGTTTCATTTCTTTTTGCGACATAGTCATGATCAAAGCTGCAAAATACCAAAGGACGTGATCTGTTTTTATTTGAGAGCTATCTGTGGTTACCAGTTTAGTTTACCCTTGATTCTGAATGACTCTTTTGTAGTCATTAATTCGAAAAAGACTATACTATAACTATCTAAAACTGTAATGACTCATCGATGTTCACGTGAACATCACTTAACTACCAGTAGTGGGCTATTCATAGGCGGGGTATGAATGTTTAACATAGGTGAACTAGATTTGTCACATACTTAATAAAGAGTGATTTGAAACATATTGTAAGTCAAAAATTTGGGAATTGCCTTTATTCATCGTCGCTTCCACTTACATCTGACAGTAATAAACTGTCGCTATCGCTTTCCTCGTTGAAATTGACTATAACTGGCTCTATGATGGTGTCGATGTGGTGGTCAAGCTGCCACATTTTTGTTTCTTCCTTCACAACATGACGGATAGCATTCTGCCCAGCTTCGGGCGTTACTAGCTGTATGGAAGTCTCAAGTAAAACCTTAACGTCTGGTAATTTGAAGGTTGTGTTATGGCGCGCAATATAACCCTTCACTTGAGCCCAGATGAGCTCTATTGGGTTCAGTTCACAGTGGTAGGGCGGTAACCGCAGCACAGTGACACCACATTGACGGGCCATCTCATCAGTCACGCAACTAATGTTCGCAGGTTTGTGCTGTTTAATTTTTTCATACAATTCCGCTTTCACACATGAATCGTCAAACGGGATTCCTTTTTCGCGCAACCATTGCTGCATGTCACTTTTTCGAGATCCCATAGTCGGTACACGTTCGGCTCGACGACTATGGTAGGAAGCATTATCCATGACGATCACAGAGTTGGGCTCAACTCGCTGAAGCACCCCTTGAAACCAGCTCTCGAAGCAGCTGGCATTCATTTCGTCATGGTAATCACCTCCTTTCTTAGAGACGAAAATCAAGTCACACGCTTCTAAAAAGCCACTATCACTACCAATATGAGTTACGATCAATCTTTGACCTTTCCCTGACGGTCCACGAAGACCTGTTGACAAACCTTCAATGCTTGCTTGTCGGTTACTCACTACGTTTTTGTCTATCCAGGTTTTTTTAACTGTGTCACCTGCATTTACCCATGTCTCGTCCAAATAATAGATTTTTCTGCTTTGTCGCCTATATTCAATCATTTCGCGTAGGTATTTTCGACGCCAGGCGACTATTTCAGGTCTCTCTATCAATACTGACTTCCGATTACGCGTTTCGTAACGTAAATTAATTTCGTGCAGGGATTTTCTCATTACCTCAACGCTCATTTGGGGATAATTTCATTTTCCTTGATCGCTGCATGTACAGCCTTGAGGGTTGGTATCTCATTCCTAAAGAAGAATGAATGTACGGTTCGCCTTAACGCCATTTTGCTATCGTCATCCAATTTAACGGCCTTTCGTCCCTTCAAATTAAACTTTGGATCAGTAGTAGCTCCAGTTTTCACCTTTTCATGCACCACCCTGCGAATGGTCCACTCTGGAACGCCTGTCATACTTTCACAACGCGCGAGTGCATCTCCCTGCGACATAGTTCTGTTCAGATAATTGAACACTTTGAGCACGATTTCTTTCGCGTCCCTCTTCAGTGCTTTACGAAGCCGTCTACTTGTTCCCTGGCTTTCAGTACTTCCACTCGTGCCATTTGTACACTCCATGGTTAAGTATAACCAAAACAGTAACCACAGAAACCACAACAATAACAATCACACAACAATTCTTATAAAAACACAATATGCGATCGCTCAACGAAACACGTTCCAATGCGTTGCCGACGCCTATGAGTCTGCCGGTCGAGGCGTGTTTTTGATTTCATTGGTTCTACCGGCGGAGAACAATTAGCCATTATTTCCATCTCTGTCTGTGCTGTTGACCACCGCAAAGCCACAGAAACGACATATGTCGTACGCTATACGGCTGTACTGGAAGGAAGCCGGGATCAAGCTCTGATCACGTGTTGATCACGCGTATGAGTCATTACAGTTTTAAATAGTTGTAGTATAGTCTCCTGTGTCGCTCCAAGTTGACAATTCGAGGATTGTCCTCGAATTTAGAACAAGGAAACCTTATTTCTTCCGAAAGTCAGTCTTCTTTCACGCGATTGTGTCAATACTATCAAGACAATTCAAAGGCCACAGGATAAAAGGGTCTCAGAGAAAAGGCTATGCCGAAAATGTGGAATGAACTTCGTTCCCAATTCACAAGATATGCAGACTTTCTTATGAAGAGCCGCAACATGGTGTCACATGACAAATACAACTGTCAAACGAATGTTTTTGAATGTCAAAAAACACATGACGTTATCAAAATAATAAATGTGGCAGTCCCTTTGTTTTGTTGAATATAATAAATAATTGACTGTAAACATTTGTACTTGTACTACCCTAGAAATAAAGCCTAAAAATGGTAAGACCTCTCAAGAAAGTACTGAATCATACATACTGTATTCAAGTATCAAAAAGCTATTTCGAAGATGTCATAGTGTGATTTGCAATTTGTGTAATGTTATGAAAATTTTCAGTTTCAGTTCGGGTTCATATTCCCCGAGATGCCGAGGCCCTTCAACCAGACGTACCAGTGTTATTCGGTGGCGATGATGCCTGGTAACGACAGGCAAGATGTTGAAAGGGGTGGAAAAAGTGAGTGATACATTACCATAGTTCAAAACAGAGTATAAAGTAAGATCTTAGGGATGTCAGATATTACTTGTTATTTGGAGGTAAACTTGGAGCATTCATTTGCTCTTATATGCATCCCTGCTAAGGTTTGTAGAGGGATGATTTACAGGTATCAGGTAAGTACAATGCAGATTATCTGAATTTGAATTCTGATGGTTAAACTTGAATGGCGGTGCTGAATATTACGATGTAAGAAAGTCAGCAATCAGAACTTAAGTAGGGTTAGTCTTATTTTTACTTAACTTTTCTCAACTGGTACCAGCAAATCAACCCTCTACTGATCTTAGCAAGTACACAGGCATTAATATTAAAAGTACATAGAAACACCATTCAGTAAGTAACAAGTAGTAAATTTTTCAGTTGCCTCTAAAACTTTAACCACTGTACATATTGACCTGAATATAAAAAAATGTCTTAGAGAAATTGTGGTTCTTAATAATGGAAGATGTTGCAGTCAGGTTAGTGACTGAAGTCACATCACAGAGTGACTCAAAGTTGGAGTAATGAAACATCATTTTGACTTACCCTGTACAATAAGTCAAACCGTGACTACAATCAAGAAATCATATTTGCATACTGAAACTAATGACTATACCTACTGCCTGCTGGCTTATTCAATGAAATCGGATATAAAATAAAAATTTTTGGTATTACTAATTTGACCAGAATTTTGCTTGTTGCAGTTATTATGAACCTGCGTGTATAGGAAAATTACTTATAGTAAGTTTCACACTTGACAACATCTTTGGGGATTTTGAAAATTCCTCTCTTGCACCCATAAAACATTAAAGGACTTTGCGAAACAAACTTTTCTTTTTTGTCACTCTTTTATAAAGGGTTGTCCAATAGGGACGCAGGAAAGTAAACGTCAATTTGACATAGACGCCATCTTTGTTTTCTGTCACCGACATGTCATTTTGTTAGTTGAATGTTTACCATTGATCGCTATGGAGTCGTATTCGATTGAAGACCGCATTAAAGTTATTCAAGAGCACTACAAAAATGGAGCAAAAATAAAAAACACGTTTCGCGCGCTTCGTGAACATTTCGGTCGCAACAACCGCCCAAACGAAACAACCATCGGTCGTCTGGTGCGTAAATTCGAAGCAACAGGTTCTGTGGCAAATCTGCCAGGCTCTGGCCGGCCAAGGAGCGTTCGCACACCGGAAAATATTGCTGTTGTGAAGGAGAGTGTGAGAGACGATCCGAAACAATCAGAACGCGTCGATCCCAAGAATTGGGCATTTCGAGAACCAGTTTGCTCCGCATTCTCTACAAGGATTTGAATGTACACGCCTACAAGATCCAATTGACGCAAGAGCTGCGTCGGGCCGACCATTTTTCGCGCCGAACGTTCTCAGATTGGCTCCTTGAACACCGCCAAATTGATGCCAATTTTTCATCAAAAATCATGTTCAACGACGAAGCGCATTTCACTTTGAATGGGACGGTAAACAAGCAAAACTGCCGCATCTGGGCGAACGAAAATCCCCGTGAGTATCAAGGCATCATCGGACCTTACTTTTTCGAAAATGCGGCCGGGGATGCCGTTACCGTCAATTCTGAGCGATATCACGTGATGATAGAGGACTATTTTTTGCCGCAACTTGAAGGAATGGATATGGATGATGTTTATTTCCAACAAGACGGTGCAACATGCCACACAACCAACGTCAATATCCATCGATTGCAGTCCTTCTTCGGTGATCGAGGGATTTCTTTTTATGGGGATATTTGAAAAGCAAAGTCTACGTCAACAAACCAGCCACCCTCCAAGAACTCAAAAACAACATCATTGCCGAGATAAATGCCATAGAACCGACCATGTTGCAAAATGTCATTGAAAATTTCGACCATCGCGTGGACGTCTGTAAATCCAGTCGTGGTGAACATTTGAGCGATATTATTTTTCATACATAAATGGTATAAATGAACTTTCAAAATAAAGTACCCAACTTGATTTGAATATCAATCTTTCTTGTTTTAATATGCGTTTACTTTCCTGCGTCCGTTTTGGAATACATACATACAAGTGAATCAAACTTAGCCTACCTAGATAATTTGGGGCACTAAATATAATATAAAAAACACAAGGTGTGGTGAAGCCGAATTTTAGACGAAAATGTGTTGCTCACGACTCGCTAAGAGTCCAGAAATTGGTATTAATATTTCATTTCACTGACAGTCATAATGCCTCCATCTGCCTTGGAACAGCTGACAAGATTGAACATCAACTATCCCATGCTGTTCAAACTAGGCAGTAAAAGAACAGGCAGAACTACACACTGTGGTGTACTGGAGTTTGTTGCAGATGAGGGAAAGGTTTACTTGCCATTATGGGTACGTTCTTTTCTGACTTTGAAGATTGAAATTAAATTTGAGATACAAACCATATGGCGAATGTCACACAATCAGTATTTACTCCATTTCATCAGTACCAGTCAATTTTTATCAAACCTTATACATCAATTACTGACTACACTAATGACATGAATGTAAACAGTCAATGAAATGTATAGTATTGTTTACGAGGATCCATTACGGTAAAATACCAGCTGATGATCTAGTGATATTTCAAAATTCCCTATATCAACAAATGACACATAATTGGACCACATTATGCAGGATTTGACCAAGCGACAAATCTCTGTTTTTCAGGTGAACAAATAAACTTTAACAATTCATTCAAAATCAATGCTTCGATTGTGTTGAATGATTTTTGTTCTCTGAATAGAAAATAATATTACAAATTTATGTATGCAATCATTTTTTCAAAAACTCTTATACCTTAAACTTGATGAAAGGAAATGGCGCTTGGTCAAATATTGATTTCAAAAAGAATGCTCATTTTTCCTTTGACTTAATGACCTCAACACCATAATGTTACTTGGTCATGCTACGCAAAATAAGGAACGCATTACAGAAAGATTCTTTATTTTTGTATTTTAGTAATTAGCATCAAATTCATTGAAAAATGAAAACTACACAAATTAAAACATCCTCGAAACCAAATAAGAAATTGCTTGAATGACAAATGTGGTAATAAACTCAATTATATGATTCAAAAATAAAATGAAGCAAGAAGTAACCACAAATTTCATCGTCAAGCTCAAAATCTGGTTGACCATTGAACCCATCTATATCTTCCTCATTACTTGAACCGCCAACTAGATTCCTATAGAACTTCTTGAAATCATTGGTTATAAGTAGTAATGATTTTAAATCGTCTAGCTTTTTTTCTGATATAGTTTTCTCATACTTTTGAAATCCTTTCTCGAGGGTAGGAAATTTTCGGATCAAAATTAATAACATTCTGTCGACAACACGGCCCATCAAAGCCGGTATCCCTCAGGGTTCGGTTCTTGGGCCAGTCCTTTATTCACTTTTTATTCATGACATCTCTTGCCCCAGCAAATGTGAAATCTATCGCTACGCTGATGACACTGCCTTGGTGGCCCAGTCGTGTTCTGGGGTTCTAGTTCACGACAGGCTGCAAAGTGCAGTGGACGACTTATTGGAATGAGTGAATCGGTGGCTGATCAAAATTAATCATTTGAAAACGCAGGCAATATATTGTACTAAAAAACGTAGCGGCGCCCCGTCTGAGGTTTCAGTGAATGGAGCTCGGGTACCATGGGAAAGCTCTGCTAAGTATCTCGGTCTCACTCTTGACAAGGGGATGACCTGGCAGAAGCACACTGAAGCGTTAAAAACTAAATTCCAAATCTCGTTTCGGCAACTCTACCCTATGCTATGTAGAACATCAAAATTAAGTTTGATCAACAGATTTCAGCTATACAAGATGGTTATTAGACCAGCGATCACTTCCGCAAGTGCGGCTTGGTGTTTTCTTGGCAAAACGCATTTGCGTAGCCTGCAGGTTTTGCAGAATAGAACCTTGCGTACAATCACTAACGCCCCATGGTATGTCTCCAACGAGACCCTTCACAGAGACCTTGACATCCCTTACCTAAGGGACTACATCAAACAACAAGCGCAGCTACGTTATAGTCAAGCGGAATCGCATAGCAACCCTTGTTGCGCGAGTCAGTAGACTACACAGTCGAGCAAGTTCGCAAGCACACAAGGCCGCGACTCGCACTGTGAACAAAATTAAATCGTGCGACTTTAGGTCCAACCAAAATTATAATTTTTCTTCGTCAACAATCTCATAATTAATTTTAGGATCAATTTAAAATTGCCGAATACTAATTAGCAATGTCAAGGCACCCCTCATATTGACGCATTTCTTTTTTCTTTGCTCTCCCTCCTTCCTGTCTTCTTCCCTTCTGTCTCCCTGACTTTGTGTGTTATCTGGGCAACCAGACCTGACAGACCTACTGACTTACAAGACTTTAACCAAGAGCAAAAGTCCTACCAATGACGAATAGAGAGAGGTTTCTCATTTGGCCACAGTTTTTCGAGGGATTTACTAAGCAATGCTTGAATCGAAGCATTCGATGGTCCGCTACGTCTTTTCTCAATATTGGTCACTTTATGCAAAACTTCGGTAGTGCCAATGCCTACTCTACACAAAATCTGGTCGTTTGGTCATGTGTTAGAAAACAAATAACAAATATTACGCTTGGCGCACAGTTAAAAATGTTTTTGCTTTTGAACCTCAGATCTCTATACTGCCTGCATAGGTAAGTTGAACTACTGTACATCAGATGGCAGCGAAATCCGGAAATTTATCAAATGGCAGTTATGCATAACGCGGTCCAATTCTGACGGATCCGTCAACGCCAAGTAGACAGAACCGTATGTTGTTTTGGTTTTCTAAACGTTACAGAGATTCATTTTGTACTTGCATACAAGCAAGTTTTACTAGATTTACGCCCGATTCATCATTGCCAACGTTACAGACTAGTGCGAAGGTGTCACTTTCTGATTAGCTGTTCACATCAGTAGACGTCAAGACGTAATGGATACTCATGAAATAGGGTATATGGTTATCCTGTTTTTTTTATCCCTAATTTCACAGATGATGCACAACCTAGTGCTAGAAGAAGGCGATTTAGTTCAAATGGAGAGTGTTACTCTACCAGTAGGCACCTTTGCTAAGTTCCAACCACTGAGTGCCGACTTTCTCGACATCACAAACCCAAAGGCTGTGCTCGAAAATTGCCTGCGTTCATTCGCCTGTCTGACCAAAGGTGATGTCATTGCTGTCAAGTACAACTCCAAGACGTACGAACTGTGTGTATTAGAGACCAAGCCTGGAGATGCCATAAGCATTATTGAATGCGATATGAATGTGAGTAATGTGTTCTCGTAGAAATTGTAACCAGAGAAGCGTTGATCCTTAGAAAAACTACTGTTAATATATTCCACATTCAAAGAAGGATTGGAAAAATCTTAGAAGCCCTATATACACAGATAAGATCTTTGTATTGGGGGTGAATTGAGGTTATGGGCCCAGTAAATTTCAACTCAAGCTTGCATATCTTCATAATTAGATGTGTACGTCATTAGAACTGAAGATTATTTTTGGGCTCATAATCAGGTCTTTTTGTAGGTCGAATTCGCCCCTCCAGTAGGCTACAAAGAAAACGAACCAAGCAAGAAGGCAGAAGAAGAGGAAATGGCCGTGGATCCGGCCGAATTAATGCCGGAACCTCCCGGATTTGTGGCATTTCGAGGAGCTGGAAACAGGTTGGATGGCAAAAAGAGGAAGGAATCCATTTCGAACGACGTGGTTCAGCCGAAACCTGCTTATGTTAGGGGAATTCCAGATTACGACTATCAGATTGGCACTTTGAGATTCATCAGGTTGGTACCATTTTCAAACATCTTACTCAAAAAATACTCTTACTCACATTAAGCTCACATGGAATGAATCCATGATCATTAGCAGTAATATTGACTGTAAACTAAAACTGTGTTAACTTATGCAAAACAACTCACAAAGTGTCTTCGTAGCTAGAGAACTTTAAAGCGGTAGAAGATATGCCTACATGACCACTATTAACACGTGTTGATGTGTAGAAGTATAAAGAAAAAAATAGTGTAAATTTTTTTTCAGGCGATCAGTGAAGCAAAAAACAGAGGACAACGACGATGGAGGCGAATTCAAGGCATTTAGCGGCACCGGATTCAGTCTAAGAGGTAGAAACTAAGTTGATTCTTCTGTGATAAAGGTTTACTTGATTTTATTTAATTTGTATTTTTTATTTTCTGTTCTTAGATTCTCTGTTAAGTAGCTGAATAAGGTCAATGTGTGTGGCCTTGCAACTACAGTGTACCATCGAGTCTAACATGATCTTTTATATAAACGTTTTACTTGCACATGTATGCTGGGATGGAGTGTAAATAAAAAAGTGGGAAAGTATTTATTGTGTATATTTTTATCCACTGATATTTGTTTTACTGAAAATTTCAGATATAATAGAATTAGTAAGGCTCGTAAAGTATCAATTCATTTCAATTCAATTCTTTATTTGTGTTAAGTACACCAGCGTGTTTACACAAGTCAAAAGAAAAAAAAATAATACAAAAAGCAGTCTGACAAAAGAGTGATGTTCAAATTAGACAGAAAAACATCAACTTATGACATTATGATTCAATAAAAGCAGATACAGCAAGTCCATATAAGTTGTAAAAACAGGAGGACATATATTCGTACATAGATACACGCATATTCATTTAACCACAATGCGTATGTTTACTTCTACACACACACACATATATACATATACAGGGTGACTTTGAAGTTGAGTCATTAATTTTCAGATAATGATTGTAGAAGGAAGATAAACCAAAATATGTGTGTAAAAATAAAAAAAAAATTTACCTTGTTTTATAAAGTATCCTCCCGACAAGTATTTCAGTGCGGACCTGTATTTGATCGTGAGGTCCCCTGTGAGGTCTTAAGTCACCTGATTCACGAGCCCGTTGTACTACATTAACAAAGGCACGAGGGGTTGGTTGCACTCGATTGGGAAACCGATCCGCATAAACATGTGCCATTTTTTATTTCGTTTGAGCCTCGCAACAGACACTATTGACACGCGACTGAAACTGACTGTATGTATAACTGAACTGAATTGTAATCGTAAAAACATCGTTCCAAATTCTTTCGCTTTTTTGTTTCCGATGCGATGAACCGTTGTTGCCAAACACGAACACATGATATTATTGAGACAGGGCGGTACTCAAACTTCCAAAGGGCTATAACTTTGTTACTTTAATTTTACAAGAAAAATGGTAAAGGAAAAAAACAATTAATTTTGATCAGATCTACACACTGTTAAAATAAATGACTCAACTTCGAAGTCACCCTGTATACACATATATACGTTAAAATGGAAGACATATGAAATGTTGATATAAAAATTTACCAGATGAATTAGTAGAAGGTTCAAGGAGTCTAGAGGATCCCAGGTGTAGGAACACTGTTATATTTGCTAACAATCCGACATGTCTGAAAAATTATTGCTCAAATACTCGTTGATCGAGTAAAATGCTTTAGTAGTCAGATAAGCATTAATTTTATTTTTAAACTTTCGCATCCAGTTTCTTTATACGGTCTGGCAACAGGTTATAAAAAACCTTCCCATAATAGTTTGTGTCGTTCCTGATGGTTTGGAGACGGCTATGAGGTAATAAGATTTTATCCATATTTCTGGTTCTATAACTGTGGACATCACTGTGGGTAGTATATTGGCTCAGGTTAGTCTTTATATACATCAGACATGTGAAGATGTAAAGAGAAGGTACTGTCATGATTTTGAATTCTATAAAAGCTTCCTTGCAAGGTTCCGTGTATTTGAGGCCAGCAATGTACCGCAAGCAACGTCGTTGTAATCCAAAAACTTTTGACGAATGGGCCGAATGACCCCAGTTTAACAGTGCGTATGAAATTCTTGATTGAAAGTAGGAATAATATGTTAGAAGAAGAACTGACTGAGAGACATTTTGTTTCAAGTTCCTTATCAAATATATATATTTTGCTAGTGCATCGAGAACATGGATTACGTGAGTTTCCCACGACAAGTGTTCATCAATGTAGACTCCTAGTAACTTCACGGACTTTTGTGTATTAGTGTCGTGCTGCCTCAAGCTAAGAATAATCATCTGAGACTTGGTTTCATTGATGGTCAACTTATTAGCGGTTAACCAGTTTGCTAGTTTTCTTTTATGAGCCTCAGAGTCGAATATCAATGAGGCTAAAGAGGCATTGCTATTCATCAAGGTAGTGTCATCAGCGAATAGGATTTTAAGTTATTATTCACATTATAGTTAGTCATATCATTGACGTAAATTAAAAGTAAAATAGTTCCCAATACCGAGCCTTGCGGTACCCCGTGAGCAGCGACTAACTGTGAGGATGATGAACCTTTAAAGGATACAAATTGACGTCGATTACTTAAGTAAGATTTAATCATTGCAGTGGATGCTTCATGAAAGTTATAAAAAGGGAGCTTTTCCAACAGGATGTCGTGTTGAACACAATCAAAAGCTTTGGACAAGTCCAACAAATATGCTGCGCCATACAGGTTGTTTTCAAATGTCTCGTTCACAAACTGAATAAAACTGTTAATAGCTGATGTGGTGGAACTAATTTTCCTAAAACCAAACTGTGTTGAGCAAAATAAATTATTAGCCTCAAAGTATTAATTAATTTGATCTTTCAACAATAATTCCAAAATTTTCGCAAAAATTGGTATTAAGGAAATGGGCCAGTTGCATAACTCTTCGGTATCCCCTTGTTTGAAAATGGGTATAATTTTAGATAGTTCCGGAAAAAAATCCGGAAAAGTATTACTTTCTATACACTGATTGAATAACTTGGTTAGAGGATATATGATGAGATTTTGCAGGGTTTTGACAATCCTGACGTAAAGCCATATGGGTCAGTACTCTTTGAGTTTTTTAGTTTATTTATAGCAGTTCTCACATCATGATATGAAACTTCCCTGAATCGAAAGTGTGAACTATGAGTAGGATGATTCATATAATGCGATGGAGAAACATCGGATGGGGTAATTTTATTTAAAAGTTTTTGTGGGATATGGGTAACAAAGTCGTTGAATTGATGTGCTGTGAGAGATGTTGAGGAGTCCTGGTTGTGTGCGTTAGGTTTAACATTCTTTATGATATTCCAAGCAGCATATTGTCTGTTGTTGGATTTATTAATGTAGTCATCATTGGCTTTAATCTTAGCTTTGACAATTTCTTGTCTGTAACTGTATTTAAATTGTTTCAAGCAGTCTGTACTAACTAAAGTAACATCGTCTTTATGAAGCTCTGTTAGGAAAGTCAAAGTCTCTCTCATATTTCTTATATGATCATTGAACCAATACACATTACAGGAGCTTTTATTATCATTAACAAGTCGCGATTTTATAGGAAGATGTTGATTGCCCGAAATTCTGACAATAGATATGAATTTTTCAATTTTATATTCGATTGTCGTACTTTTTTCATTAACAAATTCGAAAGATGTTGATTCCATATCATTGTAAAGTTTGAAAAGGCCGCTGTTTGTTATAGGTCTATAATAGAGTTTCCTACGTACTTTCGGTACATGTGATAAATTAAAAGTATAGTCAAGCGCTAAATGATCTGAATAATGAGTATCAAAAACATTAACGCTATTTTCTGAGTCTACGTAGTTTATGAAGATGTTATCTAGACAACTTGAGTTTCTTGTATTTTGACTAACTATTGGCATGAAACCATAACAACTAAATAAGTTCACAAGCTCATGAGCTTGGTGTTGTAACGTATTAAATCTAACCTTAAAATCTCCTGTTATCACAATTTGCTTGCGGTAATCGAGTCCATCCAATAAACGACAAAGTTTCATAATAAAGTATTCAAAATTACCATCAGGAGATCGATACAGTGAGATTAACTGAAGATCATTCACATTTACTCCGGCCGCCTCAAAGTGTCCTTTAGCTGGAACATTTTTGATTTGACTAAATTGACTGTACTATAATTTGATATTCAATTAGATCGAATATCGACAAACGTTCGTGTCCATCTCTATCACTGTTTGGCAGGCTGTTTTATTTATAGGTTATGTTGTTGCTTCGTCGCGGGTGTTTTGAGTTTAGATTTGCGTGGTGCCGTTTTGTAAAAGAATTTAAATGTAGAGGCAAGAAAACATGAGTACATCACCAGATCATTTAACATTATCCCAGTTTATAAGCAAGGTGCATGAAGATTTGCGCGAGGAATCCAAAAAAGTTGGCCCAGAGCATGCATGGAATGAACATTGCAAAAATGAAACTATTCTTAACAATTATGCTTCTGCTATGAAGTCACTAGCGACGACTTACTGGGAGCCCAACTCCTACAATACCTCGAGGATAGATTGGGCATATGAGTATTGTATGAAATATTTTGCTGAAATTATATTCGACGTACGAGAAAAAGAAAAGAGTATAGCTGCGAAGCTAGGAATGGAAATCTTTGATTATTTGGAAGAAAACCCCAACAAGTCTTATAAGTTACTAGATGTAGGAAGCTGTTATAATCCTTTTAAAAAATTTCAATGTTTTGACACTCTGGCTATAGACATTGCGCCTGCAGTTGAAGATGTTGTTAAATGTGACTTCCTCGACTTGAAAGTTGATGAAAAACTAAGTATATCTAACACAAAATGCATTTTAGAACTTCCAAAGTGCTCGTTCAACATAGTAATTTTCAGTTTGTATCTAGAATACTTGCCAACTCCAAAGCAGAGGCTTGACAGTTGCTTGAAAGCATACAAGCTACTAAAGACTGAGGGACTTCTAGTAATTATAAGCCCAGATTCAAACCATGTAGGAGCAAATGCTAAAATAATGAAGTCTTGGAGAACATGCTTAGCTAAAGTAGGATTCTCAAGGGTAAAATATGAAAAATTAACCCATCTACACTGTATGGCATTTCGGAAATCATATCTTAAAGAAATTCCCTTGAGATGGGTACAGATTTATCCTAATTTAGATGTCTATGATGAAATGTTCATACCTCAAGATTTTAAAAAATTAGGTGAAAGCAGTCATAAAAGTGAACCTTATGAAATAGAGTTTAACAAGGAGCTACCATTGCAAATGTGATTTCAATACATGTAAGTAAATTTCTGTAATTCTCTATTTTTCAGAAACAATTTTAAAAGCAAAACTCGCAGCCGAGATCCGACTCGTCTAGAAACTTCAAACAAATTTTTCTTGATGAACAGGGTGGACAATATATAACTGACTGATGTAAATTGCGTGGTATTTTTGATACAAGCTTTTCAGTAGGAGGTGCTGTAGTAGTAGTTGCTCAAAGCAATCCAATCCATCATGGACCGCTACATGATACCACAACGTGTCCATATTGTTAAAACGTTTTACTTAAATAATGAGTCGATTGTTGCAACGATTCGGAAGCTACAACAAGATTTCGATCGAAAAATAGAGTTCGTGAAAGCGTAGTGGAGCGCCTTGAGACGACTACCAGACATCCTTCTCAAGAACTGGGTATTCGTCACACGTCATTCTGCACTATTTTAAAAAAAGACTTTTGCGGCCATACAAAAATCAGTTAACCCATGAGCTTTTGGTAATCATATATGAATAAAAAATATAGGTATTGATGCAACTATCTAAGTGACATATAAATCCGAACACCCAGTTTAAATGGTTTTATTTTAATAAAATTTTGTATAAGTACTTAATGAAGCATAATAAGTAAATGATAAAAATTTCAAAATGATTGCACTGCTTTAAAGCCCTTTGACCTTTAATAATATGTGCTACGCATTCTCCAACGCGCCTAGGCATGCTTCTGATCAGGTGGTCAATGTCCTCCTGTGGTATCTCATTCCAGGCAACCACCAACTCCTCTCGAAGTGCTTCTAGAGTCTGAGGAGGAAGTTGCAAATTGAGCAATCTCCTACCCATCATATCCCACACGTGCTCAATTGGGGATAAGTCGGAAGATCTTGGTGGCCATGGTAACAATGTGACATCATTATGTTGAAAGAAGTCTATTGTGACTCTTGCAACATGTGGTCGGGCATTATCTTGTTGGAAAGTTGGATCTGCCAGGGTGTCAAGATAGGGTAAAAGATGGAGTTCTAGAACTTCGTGGATATAACGCTGCGCGTTCATGTTACCTCTGATGAAGATTAAAGGTGACCTGGAACCATAAGCTCTAGCACCCCAAACCATAACTCCAAAAGTGTGATGAACATGTCTTTCAACAAAAAACTATGGATTCCTCCTTTCACCACGTCGCCTTCTAACCCTGGCACGACCATCCTGCATACCTAAACAAAATCGAGACTCGTCACTAAAGACAATACTGTTCCATTCCTGATCCCAGAGTGACCGTTGTGTGCACCACTCAAGGCGATTACGTGGGTGTTCTCGAGTTAAAGGGAGGACCCAGTGTGGCCGGTATGAAAACAAGCCAAAACTTCTCATTCGTCGGTAAACACTTCGCATGCCAATAGGTCTTCCGTGTTCTGCAAACCATTCATTTGCAATGGACCTGGTAGTGGAGAAACGGTCCCTTAAGGCCAATAATCTTAGGCGGCGATCTTCACGGTCTGTTGTTCTACGGCGGCGTCCAGTGCCCCTTGCTCTTTGCGTACGGCCTTCTCGAAGCCATGCCTGACAACACCTAACCACAGTGTCTACACTTCTTTGCACTCTAACTGCAATTGCCCGAAAAGAAAGTCCAGCTTCCCGAAGTCCCACTATACGGCCCCTATCAAACTCACTAAGTTGACGAAATCGTACAGGTCTCCGTACTCTAGGCATCGTAACCGATCGTAAAGGATGTCAAGAACCAAAATCCGCGAACGTTGATTCTTTACTGAGGCTGAGATATTCATTTTTAGAGCGGTAGTGAATTAAAAAAAAGCAGTATAAAAACCGGAATGTCCAACTGATAAGGCTGAAAATTTTTTCACTTGTTATTTACAGTAAGATAAATACATTCACCAACTTTTATTAAAATAAAACCATTTAAACTGGGTGTTCGGATTTATATGTCACTTATACATAAATAAATTAAGAACTGCAACCTAGTGACCATGAAAGTCGCCGACAGTACAGTCATGCAAAATTCTACGATATAAACTGATTTTTTAATAAGTACAATTGTCATATCTGGGCATTAGATAATCCTCGTCTCATCTATCAACGACCACTACATCCTCGTCGAGTCGCAGTTTGGTGCGGTGTTTGGACCTTACTTCTTTGAAGTCGCGGCAGGTAATTCTCTTTCTGTCACTGACGAGCGCTACCGTGATATGATGCAAAACTTTCTGGCTCCTCAAGTCGACAATTTAACCTGCAAAACATGTAGTTCCCTCAGGATGGAGCAGCTTGTCACACAGCTAGGGAAACAATGAATCTATTGCGAACAATATTTCCGGGACGTTTAATTTCTCGATTTGGTGAGGTCAACTGGCCACCAAGATCACGGGATTTAACGGCTCCTGACTTTTTGATGGGGATTTTTAAAAAATAGGGCTTATGCCAACAAACCAAACACTGTAGAGCAGCTGAAGAACAATATTACGGAAGCGATTTAAAATAATCCTCCCGAAACCTACCAAAAAGTGATGGAAAATGTAATCAAGAGAGCTCAGGTTTGCGCGGCTTCTGGGGGCGGACATTTGTCTGATATGATTATTCAAACATAATTTCTAAGTTTCAATAAAAGATTAATGTAATATTCAAGACACAAACCAGTCAGTTACATATCGGCCACCCTGTATTACGAGGGCGTGTTGAATAGAAAATTGGGCGTGGTTTGGTGAAACTCGGCCACACCCATTTTCCAACGTAAATTTAAATGATTAGCTATAGATCTGTCAATTGTCAATCTTCTCAAAACTGTTATGTAAACTTTTACGAGCACTGAATCGAAGATAATTCAAAAATATGGCAAAATTCTTCGGCATAGACCGATTTTTCCAATTTCTAAACACCATAAAAGAGACTGGCGGTATCAGAGCCTCTCTGTACAAACTTTATAGGTACTGTACTTAACCTCACTTCGGGTAAATAATCTTCATAAACTTGTCCGTTTTTAGGATGGATAACTTGCGTCCTGGTACTCTAGTAGGAACTGACAAATACGGCAACAAGTACTATGAGAACCCGCACTATTTTTACGGCCGAAATAGATGGGTGGAATACGCAGAGAAGTACGGATTGGACTATGATGCGAGTCAAGTTCCTGCGGAATGGTATGGATGGCTGCATTACAAAACTGACTTGACTCCAGATAAGGATCCCTCTAGGCCGCATTATAAGTGGATGGCTGACCATACTGAGAATCTGAGTGGTACTCCAGGGCAGTTCATGCCTTATAGTACTACTAGACCAAAGATTGAGCCTTGGATCCCACCCAAAGCATAATTCAGTAAAAGTTGTTGAATAGAATTTTTAATTTCATGTTGTGGTTTTTAAAACCTTCATTTGAAAATAGTTAGGATAAAGAATAAAGTGCATAGATAAAAATAAATTCCAATAAGTTTTGTCTAAAGTTTTTTTAAACATACAAAATGTGTCTTCATAACTCTGTGCTACAGACTTGTTGCTACTCTAATAAAAATAATTTTTGAACCCTTTCACAGGTTTTTTTAATGGATTTACTCTTTTTACATGCTTATAATTTTGCTTATTAGGTAAAAATTGTTCAGACTTCTATGTTCAATTGAGAACCAAAATTAAGCCTCTTCAATTAACTTAACCACAGAAAATATTGACACCAAATCATTTGAAAGAGTAACTCAACATTGCTGTCAGTTGTTCTAAGTGTGAATCTAAAATTAAATACTTATTACAGCCATTTGAGAGCAGATTTCAGGAACCTAACTATAAAAAATGAAATATACAAACTTATAAGAAATCGTTGATGAGCCAGTCTGGCTGAAATAATTAGTTGTCCTGCCAATATTCAGTTGTTGTAACTTGCTGAACTTATTTTAAAAGTTATCCACTAAAAATCTTTTTGCTGAGAAAGTCTTCAAGAACATAAGATTCTTCAGATCTTGCACATTTCTGGAAATTGGTTCCATATGAATACTTTCTGGCAATAACTGACTTAGCATTGCAGTTTTTAAGTAGTTTTGAATGAAAATGTTTTTCCAACATTAGGCAAAAAATAAATACCACACATCATTAACTGACAACTTATTACTGTCAACATCTATCTGATTTGATGCCTAACAACAGAAACAAAATCAGAAATCACATTGATTGTATCATCTTGGATTACATATACTTTTGTTTATTGTTCTATTATAATTGATTGATTCAATTTTTTATCGCACATGTTCCAAAAGTAACTTCAGTGGTCTGCTGAAAATATCTGAATCCTCTGTCTGGTCTAACTGTTAAAAGTTGAGCAGTGTTGATTTAGGTGCTGGTTAGCACCCATTCATGCACGCATCTTCAGTTTCACAACCAGCATTCGCTGTCTATCAGCATAACAGATCTGATCAGAATCAGGCCAGCTACAAAGATTTGAGAAATTATGCCCTTGCATCGCTTAGAAGAGAGAAAAAAGCATATATGTCACGTTTCCGGAATCTTAACTCTAGTCAAGCTTGGAAACACCTGAGGAGGATGAATGTGGTAGCCCAGAAACATGTTGCGATACCTCCCGGTCTCCTTGAGCCTAACATTTTAAATAATTATTTTCTTTCAATTTTCCAGACAGCTGCAGCTGATCCAAATTTGATTGATAGTGTCTCTAACTCTTATAGCGATAGACGCCATACACCGGATGCACTTCTGTTTGCTTTTAAACTCCTTACTCAGCAAAATATCGTCAATATAATCTCTCACATTAAGTCTGAGGCATGTGGCTCTGATGGTCTAACTTTAAATATGGTTTGCTTATGTTTGGCTGATACCATAGACCATATAACTCACATTATTAATGTCTGTCTCGAAACAGGTTACTTTCCTGCCAGTTGGAAAAATGGTATTATTATTCCAATAGCTAAAACTAATCATCCAGAACAATATTCGGATCTCAGGCCAATTACCTTATTATGCTTTCTATCAAAAATACTCGAAAGAGCTGTCTACTCACAACTAGTGGAGTTTCTCGAACAAAACCACTTATTTCCTCTACATCAGTCAGGCTTCAGAGCTGGTTACAGCACTACTTCGTCTTTATTACATCTTACTGATTCCATCATTCACAATTTAGATAATCACAGCAACACCGTCTTGGTACTGTTAGATTTCTTGAAAGCCTTTGATATGGTCAATCACCAGATACTACTGAGTAAGTTATCTCATTATGGAATGTCAGATATAGTTCTAAGGTTCTTTGAGTCATACTTGCTAAATCGTCAACAAACAGTGAAAACTGATCAGGGAATTTCCTCCTCTGAGCCAGTTCCTTCAGGTGTTCCTCAGGGCTCAGTATTAGGTCCCTTACTATATCTGATTTATACGATCGATTTGCAAGACTGTTTAGTCCACTGTAGTATGCAAACTTATGCAGATGATACTCAGTTAATGTTTGGTTTCAATCCATCAAAGGTTGATGGAGTTTCTTTTAAAGTTAATTTAGATTTGGCTAACATCGGTGATTACTGTAACAAACACTGCTTGAAGATCAATCCTAATAAAACTACTGCAATGTTGTACTGTTCGAAGAACTCCTACCGTGAAATGAAGCAGAGGATTTGTGTTTTTTTGGATGAGACACTCGTCCCTTTTGTGGATTACGCCAAGAATCTCGGTGTTACCCTTGACTTAAATATGAGATTCGATCGGCATGCCTCTTTCTTATCTAGAGTAACGTATATGCGTTTGACACTCCTCTATTCTTATTGATACATTTTGAATTTTAAAACCCGAGAAAAGCTCGCTGAAAGTCTTGTGTTGTCTGTCATTTCTTACTCTCTTGTTCTTTATTACCCATGTTTAGACTACGTCCACAAAAGGAAACTCCAGAAAATTCAGAACAGCTGTTGTAGGTTTATTTTTGGATTGCGCAAGTTTAGTCACGTCTCAGATAAAATTAAAGAACTCAACTGGTTGCGAATTGATAAGTTATTTTTATATCTTTTGACCGTCTTTATGCATAAAGTTCTATTATCTAACAGACCAGCTTACCTCGCTAGCAAATTAGTTCACCGAGGTAGTTTTGTTACCAGAGCTCTTAGATTTAATGCTAATTTTAACATGCCTCCTCACAATACCTTTGTCTTTGAAAGAAGTTACACCTATAATGCTGTCAAGCATTACAATGCAGTCAACAGTGGCTATCGATCCAAACAAGTTGTTTCTTTTAGGAAATTAATGAATAGTCAGCTGCTGGAGTCCATTTAGTTCAGTTTTTCTTGTGTTCATGTGATTATTTTTTAAAAAACCAAAACAAAATATGGCTCCGACTACCTGACGTTGACGGATCCGTCTGAATTATGCGTCCTGTGCCGTTATGGGGAAGTTTGAGATATACTAGATAATCAGCTGTCATTCTACCCTGATGGATACTCGTGAAATAGGGTATAGGTGTTTGACTTCATTGTCAAACATTGACACTATTGAACAACTCACGTCGTGTTTATAAATATTAAAAATTGTTGGTCAGGTTAATAAAATAATTTATCCATAATAAATAAATCTATTAACAAAAACATATAAATTTCGAAATCACGTATTTCTTTGTACAACATTTTAAGCTTTGATATGATTTTGTACCATATGTCTGGTCAGTGATGAAGCATAGTGGTAGGTAGACCCACAAATAGAACATCTACAAAAATAAGAAAATGTGTAATTAGTAAGAGATTCGAAAAATTAATTACCCAAATAATATCATCAAATTTGGGACTCACAGTATCCCAAAAAGTATCTACACAGAAAAAAATAATGATTTCTTTTATTATGAGATGTTTGGTCAGATAAGTTGTTTATCATGTAAAACTCTCACAAAAATAAGAAAGCAAAAATTCATACCTGTACATATCTTGTCCCGTATGTATTTCAGCATGCCTCATAAGGTTAGAATATCTAGAAAAAATCCGTTTGCATGATTTGCATTGAAAGATTTTTCCCTGTTTTGACTCTTGACTCTTTTTTGTTGTGCCATTCAGATCTTCAGCCAAGTATAAAGATGACAGTTGCTTACTGGAAAGGCTGCTGTGAGGAGAAATGACACTATATAAACTTAACTATTGCAGCATAGCTTTTGAATCATCAACGATTTGACTTATCAGCATGAGATAGCGCGAAGCGCCATCTATCGCACCAGAATCGAACCATTGTAGATGGCGCACCGTTGCTATTAGTCGGAACCGTCGCAGTTCCAGTTTAATAGCCGTACCGCTAAACGACTGATGATTCTGGCAGAATGCAGTCTGGTCTGTTAGCCAATGAACATGTCAAAAGAAAATGAGATGCCTTCGTCCGCGATCTACAATAATAATAATAATAATAATAATAATATTTATTTACTCAATGTACAAAGATAACAAACAATATGAGTAAATAAATATAAAATCAAAACAGGCCCAATAGAAGGCATCGCCTGTACATGGACCAATAATTTAAGTTGAAACTGTAGAATGCAAATGACAAAAAAGGACAAAAATTAGCTACAGTAGATTATGTATTTAGTTGATGTTCGTATTTATGAGTTTATGAATTTCAGTCCTAGATATAGAATGTAGCCACTTTTTTAAATTTCTTTTGAAACAATTTCCGAAACGTAAATCTTTTAAGTCTTTAGGTATAATTTCATAAAATAATGTATGTATAATGATTATGTTTAATTTTTTGGTCGGTGTTTACAAATTTATGGTAGTGAGTGATACTGTGTAAGAAATAAAGCTGTCTTATATCATACATTCGAACATCTGCATATAATTTTTCAGTGGGATAAAGTTTCGGTTTTTTAAATATCATTTTTAGAATACTTTTTTGAAAAACATCTAAATTATAGATATGTGAGGAACATGCAGCTCCCCATGCTAATATACCATATGTGAGATGAGGCTCAATCAGTGCATGGTATAATGTTTGAAGATATTTTTCTGTCAATATATTCCCAAGGTATTTAATTTTGTAGGATACAAATCTAACTTTCTTTAAAATATAATTGACATGGATGTCCCATCGTAAGTGAGGATCCAAGACCACTCCAAGGAATTTTATGTTGGGCACTCTATTAATTTGCATTTTTTGATCATTAATATTGAAGGAGAAATTTGTGTAATTTGGCAGATGTCTAGCATAAGATCCAAATGGTAAAAAATGTGTTTTAGAGTAGTTAATGCTTAATTTTCTACTGTTAAACCACCGAATAATTTTGATAAAATCATTTTCAATTACATTTTTCAGATCAGACCAGTCAGTGCCTTCATATAATATTGCAGTATCATCTGCAAAACTAGTTATTTTGCCAACACAATTAATTTGGAAAATATCATTTAAATATATATTGAATAACAGCGGACCTAAGACAGTTCCTTGTGGGACACCACACTTAATATACATTTCTTTACTAAATGATCCTGATATCTGCACAGATTGTGGGCGATTTGACAAATAACTTTCGATCAGTGAGTACGCGTTTCCTCTGAAACCAATTCTCTCCAATGCTTCTAATAATAATTTGTGATTAACTGTGTCGAAAGCTTTCTTTAAATCAACAAAAATGCAGATTGAAGGGATTCTGTTATCAATATTTTGATATATTTGATTTACAATTTTAGTTATTGCGTCCGATGTAGCCTTCCCTTCTGTAAATCCATATTGATTTTCACTTAAAATTTTGAATTTTGTGAGGTATCGAATCATTCTAGTAGATAAAACTTTTTCAAAAACCTTTGCTACACTGGATATTATTGATATTGGTCTATAGTTGTTAACATCTGTTTTTGTTCCTGATTTATGTATCGGTATTATATTACCTTTTTTTAAAATTGAGGGATATATGCCAGATTCAAAGCATTTGTTGATTAGGTAAGTGAGTGGTTCTGTTATGTCCTCGGCTATAATTTTCAAATGCTCGCTTTTAATACCATCGAACCCCGGACTTTTTCGATTTTTTAAGGACATAACAGTGGTGTATACTTCATATTGTTCGACTTTATCCAAAATAAATGAGTTCAAAGTTCTTTTTGGAGGCTGAGTATTTTGTACATTTGCTTGTATATTACTTGCTAAATTTTCGCCTATGTCAGTAAAGAATTGCACAAATTCATCGCATATCTGTTGAGTATTTTTTAATACTGTTCCCGATGTTGTATTTAACTCAGTGACACACTCTTTAAATTTTGTTTTCCCAGTAATCTCATCAATAGTTGTCCAAAGCCGCTTAGGATCAATTAAGTTATTATTCAATTTATTTAGGTAATGTTTTCGTTTGGTTTGCCTTGCAAGCTCCATAAATTTATTATTATATTGATTGTAACAGTCGGTATTCTCTGTAGTTGGCGTTAGTTTCATTACATTATATATAGTCTTTCTTTTTCTATTGCCGATGTTATTAATCCTTTGGTAGTCCAGGCATTTCTGCTTTTCTCTTTGTGACTAATTATTACTTTCTTGGTACTAATATCTATTAGTTTTTTTTATTTTCTCTATGAACAGTCCCGTTGCTTTGTCTATATTATCTATAGAGTATAATTGTTCCCAGGATTCTTGTTTGACATTTGATGTTAGTTTTGAATTGTCGACAAAAAATTTGTAATTTTCCTGGTTGTTATTAACGGAAGGAATGTTAGAATGTTTTTCATTTGAAGATATCAGTAAAATAGTGGAGAAGTGGTCAGTAATATCGCTTTCTAGGATTATTGGTATACAAGTAATTTTGTTGGATAGGTCTTCCACAAAGCAGTGATCTATACATGTGCCACTGATGGACCTTGTAGGTAGGTTTATATAGGACAGAAATCCGTTACTTGATAGGACATTCAAGTATTCATTTGTGATGGGATCATTGTCCAAAATATTTATATTGACATCTCCCAAGAAAATATGTTGCTTTAAATGAACTTTATTTTGATTTTGAAAAAAAATTCGATATTCTTCAAAAACTCGTGGGGTTCTGAACATGGCGGACGATAAATTGCAGATACCTCAATTTTGTTATGGTTAATTTGGATCATTATGTTTAAAATTTTGATTCCATCGGTGAAAGTGAATGTATCATGATTATATTGTAGCTCATTTCTTACAACTATCACCCCATCGTTTTGGTTATAAGTGCCAAAGTTATACAGCGTGTCATATCCCTGCTGATTGAAGCAAGAAATATCAACCACTTGCCACGTTTCAGTTAAAACTATTAGATCAAAATTGTACCATATTTGGTCGAGTAGTATTTTTAAGTAATCAATGTTGTGTTTTATACTCCTTATGTTCATATTAAAAATTCGAAATTTTGCATCAGAATTTTGTGTACATAAATTAAGTTCATCGACGTTTTGTGCTATATTTGTTGCAATATTTGGAATTTGGAAATCATTGATGTATTTATTTACTGACATTTTTAGGTACTCTTTAGAGATAGGAGTATCAAAAGATGAACTTGAATTTTAAAAAAGTATCCTTAAGTTTTGTTGTTCCTGATAATATTTGTATGATGATCTCATGCTGATAAACCGTACCTCCGGTATAGAGGATCAATGTGATGCTTTCGTTTGTTCGTTCTGAGATAAGGGAACAAACCTATACCATGCTGATGAGTAGGTAAGAAGCACGAAAGAGCCGGCATTCTGTCAGAATCATCAGCCATTTAGCGGCACGGCTATTAAACGTTAACTGCGACGGTTCCGACTAATAGCAGTGGTGCGCGATCTACAATGGTTCTATTCTGGTGCGATAAATGGCGCTTCGCGCTATCTCATGCTGATAAGCCGTACCTCCGGTATAGAGGATCAATGTGACGCTTTCGTTTGTTCGTTCAGAGATAAGAGAACAAACCTATACCATCCTGATGAGTAGCTAAGAAGCACGAAACAGCTGGCATTCTGCCACAATCATTAGCCATTTAGCGGCATGGCTATTAAACGGGAACTGCGACGGTTACGACTAATAGCAGTGATGCGCGATCTGCAATGGTTCGATTCTGGTACGATAGATGGCGCTTCGCGCTTTCTCATGCTGATAAACCGTACCTCCGGTATAGAGGATCAATGTGATGCTTTCGTTTGTTCGACCAGAGATAAGAGACGAAGCCTATACCATGCTGATGAGTAGCTAAGAAGCACGAAAGAGCTGTCCATGGTTGGCTGTCTTCTTTTCTTGGACGGACGGACGAGGGCATCTCATTTTGTTTTGACCCGATTTGATTTATATTTCACTAATTATACAATACTTACTACTTTTTATTATTGTTATTTTTCTTGTGGACCTCGGCATGTTTACTTAGATTTATCAAAGTTGAGAAGTACCTGCAAAATATATATTTTTCGAAAATCCAGCTATAAATAATAACAGGTTTGGCGTAGCAGAAAACTTTTGACACCAGTATTTCCAGAGATACACTGAAAATGGAACGAATTTTCCCAAAATCGTCCCTTTTTATGAATTTATTTGAAATAGGATTTCAAAATGAACTGCACATTGACATTGCCACTTTTTGATCTCTGCAAGGTGGCATAAATTGAACATTAATATAACTTTTCGTCTCTTTCTCCCCGGTCTCAACATTGATTTTGTTATACTTTGAAGTTAAGTCATTAATTTTCAGATAATGATTGTAGAAGGAAGATAAATCAAAATATGTGTGTAAAAATAAAAAAAATTAAAAAATTTTTTTTACCTTGTTTTATAAAGTATCCTCCCGACAAGTATTTTAGTGCGGACCTGTATTTGATCGTGAGGTCTTGGAGCACCGGCATGCAGTCCCCTGTGTGGTCTTAAGTCACCTGATTCACGAGCCCGTTGTATTACATTAACAAAGGCACGAGGGGTTGGTTGCACTCGATTGGGAAACCGATCCGCATAAACATGTGCCATTTTTTATTTCGTTTGAGCCACGCAACAGACACTTCTATTCACTGACACTGACTGTATACAAATGAATAAAATAATTGAAAAAACATCGTTCCAAATTCTTTCGCTTTTTTGTTTCCGATGCGATGAACCGATACGGCGGATTATATCCGTTGTCGCCAAACACGAGCACATAATATTATTATTGAGACAGGGCGGTACTCAAACTTCCAAAGGGCTATAACTTTGTTACTTTAATTTTTTACCAGAAAAATGGTAAAGGAAAAAACATTTCTTTTGATCAGATCTACTCACTGTTAAAATAAATGACTCAACTTCGAAGTCACCCTGTATATGCCATGTTTGCATAGATAAATAGCTTTTAATTCTGATTTGAAATATTATAGCTTGTCATACGTTTTTAGAAAGAAAAATGTTTCTTGAATAAGCCTTGAATTTATCATATAGTCATTTATTTCAGAGAATGTCAAAGATAATAACATGTTATGCATTGATATAAAAGTGCAAATGCCTAACTTCATATAGTTGGCTTAAAATTATCGAATGAGGAACAACATATTGTAACTCATTTATATTATAGGGTAATAATTAAGACATCGGAAACGGTATAATTTTAAAAAACTGTGAGCTGAAACTCAGATCGAAATTCTAATTATAACACCATTTAGAAAAGAAAAAGTGGTAATGCTGTTGTGTAATTTATTTGAAATTTGTAGACACTGTGAATTGTTTCGAACTAAGGAAAAAATAAAAACGACTCGGAGCAAATTCGGAAACACTGAATTTCCAAACTGTCAAATTTCCAATTTTTATTTACCTAAGCAATTCGCCACTCCGCGTCATTTAGGCGGTTTACTGAAATCCGTGAATATATTTATCATGAGATGTGATATACAGGGTGACTTCGAAGTTGAGTCATTTATTTTAACAGTGAGTAGATCTGATCAAAAGAAATGTTTTTTCCTTTACCATTTTTCTAACAGTAACAAAGTTATAGCCCTTTGGAAGTTTGAGTACCGCCCTGTCTCAATAATAATATTATGTGCTCGTGTTTGGCGACAACGGATATAATTCGCCTTATCGGTTCATCGCATCGGAAACAAAAAAGCGAAAGAATTTGGAACGATGTTTTTACAATTATTTCATTCAGTTGTATACAGTCAGTGTCAGTCGGTAGTGGATAGTGATGTCTGTTGCGTGGCTCAAACGAAATAAAAAATGGCACATGTTTATGCGGATCGGTTTCCCAATCGAGTGCAACCAACCCCTCGTGCCTTTGTTAATGTAGTACAACGGGTTCGTGAATCATTTGACTTAAGACCTCACATATGGACGGCATGCCGGTGCTCCAAGACCTCACGATCAAATACAGGTCCGCACTGAAATACTTGTCGAGAGGATACTTTATAAAACAAGGTAACATTTTTTTTTTATTTTTATTTTTTATTTTTACACACATATTTTGGTTTATCTTCCTTCTACAATCATTATCTGAAAATTAATGACTCAACTTCAAAGTCACCCTGTATATTGACCGTTCAGCCTGGACGTCAGTAATTACTGATGCATAACGTTACGCAGAAATCAATGTATGGACCACACTAAATACTGATCGTGTGATATTCGTGTTACCGTTTCCAAGATCCCAAAGGCGAAGTTAGAATTTGAAACACACGTAACATACAGGGTTTGTCCGGAAAGTAATAGGACGAATGAGCGGCTGGTCATTTTTTTCGAGCACTTGGAGAGTCCGGACAGGCATTTTCGCGCGACGTGTTTCTGTGAGTGCAAGCCGAAAATGCAGCGTTCGTTAGAGCAGAGATACGCGATTAAATTCTGTGTGAAACTCGGTAAATCTGCGACAGACACGTTTGATATGATCAATCAGGCTTACCCAGGTGTTGCTTTAGCAAGAAATGGTGTGTTTCGGTGGCACCAGGCGTTTTGGAGGGCCCGGAAGAGGTCGCTGATGAAGACCGTCCTGGAAGACCTTCGACTTCGACAAACACCAATAATGCGACTCGTGTGCGCAAAGTTTTGAACTCAGACCGTCGACTAAGTATTCGTTTAATTGCCCAGATATTAAATTTACCAAAATCTGTGGTTCATGACATCGTGACACAGCATTTGAACATGCGCAAGGTGTGCGCGAAGATGGTCCCAAAAGTGCTCACTGACGACCAGAAATTGCGGCGAGTGGAAGTGTGCCAAGAAAATTTGAACATGTGTGAAAGTGACCCCCAATTTTTGAATAACGTAATCACAGGTGACGGGTCGTGGATCTTTGAGTATGATCCCGAGACAAAGAGGCAATCTTCCGAGTGGCACACGACGGCGACTCCTCGCCCAAAAAAAGGAAGAATGAGCAAATCCAAAGTGAAAACGATGCTCATAGTCTTTTTTGGCATCAAAGGCATCGTCCACCATGAATTTGTTACTCCTGGACAAACCGTCAACGCCAAGTTTTACGTGGAAGTGCTCAGGAGACTCAAACGAAGGGTCAGTCGGGTCCGACAGGACATCGCAGCCGACTGGAAGTTGCACCACGACAACGCCCCGGCTCACACCGCCTTTCTTGTGAACACCTACCTGACCAAGGCCGGCATTCCATCGCTTCCGCAGCCGCCCTACAGCCCAGATATGCCCCCCCCCCGGACTTTTTTTTGTCTCCTCGCCTGAAAAGGCCGATGAAAGGCGAACATTTTGAGACGACAGAGGAGATCCAAGCAGCATGCACCGCGGCTCTCAAGACTATTCCGGAGAATGCGTTCCGTGACGCCTTCAATGCTTGGAAATCGCGCTAGCAGCGCTGCATCGACGCAGAAGTAGCCTATTTTGAAAGTTTTTAAAGAATTGTAACGATTGGCTCAATATTTTTTTTTAAATCGACTCAGTCCTATTACTTTCCGGACAAACCCTGTATATGTGCTTTCAGCAAGCAAAAATATAATTTATGCCGACCTACGGAAAAGGGGGGATCGCTGTCCTCTCTCGCCCCCCGCCCCCCTGCGTACGCCCTTGATAACAGGCCTTTATTTGTAAGAAAAGTCTCAAAAGTCGTGTCCACTATTTTACAATGTGACCCTAAACTATTGAAATTATAAGTCAAAATTTGTGCAAAAAAAATCCGATCTATATAGTGATCGGAATATGAAAGCATTTATAAGTATAGATATTTTTTAGAAAATTACAAATTCTACTTCCAACTGTTAAGCATCCCACAAACCGGCGCGAAATATTCGCTTTGGCTGCGAAAATTTCGCGGCGATGAATTCGCGATCAGATTAAAACGCGGCGGTTTACGGACAGGCTCAGACTTGTGCGAAGCGAATGCGATTGTTCCAGCGTTTTTATCGCGGCGTATTTCAGTTCGCCTTTTTGACGCCGTTCTTCAAAAATTCGCAATGGTAAAAACGGAATTATTGATAGAAATAGTGAAAAAGTATCCTTGTTTGTATGATTTGTCGAACGATGAATACAGGAATGTGAGAAAGAAAGACAAGATTTGGATGGAAATAGGAAAAGAATTAAATACAAATGGTATGTACCTAATATTTTTTATTAACTTGTTAAATAATTTACAGTCTACACAAATGTGAAAACGAACATTCTATATATTGGACATAGGCATATCAGAATTAAAATAATTTACGAATTTGTCACGAGTAGAAAATGCTAGCCTTGCTGCCCGCCGAGGATCATTTGCTACATCAGTAAAAGCTCCAAGCACGGGTTCTGGGCGATCTAAGAATTGAAAATATTTGTAATCGCCACTTTTACTTCGTAAAAATTGTGTAAAACACATGCCGTACGTACAATTAGAATAGTAGTATCTACTTTAGTTTCTAATGGCCTGTAAAATATTCGCCATTTTTGAGACAAAATACCAAACGCATTTTCAACGACCCTTCTAGCTCGACAAAGTCTTACATTGTATTTCTCTTTTCTGACGTCTGTTAAAGTCTGCTTATAAGGAAATGGTCTCATAAGGTATGGTTTTAAAGCAAATGCTTCATCACCAATTAAGACGTACGAGCAGATTTCATTTTGCCCAGGGAGAAATCTAGGTGCAGGGACACTCATTAAATTTTGTTCAAATCGTTTTCCCATGTTTGAGGTTTCGAAAATACCCCCATCACTATTTTTTCCGAAACCACCAATATCAACACATATAAATTTATAGTCCGGGCCAACAATGGCCATAAGTACTATTGAATATTTATGTAAATAGCACCAGTAATTGGAGCCACTGTTGTTAGGTCTCTTGATTGTTACATGTTTACCGTCCACGCTGCCAATGCAATTGGGAAATCCCCATCTATTTTCAAATTCTTCAGCACATTTTTTCCATATATTCTCGGTTGGTTCTGGTAAATATACAGGGTTATCCAAATTAAGTGTCCACCATTGGTAACTTTGTTATTAGTAAAAATACAAAGTTGTTTAAATTAGCAAACTAGTAGCATTTTTAACGCTGGTAAAAATGAGAAATAAAAAAAACAATTGAGAGTCGTTATTTTGATTTTTTTCAGTAAAATAACATTTTTTTAAATGGAAACCCCTGTATATTATATTTTTTTTCTGTTAAAGCATCAAATTTTAAACAAAAAAGTTCATAATGACTTTTCCGCTAAAGTCAAAAATAAAGTCAAAATAACGATAAATATTTTTAATTATTTGCAGTATTATAATATTAAGACGGCTATGAAAACAACATGGCGTTCGCGATTTGACAGCATTAAGATAAGCGACAAATTGTTAAACTGGACATACTCGCAACTAGAAGGCTTTGGAAAACAATGATAAAATCAAATAATGTCAAACATTAGTGTAAATACTTGTTTATAAGCTTTATTGTGTCATTAATTTAAAGAAAAATGTTCTCCCATGAAGAAAAGTGTGATATGTTAGAATGCTATTTAGTGTGCAGAAAATCCTCCTTGAGAGCAAGAGAATACTACAGTGAATTATATCCCGCTCGCATTCAACCGTATGAACGATATTTTCTGAGACTTTATCGAAAATTTAGGGGCAACGAAAATGTTTTTGTTAAAACAAGGGCAAAAAAAGAATTCATAATAAGCGAGGCCACGGAAATTGCTGTTATTGGATATTTTGAAGCTTATCGTGAGAATTCAATAGCAGATATTCTCAAGGACTCTAATTTCAGTTATGGTACTGTTCAAAGGATTTTAAAAAAATACAAATTTATTCCGTATAAGTACCGACCAGTTCAAACGCTTTTGGCAGGGGATCCAGAGAGAAGACTTGTTTTTTGCCATTGGTATCTTAGCTTCTGTCGCCAAAATGTAAATAACTTTCGTTACCTTTTATGGACAGATGAATCAAATTTTTCAAATTCTGGAATGTTTAATAGAAAAAACCACCATTATTGGTCAAGAGAAAATCTTTTGTTAGTACATCCAAGAGGCCCACAAGTCCGTTTCAGTTTCAGTTTGGTGCGGTATAATTGGTTCAAAAATTGTTGGCCCGTTCTTTTATGAGGGAACCCTAACTGGTGAAAGATATGTGGAATTTATGTCAGAAATTCTGACTAATTTCTTAGACGAATTGGATCTTATAAGTAGACATCATCTGCATTTTCAGCAAGATGGCGCACCTGCCCACAACTCCAGAGGTACTTATCATTTTCTAAGTACTACTTTTAATGATCAGTGGATAGGAACAAATGGCCCAATACAGTGGCCTCCCAGATCACCAGATCTAAACCCACTTGATTACTTCTTGTGGGGTTACTTAAAGAACCAAATTTACAAGCGAAGGTACGATAACCTTGACGCGTTAAAGACTGCAGTTAGGGAAAAGATAACCCAGATAGATGGTAGGACCATACTTAAGACAGTTCGAGCAGTTGAAAAACGTGCCCAAAAATGTATTGAAGAACAAGGTGGTGTTTTCGAGCATCTTCTTTAAAAAAAATTGTTATTGTATTTTGTAAGATTATAAGTTGATGTTGAAAATAAAGTTTGTCGATACAATTTAATTGTTTCAGATTGGAGGCCATAACTTCAACAATTTGTAACCTAGGAGAAAATTTATTGTAAGCTTTTTTGTTTAAAATTCGATGCTTTAACAGAAAAAAATATAATATACAGGGGTTTCCATTTAAAAAAATGTTATTTTACTGAAAAAAATCAAAATAACGACTCTCAATTGTTTTTTTTTTATTTCTCATTTTTACCAGCGTCAAAAATGCTACTAGTTTGCTAATTCAAACAACTTTGTATTTTCACTAATAACAAAGTTACTAATGGTGGACACTTAATTTGGATAACCCTGTATATGCTCCATTTGTCTGCATATCGCTTCACAAACTTCGGTTACGATTGCACTCACTGTTGTAAAGCCAACTCGAAAGCTATGCCCAATGGTATAGAAGGTGTCACCAGTGGCAAGGAATCTATAAAAAAAATCGTTTTTAGGTGATGAAGTAAAAAAAAGGTGGAAGAATATCAGAGACACATTTGCAAAATATATAAAATCTACCAAACCAAAGACCGGCCAAGCAGTGGGCAACATAAAAAAATGGCAGTGGGCTGACTACATGGAATTTTTCCGTCCTTTTTTGGCATTTGCCAAAACGTCGTCTAATGTGAAAGATATTGACGTCATACATTATGAGACTGCCGAATTTAACTCAAATATATATCAGGAAAGGGCTGGAAATGTAGAAACCGAAAATTTGGAAGACCGCGGCCATGGAGAAGATGAAAATGCTGATGTAGATGCAGAAGATGCACAGAACGCCTCGGCAACACAGACAGCACCACCTTCTTCATTGAACACTACAGCAGTGACTACTCCAGGGCACACCTTTCCGCAGACTGCAACTACACCACAATATAAAACGAGCAGAAAACGCTATGAACCACCATCTTCGTCTGTACAACAGCTCATTAATTATTTTGAAGGTAAAAAACCTAAAAAAGAGAACGAGGCCATTGATTCACTTTTCTTGGCACATGCACAGACTGTGAAAACACTTCCCTTAAAGCGTCAAGCCCGAATAAAACTAAAAATAGCCGAATTAATAGCGCACAAAGAATTTGAACATATTGAAGAAATGTCTTCAGCGTCTACCCAGAATTCTGCAAGTATGTATGATAGTAGTATGTCGTCCTTCCCAAGCGGCACTGGGCAATAATATACCCAACAGAGGAGGCAAATTCTGCCTCGAATTATTTAGCAACATTTAATCCTAGTGGCAACATGTAGTCCAATTATTACAATAAAATATTTATTTCACGACCCCTGAAGTTTTCGTATTCGATAAGCCTACTAATTTTAATACATATAATTTTTTTACCTGAGTGTAATAGCAAGTCGTTCTTCTGGCGAAATAGCTTCACGATAATTTGTGTCAGATTTTCGTATTTCATCTTTCACCAAGTTCAATATTTCATCGAAACACTCTGGAGTCATTCTAAAATTACGTAAAAGCGCTGTTCATCCAGCCGAAGTTGTGGCATCAAGGTATGGTATTTCCCAAATTTATTTCGTTCCAAGTTGATATCATGTACCCACTTCCTTCGTTTCCTAAACAAAATTGAAAATATTTGTTTTATGTACTTCGTTAAACTTAATACATACCCAACTATCAAATGGCGTTAAATAAACATAACTTACCGTGCATTTTGTTCCTCTTCTAAAGCAAGAAATAGAAGTGCCTCCTCTTCTTCTGAAGACGAGCTCATTGCAAAAGGCAAAAATAAAATGTACGCAACCTGTCGAAACCTTCACGTTCGCGGAGCGAATAAGACGCTTTGGTATGAATAAACAGGCGAAACAGATTGCGAATACTTCGCCGCGATTATTTCGCGCCGGTTTGTGGGATGCTTTAAGCTGGTACTTTAAAAGTGATAAAAAACTTACGCGTCACATCCTTCTTCAACACAGCCCAACACCTGTTGCCCCTCGTGGTACTTCCTATGCTCCTCCCACTCGGAATCAGAAGTGGCCGTGAAAGAGCAGTTGCCACATTGTTTAGTCGCTACATTGACGCCGTGTTCACTGGCGAGATGTGCATATAGCAATCCCTTCGTTTTGAATGATTTGTTACACTTTAAACATTGCAAAAGCGTGCCGTGAGGATCTAGAATCACCTTTACGTGCGGTCCCTTCTTTTGGTAGGTGATCAGCAAGGTTAGTTGGAGAACTTCTAGGAGCCTAAAGAGATAAGTATACTAAGTGACATATAAATCCGAACACCCAGTTTAAATGGTTTTATTTTAATAAAATTTTGTATAAGTACTTAATGAAGCATAATAAGTAAATGATAAAAATTTCAAAATGATTGCACTGCCTTAAAGCCCTTTGACCTTTAATAATGAGTGGATGCACCCTCATGTGCTACGCATTCTCCAACGCGCCTAGGCATGCTTCTGATCAGGTGGTCAATGTCCTCCTGTGGTATCTCATTCCAGGGAACCACCAACTCCTTTCGAAGTGCTTCTAGAGTCTGAGGAGGACGTTGCAAATTGAGCAATCTCCTACCCATCATATCCCACACGTGCTCAATTGGGGATAAGTCGGGAGATCTTGGTGGCCATGGTAACAATGTGACATCATTATGTTGAAAGAAGTCTATTGTGACTCTTGCAACATGTGGTCGGGCATTATCTTGTTGGAAAGTTGGATCTGCCAGGGTGTCAAGATAGGGTAAAAGATGGGGTTCTAGAACTTCGTGGATATAACGCTGCGCGTTCATGTTACCTCTGATGAAGATTAAAGGTGACCTGGAACCATAAGCTATAGCACCCCAAACCATAACTCCAACAGTGTGATGAACATGTCTTTCAACAAAAAACTGTGGATACCTCCTTTCACCACGTCGCTTTCTAACCCTGGCACGACCATCGTGCATGCCTAAACAAAATCGCGACTCGTCACTAAAGACAATACTGTTCCATTCCTGATCCCAGAGTGACCGTTGTCTGCACCACTCAAGGCGATTACGTCGGTGTTCTCGAGTTAAAGGGAGGACCCAGTGTGGCCGGTATGAAAACAAGCCAAAACTTCTCATTCGTCGGTAAACACTTCGCATGCCAATAGAGAAACGGTCCCTTAAGGCCAATAATCTTAGGCGGCGATCTTCACGGTCTGTTGTTCTACGGCGGCGTCCAGTGCCCCTTGCTCTTTGCGTACGGCCTTCTCGAAGCCATGCCTGACAACACCTAACCACAGTGTCTACACTTCTTTGCACTCTAACTGCAATTGCCCGAAAAGAAAGTCCAGCTTCCCGAAGTCCCACTATACGGCCCCTATCAAACTCACTAAGTTGACGAAATCGTACAGGTCTCCGTACTCTAGGCATCGTAACCGATCGTAAAGGATGTCAAGAACCAAAATCCGCCAACGTTGATTCTTTACTGCGGCTGAAATATTCATTTTTAGAGCGTTAGTGAATTAAAAAAAAGCAGTATAAAAACCGGAATGTCCAACTGATAAGGCTGAAAATTTTTTCATTTGTTATTTACAGTGAGATAAATACATTCACCAACTTTTATTAAAATAAAACCATTTAAACTGGGTGTTCGGATTTATATGTCACTTAGTATATATACAGGATGATCCAAAAGTTTCGGAATATTCGAGTAAAAGTAAAATAGGGATTTAGGATGTTACCTTGAGCATATAAATGAGACCCTGGAAACGAATCAAATGGAAAATTTTACATTAAGATCTGACCTTGGATGAAAATTATGTTGACCTTAGTCAAGATCACGTCTGAAAGCAATCTTTTTCACCCTATTGCAGGATCGAAAGTATAGGTAAAATGGACATTTTTCAAGACCTTGATTTGACCGTCAAGATCATGATAAAGCTCAGTTTCAAGTTCATCAGTGAATAGCCAGGGAAAATTGAAGCGTTTGCTGCCTTGGCGTCCTTATTTTTGCTTTATCCTTTAATATGTATATTTTACCTAACAGTGTGTAATACACAGTAATGATGCACTGTTATTTTAAAATAAATATTTATTATTATTATCCAGTACCGATCTCTCCGATGATTTGAACTACAATGAGGTTTATGAAAACTTTCTTGCACTGTGGTGTTCCGTCTAAAGACGCGCAAACTATTTAGACCGTACGAGTAAGTCGCTGTCGTGTGGCCGGGCCTTAGCGGAGCACATGTTCGAACGGTAAAATATTTCCTAATGTCGCTAAATATAATTCTTGTTCAACACAGCATTTTTTTGCGCAAAATTGTCGTTTTCACGTCCGTTTTTCTAGTCTTGAGGAATTTGACATGCAACAAAACACCACGAAGCGACGAATGAAAAATATCGAAATCCTCTGGTCTATGATGTTTCATCTCAACGCTATTTAAATTTGAGGCTTTGGAATCCTCAGTATTAAGAGCTCGCTAACTCATTCCATAATTCCAGCAGCATCTTTGAGGACCTCATTATTTGACAGATTAATTTTAAATTAGTCTCGACATTCACCGGACTTCACTCGCCCGAGTTCTTTCTTTTGGGATATTTGAAAGAATATCTGGATTATAAGCCGTCTAAGAAACAATTGTCTACTTCAATGACAGTATTCGCAGTGAAATTGCAGTCATGTCGCTCAAAACTTGCGGAAAGTTATCAAAAACCTTATGGAAATAGCACGAATATGTGAAGCCACCACTTGCGTGGTATCTTTCACAATTTATTTCCCTCTATAGCACATACTGTGTTTTCCTGTCTGCTTCCCCATTGGTATTTTCTTCAGGTTCTTTGTTTTCTTCTGCTATGTACGTCCAATTTTGCACTAAATCGCCAGTTTCCTGGTCAACTAAATATTCGTCTACTATGCAACCACAACTATAGGAACAGTTTTTATCAAATCCTTTTTTGCTTTGTACATATCTCTCTTCGACAACTTTCACCAAAAGGAGCTTGTTCTGAAAAAAAAATAAAAATAATGCAAAGTACTATTTTTTCATTGTTCATTTTTGTCTTATATTTTTTTCATTCAATATATACTAAGTGACATATAAATCCGAACACCCAGTTTAAATGGTTTTATTTTAATAAAAGTTGGTGAATGTATTTATCTTACTGTAAATAACAAGTGAAAAAATTTTCAACCTTATCAGTTGGACATTCCGGTTTTTATACTGCTTTTTTAATTCACTAACGCTCTAAAAATCAATATTTCAGCCGCACTAAAGAATCAACGTTGGCGGATTTTGGTTCTTGACATCCTTTACGATCGGTTACGATGCCTAGAGTACGGAGACCTGTACGATTTCGTCAACTTAGTGAGTTTGATAGGGCCGTATAGTGGGACTTCGGGAAGCTGGACTTTCTTTTCGGGCAATTGCAGTTAGAGTGCAAAGAAGTGTAGACACTGTGGTTAGGTGTTGTCAGGCATGGCTTCGAGAAGGCCGTACGCAAAGAGCAAGGGGCACTGGACCACGCCGTAGAACAACAGACCGTGAAGATCGCCGCCTAAGATTATTGGCCTTAAGGGACCGTTTTTCCACTACCAGGTCCATTGCAAATGAATGGTTTGCAGAACACGGAAGACCTATTGGCATGCGAAGTGTTTACCGACGAATGAGAAGTTTTGGCTTGTTTTCATACCGGCCACACTGGGTCCTCCCTTTAACTCGAGAACACCGACGTAATCGCCTTGAGTGGTGCAGACAACGGTCACTCTGGGATCAGGAATGGAACAGTATTGTCTTTAGTGACGAGTCTCGATTTTGTTTAGGCATGCACGATGGTCGTGCCAGGGTTAGAAGGCGACGTGGTGAAAGGAGGAATCCACAGTTTTTTGTTGAAAGACATGTTCATCACACTGTTGGAGTTATGGTTTAGGGTGCTATAGCTTATGGTTCCAGGTCACCTTTAATCTTCATCAGAGGTAACATGAACGTGCAGCGTTATATCCACGAAGTTCTAGAACCCTATCTTGACACCCTGGCAGATCCAACTTTCGAACAAGATAATGCCCGACCACATGTTGCAAGAGTCACAATAGACTTCTTTCAACATAATGATGTCACATTGTTACCATGGCCACCAAGATCTCCCGACTTATCCCCAATTGAGCACGTGTGGGATATGATGGGTAGGAGATTGCTCAATTTGCAACGTCCTCCTCAGACTCTAGAAGCATTTCAAGAGGAGTTGGTGGTTGCCTGGAATGAGATACCACAGGAGGACATTGACCACCTGATCAGAAGCATGCCTAGGTGCGTTGGAGAATGCGTAGCACATCAGGGTGCATCCACTCAGTATTAAAGGTCAAAGGGCTTTAAAGCAGTGCAATCATTTTGAAATTTTTATCATTTACTTATTATGCTTCATTAAGTACTTATACAAAATTTTATTAAAATAAAACCATTTAAACTGGGTGTTCGGATGTATATGTCACTTAGTATATCTTAGGAAAAATCGTAGTTGTTAATTATAACAAACTTTATAAAATACCTTCAATTTTTTTTTGACACTTTCCAATTTCATCAGACCTGACAGTGTTTTCGAAATTTGATCCAACACTTCCTTGGACACAAACTTTCTTTTTATAATAAACGCAGTGTTGGTAGGTGTGGAAACGATTTCATTTATTGTGGATGTTGGTAGCACATAATTTGTGCTTTGAAATTCTAGATTACATGTATCTTCCTCATTATTTTCAGTTTTCACTGAATTCACGGAATATGTATCTTTTGGCGAACATGTTACTTGGTTACTCTGATCTGAAAACAAAAATATGTATATAACTATCTTTTCACTAATTTATGGGTACAAAACGTAATCAGAAATTCGTAGCATCACTTTGTGGCCGGCTTACAAACTTCCAAACACCGCATCCTCTTACCACTTTTTTGATCCGCAGGTTTTTCAATGCTCACATCTGGCTTGTTCCCTATATGTATAATCTTTAGAAACAACTTTTTGCCATCCACAGTCTGTCCAAGCTCCAATTTTTTGTTCAGTAGTCCCAACAATCCATTCTTATTCTTTCGTTTGCGTTTCGTCAAAACCTTCTTTTGGCGATTTTCAGCCTCAAAATAAAATTGTCCATTAAGTTTCCTGACCTATTGTTTCTTGATTCTTCTTTTTATTTTTGAAGAAACAATGAGTGATGAGACAGTTCACAGACGAGATCATATCTTATGAACCATTGAACATAATTTCCCAACCATATCATGTTTCCCAGCGATCTATACTAACCAAAGATCTCAAACTAAGCTGTTTCCCAGTAATTAAGTTTCTGCCGGTTATTTTATCCCATTCTGTTGATGGAGCCTCATCTGCCACTTGAACCAGGTCTTGACTATCGCCAATTTCAGGATAAGATTGTATGTGCAACTTTCCGTCTTTTAAAACTGCGTATTGATATCTACCAAAAGAAAACACCGATAACAGAGTTTTTAGTGATCTTATTTTGCTATATTCTCCCTTATTTCGATTTTGCGCAGTAGCGAGACAGTCCTCCGTTATCCGAATAGGAGATAAGAAAGCTATGTTAGTTAAAATACAATATAAATATGACAAAACATCACAGATAAAAATAAATGCAAGAACTAGGCAGTGTTCTAAATAAATTGAATTGCCATGATTTTTGTTATACAGAGAAATGCAAAGATCACCGACGAGGTAATGTGTAGGATTGAGAAGCATTTGTTAGAAAGAACACGCCAATGACAACGCGGCAAGCCGCAGCTGCATCCGTTGCCTCGTCACTCGGGTTGCTAGGCAACATGTTGCTTCTATCTCCTTCTAAAGTCCGTATTGCACGCTTCACTCTCCTACACATTACGGTGGTTTATGGATTTCTTTGTACATGCAATGGGGCAAGGTAGCATTTTATTGTAGTTCTGTGTCCTTTTGTGGTTCTATGATTATAAACCTATTAATTTCTTGTCCGATTTGGACGCAAATATTATCGAAACTTTCTTTGAAAGAATTTAACACGGAATTTTGGGATTAGCTTCACGTGAAAATCGAAAAAATAGGCAAGATGCCATGATTTTCTGCAGTCAGTACTGTAAAAATTACCACGGTTCACTTTAGAGCCCACACGCTTTTTTCGTCGAAATTCGTTATTTTCTGTCGCTGTCAAAAATAACGTAAAGGATTACTTGATTCGTTATTTTTGTTGCACTAAACCCTCTCTATTGAATGAAATAATTGCCGTATGATTCACATACAGCTAACTATCTAGCGCCGGATTCAAAATATTGGCACCCGGATTTACCCAGAAGACAAGTTTCGTCCTGATGACAAATATAGGATTCTGAAAATGTTCTCACAAAAAATTTCAAAATATTACAGGTATTTGTAAGCAAAATTTTTATTTTTGGCGGCCGTTGGTAAAAGCGGAAGAAAGTTTGAACACCTAAGTAATTTGGGAACTCGAATGCGCCAGAAAATCCTATACCTGTTTTCCTCTCCCGCAATCTGAACAACTGCCGCATCTCCCTGTTGTATGAAATCTTCTAAATCGACCACCTGATCTTCAACGATGATTTGAACCAGTTGATTTGAAGAGGTAGATTCATCAGTTTCTAATTGAGAAGGGACTGTTTCTAGAAAACCAGATGAAGATTGATCTTCTTCTGACAGAAATATGTCGCCTGCAATTTTTTTCGTGAGAAATTATTCTCCAACATTGACATTCTAACAAAATTTCACTATTTTTTTTTCATTTTTTTATTGTAATGTCTTTTTTAAAATTAATTATGGAGCGTCAAAATATTGAAAATCAAATTCGATTATTTATCTTTGTAATAAGTATTGGAGCTTTTCTGCAATTTTGTAACGTCTAGCAGCTTCACATCATCTGATAGCTTTTTATTGGGCCCATAACCATCATGATGATGTGAAAATGTTATTTGCTATTTAGATCGTGTATACGTCGGCGTCAAACGCTGAAATCCGTCGTTCCCTGAAATGCCCAGTCAGTCCCCGTATTGCCGGCAAATACCGTAACAGTCTGATTATTACAACGTTCGACTAAGCATTTCAGTCATTCCCTGTAATGACTGAACAATTTCAGTCAAAACATCATAACAACCACATTAACTCCGTTACTGCACTTGCCTACTTTAGTCAAATGCTGTAATCAATGCAGTATTACCCCAATCAAGTACATAATATAACAAAGTACTACTTCATCAATAATATTAAAAGAAAAATAATCATTAAAGTATTAAATCAACAAGAAATATTCTGAAACTACCGAAAGAAATATAAAACAATAAGTACACATTAAAAAAAACAAAATGCAGAACTGCGAGTAGTGGAAAATGAATAAAAGTTACTTCAAATTATCGTATATTTTATATTATTTCAAACATTATTTGTTAGCACATAGACTTCTACGGCACCTTGAATTACAAAGAAGTTTTTTTTATCAAACACATCTATTGGATAAACACTGCTTTTACACAGAACAGAAAAGACTATGTGTATACTCAAGCAAATGAACACAAAACTGGTACAAAGAACGACTGAATCAGGCAAATGCAGTAACAAAGTTAATGTTGTATGATGCTTGACTCAAATTCTTCAGTCATTACAGGAAATGCCTGAAATGCTTAGTCAAATGTTGTAATAATCAAACTGTTACAGTGTTTGCCGGCAATACGGGGAATGACTAGACATTTCAGGGAATCACGGATTTCAGCGTTTGACGCCGACATATATTCTATGAACTTTGAAGTAAAATGCTTTGGCCAAAGTGCGTTAATTATACTTTTATTTCCATATACCTGTCTCTGGTATGTAATACTGATTCAGATCACAATCTTGCAAAACATACGTTTGTCCATCACCATCCGTCGAGTCGGCAATTAATCCACCATCTACAAATATTGCTTGTGTCCCATCAGTGTAAAATACCTATAATTTTGATTCAATTAATTCACGACTTTAGGCCGAATTCCTTTCATACTAACATTTCCAAGCTTTTCAGGATCCGATGGTTCAAGAATAAATTGGGAAGAATTGTTCAACACATACTGGATGTCACCATCTGCTGAACTAATTGGCTGATCCATCCTGTCTACTTTTGTTTTATTACTCTTTTTATCGCTAAAATGCATTTATTTGCCGTAAATTCCGGTAAAAATGTTTTTGGAATCATTAGTTTCAAATTCGAAATTCAAATAGTTGCATTTGAACGATCGGTAATGTGAAATTACTTACCGATAAGGCAAATCTGCAAAATCGACTGACACTGTCGGTATCAAAACAAAATGGCGATACGGTGGGCACAATTTCCTTCATAGGTCAAAAATTTAGCAACGCTTTTGAGAAAAAGCTATGGAAATGAAATTATCGAAGCTGTAATGTAATTTTGCTTAAACATTTGCTGGATTCATTTCACTTTGCTTATTATTGTAGCCGTCATCTACTTGGTTTAGTTCGAATGAGCAGTAACAGATGTCTCTTATAGCAATGTAGTGATGTGATTTTATATTCGATAGTTATCGATATCGATGTAACTATGGCCTCCGTGTTCTTTAGATCTAAAAATAAGGAAACGTCAAAATTTCATTCTTAAATTCAACTAGATCCTGATTGAAGGATCTAATGTTGCAAGAAATTATGTTATTTACACTGAGTGACAAAAAAGGTAAACACGTATGTTTATCCGATTTTAATAATTTTTCGCATATAATATGTTCAGTGTCCCTTACTCGTAGTTTACGAGTATTAGTAAAATGATCAAATTTTCACAGCGTGTTTCGTTAACGATTTCTTATACAGTCATTGGCATGCCTGGGCATCGTGCTGATAAGGTTGTCAATATCCTGTTGGGGTATCTCATTCAAGGCTACTGCAACTTTGTGAATAAGAGTAGCTCAAGTCTATGGAGGGTGTTGGAAATTCAAGAGCCTGCGACCTATCATGCCCCAGACATGTTCAATTTTAGATAGGTTAGGCGATCGTGGTGGCCAAGGTAAACGGTTGATGCGATGTTTATCCATAAAGGCTAACCATGCGCTGGCAACATGCGGTCTGGCATTGTCTTGCGAAAAAATCGCGTTTTGGATGATGGTGTTTAGGTATGGAATCAGATGAGGCTCCACTACTTCCTGAATATAGTGTCGGGCTGTCATATCGCCTCTGATGAAAATTAGGGGTAATCTGGTACCATAACCAATAGCACGCCATATCATAATCAAATTCAAGCGGATAACCAAATGGAAATGGTATTTACCATTTTGGATTGGTATTTACCGATCCGTTCAAGCGAGTGTGGTTATCAGTTTGGTTATAAGATCCGTGACGTCATGAATCAGCTGTTATATGTCATAGTTATCACCGCAAAATTGTGGTATTTACCCAACTCCGGAGTAGTTTTATATTTCTGGTTATTATTTGACATGTGACAAGTTAGAATTTTGCCGGGTATTGGATATTTTTATTGTACTTCAGCTTCATTTTTGGGAAACTTGATACAGGCTGACTTCAGTTTTAGCATTATTTATAATCAGCACTGTTGTTGGGGACACTTTAAATCTAGTTCCTACACTTAAAAAAGTATCCTGTCTAGCCATATACCACAAGAATATTAAAATATGGCCGTATAAACTCACTGGATGATGTCCACCTGTATACGGTTTTGTTAATATCTTTTTTCATCGCTTTTTCATAATTTTTGCTAAATCAATAAATATTTTCTTTGACATGCGGAAAAGTTTAGAGAATTGAAAGTTATCATAGCTACAAAGCCATGGTTCCATCAGTAAACATTTTTTTCGGAAAAAAAAACATTCCTCCCATTAATATTATGAAAGTTTTCTTTTTTTCAACTTTCCATACCCCGTTGTAGACGAAAAAGCACCGATTATTAAGTGATAATAAAAATAATCAGAAATTATATACGCGCTTTTCTAAAATAAACATCTTGCAACAAACCGCGGTTAAAACCAACGCGTTCAAGCGATTCGAGTAACTGACGTCACCATCCCGTGTGTCATCTTGAACCATATTATAACCGCGGTACATAATACGGAAATGTTGGTTATCCGCTTGGATTTGATTCATAACTCCCACGGTGTGGTGAACGTGACTCTCTCTGTCAAATTGTGGCTCGCGTCAGACAGAAATGGGATTCGTCACTAAAGACCACCTGACTCCATTCGCAGACCCAAGGAATTCTTTCTCTGCACCAGAGTAAACGGTTACGAGGAGGTTCAACTGGCGGTCTTGTCGCTCTGTGGTCCCTCTGTGACGTCCAGAACCCCTCGCTGAGGCTTCTTAATAAGCCCACAAAATTTAACATTTAACTGACACCGTAAATGTACGAAAACTGAGTGCTTCTTTATCACCAAACAATACCCGCAGCCACCACAAAAACTCAATATTAAAACCTGACCATTTTATCACTTGTTCATGGCAAGATAAATCGATATGTAGAAAATTCTTGAATTCTTATAAACATACGTAGGTGCTTACCTTCTTGTCACTCAGTATGTAATCATTTTCCTGTAGTCAAACCATGATTCAAGCATTGGAGTCGTTTGTTAGAGGCACATGTATCTCCCATCTCTATTCGGCATTTTATAGGTTATGCAAACCGAACATGACAGAATTTCAAATTTTCAAAACTATTTTGAAAAACGATTCGAACACCCAGTTTGACTTTCCGAAATTACAAAAAGAATCTGTAGATGTAATAGCAGAAACGTTTTCTAACATTATATATGAATCGTTGAAGCAAAAATCTTCTGCTAGTGCTACAAAACGTGGGAATGTTTTGGTAAGTTTAGTTTTTTTAATAAACAATTCAAATATTGATATTGATATATTGCAGAAATTTATAAATAAATTGTGTGCCATAAAGGCACCTCATATTGAAGAATCAGCTGCTGAACCATTTGCAAAAGCAGCTAAAAAGGTTTACCTTTCAACCAGCTGTGATGAATTACAAAGTTTACAGAATATAATAAACACTGAATTCGAAAAAAATTGTGATTTAAAAGAGAATATTCTACGGTTCTTCAAAAGGAAAAATAATGTTCAATCTGATATTGGAAGCAGAATAGGTAAGTGGGTAAGATTCACACTACATATTCAGGCAGGTAACAAGTGGTCAGATTTAAATATCAAAGTAAACATATTTTTAATCTTTGATAATTTTAGAATCCATAAAACAGCTAGATCAAGAAAGCTTGAGAATCAAATATCATCTCCAACCTAGGAAAGGTATATCCCAGTTTGAAGTAACTAACGAAGTCTTAGATAAGGTCACTAACAACCTCTGTGATACCAGTAAAAAAGTAGTGCATCAGAATGAAGAATCATTCGATTTTCGGGAAAAACAGGTCAAATTGGGTTACGCTTTGATAAATCTGAATGAAGATAAAGCTGTTGTAAAGAAAATTCTGTTGAAATTAGCAAAATATGAAGTGCTAGAAGGTTTTGAAAAAAACTTCCTCTCCTCAATTTGGAGGCTAAATGGTGAGAACAAAATATTCAAAGATATAGGTTTCTTATTATTAACCAATACATTTTCTTTTTAGGAGAAAAATTCATATATTACATGAATGTTATATCAGAACATTTCTTTTTTATCATTGAGAAGATTCTCATTGATAATTGCACTAAAATAATAGCTATGAAGCAAGATGTTGACAAGCATTTAGCAGAGATTCAGCATGGAGAGAATTTCTCAAAAATCAGACTGGTTTGTAGTACTACATCATTTGTCAAACATAAACTTCATAGTCTTATAAATGAATTGTATATATTAGGGTTTTGTAATGAAAGTATATGGAAAATTCATACATTTATTTGAAAAATACATCTGGTATTCACATTTACAATTTCTAATAAAGTCACCAACTGAATGAAAATATGATTTGATACATGTTGGAGCATGTGTGCCTAACTTAATTATACAAAAGTCAAAAATTATTATTATGAAGTCAAATGTCAAGATTCAATGCTTTCCAGTTTGAAACTAAGGTCATGACATCAAATGATCAAAACTGACAGTTTGTATGTATTTTTCAGTAGTAGGTAATGCAGCTCATTTAATCTGTTTAGTCTCAATTTTAGACACTGAGAAACCTTTGCAAATATATCCCTCAATTTATTTGCCATTATCACCTTCTGTGTGGACTCCTAGGTGATCTAGGTGACTTTGGAGATCTGGGTGATCTAGGATATCCTCTTTCCCGTCTCTTTCTCTCATATTCCTCTCTGATCCTAGCTCTTTCAGCATCTCTCCTCTTCCTTAGTTCTTCCTCTTTCAGTTCCAAGGCAATTGGTTTCTTGAATGGTCTGTCTCTACCTCCAAATCTCAATTGTCCAGATTCTTTTTTGCCACAAAATCCTCCCCCCAATCTTCTTGGCTTCCAACTAAAAAAAAGTCATAAATAACAAAATCGGTTCACCAAGAAGAATTCTGATAAAAAGGTTCTTGAGTTTCACCATCATTTGAGAGGCTACGAGGGATGTCTTAAGTTTTGCATATAGAAACATTGTAGGCCGCGCGGATCGAACGTCAATACTGAATCTTAACCTCACTCTTTAGTAATCTTAAATTCAAAGTTTCACAACGATACGTGCAGTGTTCTCACTATAGTGAATTTTTAAGTGTCTCCAAGTCATTAGAAAAATGGAACTCAACCGAGAACATTTTCGCGCCATAATTTATTACAAATTTCAGAGACAATTATCGCAACAAGAATGCCTTGCTGAGTTACTGTCTGTTTTCGGCAACGAAGCGCCACATCAGACGACAAGTTCCCGTTGGTATGGAGAAGTCAAACGTGAACGTGTGTGTCTTAGCGACGATCCTAGGGTGGGTGCACCAAAAACGGCAGTCACCCAGGAGAACGTCGATGCTGTGCGCAAACTCATCATTGAAGATACACATGTGACATATCGCGAGATTGAGACGTCCTTGAAGATCTCAAAGACCTCAATTCAAAGAAAATTACATGAAGAATTAGGAGTAAGAAAATTAGTTTCTCGTTAGATACCCCACCTGTTGACTGAAGAGCCAGGGTTAATTGGTGTCAAAAAACGCTTGACCGGAAACTCAAAAAATGTGTACAGCATTGTTAGTGGTGATGAATCGTGGATTTACTGTTATGAACCAAAAAATAAACGACAGTCGGCTGTTTGGGTGATCCAAGGTGAAGAAAAGCCAACAAGTCATCCGTTCTTGAAGTGTTTCGAAAAAGATAGTCGCGACATTTGTGTCAAAAGCATTGCAACATTGCAACAATTCCTCTTAATGATACTGCGGATTGGTATACCACCATTTGTTTGGCAAAAGTCATCACCGAGCTTCGAAAAATCAACCCTGAAAGAAGAATCATCCTCCACCAAGACAATGCAAGCTCGCACACAGCCCAAAAAACAAGGCAGTATTTAACGGAAGATAACGTGGAATTATTGGACCATCCTCCATATAGTCCCGATCTAAGTCCTAACGATTTTTTTACTTTCCCAAAAATTAAAAACAGACTGCATGCTCAAACATTCCAGTCACCAGAAGAAGTAGTTGACGCATTCAAAAATGCCGTTTTGGATCTGCCAGCAAACGAATGGAATAAGTGCTTTGAAAATTGTTTCGAGCGCATGCAGATGTGTATTAATCTTCGTGGAGAATACCTCGAAAAACAATAAAACCATTTAAAACTACCCACAGTGTTGTTTTATTTCCATATGCAAAACTTAAAAGACATCCCTCGTATTTGTCCAAAAGATAACCAGCTTTTAAAGATCATGGTCAGAATCAAATGATTAAGTTATTGAATCCTTGGTAATAAGAAAAATTGAGATTAAAATGTTGACTAACCCTTTCAATAATCTCTCACATTCAAAATCAACAAATATGGTATTTCCATCTAAGACAGTCTTATTTGCTGATCTATAAGCCTCTTCAGCAGCCATTTCATCTTCATATTCTATGAAGGCATAGCCCTTTGGCATTCCAGTTACTATGTCCTTTACCAGTCTGAACCTTAAAATAAAATTATCCACAGCTAATCTAAAAAGTTTTTTGAAGATGAACATTAGGAAGTTAGATGCATCAAATTCTTCATGATTCTGATGAAGTTGAGTATACAGTGAAATCCATATACCACTGTCGTTGTAATGTGTACAAGAGAGATGCACGAGAAGTTTGTAATATGTGTGTTAGAAAGAGATGGAAGCACCTCACTGCCTAGCAACCCGGTTTGCCATGTTGCCAGTGGCGCACTCTTTCTAACACTCATGATGCACACTTCTCTCTCACACATTATGATGTCAGCCAAATTTGAGGCTCAACATATATATTTTTAACATCCATTCAATATGAGAATGCCACACGATTATTTACTGTAATCTGTCAGTATCTATCAAAGAATGGAATATTCTTTGACTGCAGAGCCTGGACACCAGTAAATTCCGATAGTATGGACCATATACAGTAAATACTGATTATGTTGTGAGGCTCAGTAGGTCTCTCACATCTGGTTGCCTATTTATGAGACAATATAAGGGGAAGGGAATAGAGGAAGAATGGAATGATTATACAGTGAAAACGATATAATGCTGTCGTAATGTGTACAATAGCCTGCAATATGTGTGTTAGAAAGAGATTGAAGCACCTTGCTGCCAAGAAACTTGAGTGACAAGGCCACGGATGCAGGTATAGCTTGACACATTGCCATTGGACACCTTTTCTAACATACATATTGCATGCTTATCTCTCTTATGCATTATGATGAGATCCAAATGTGAACCTCACCATATACACTACCACTCAAATATTTTGGGACAGTAACTTTTTTCAAGAGAACTTAAAATAAATAAGGCATATATGACATTGATTGATTATTTACCATCTATAATACGTCTATTCAAGCTAAAGATATATAAGAAACACCCCTTAAAAGGGAATAAATGTAAACCCCTTTAGAGACGTCGATATTTTTATTAGTTCATTGAAGTCATAAATCGGCCGAATTCCTGCCGCTGTTTACTTTTTCTTGTACTATGTATTATGTTCGGCTTAATAGAATAAATAAACATTCTGGGTATCGATGCAACAAAGTAAAAATTGTACGTAGTTTAGTATAAACTACTAGTCGATGTGCTAGGGTAAAGACGGGTAACGGTTCTCCTGAAAAACGGGGTGCAGTGTGTGCCTTACGTGATGAGGGATTGACAAATAGAACGATTGTTGAAAGGCTGCATACAGGACGGAACACGGTGTCTCAAATTTCGAAGAAAAAGAGAGAAACAGGCAGTGTCGTAGATCGTCCACGCCCTGGAAGACGCAGAGTTAGAACTATTCCTGGAGACAGGCTTATAGTAATAACAAGTAAACGAAATAGACATTTAACTGCACCTGAACTCACGCACAGCTTGAATAGAACGAGGGAAAACAATGTGTCCGTGTCTACGGTAAAACGCCGCTTACAAAGGGCTAACCTTAGAGGATGAGTAGCAGCACATAAACCACTCCTGCGACCTATACAACAAATGCAACTGGTCAGCATGGGCCCAAAAACACAAGGATTCGACCATTAACAACTGTAATCAAGTCCTTTGGTCGGATGAATCCAAATTTGAAATGTTCGGATTTCGACGAAGACAGTTTGTACGCCGCCAACCCCATGAATGCATGACTCCGTAATGTTTGCAGCCCACTATGCCGCAATTATTTGGACCAGCAGCAAGAACTTGGTGCAATGACAATCATGACATGGCCTTCCCAGTCTCCTGTCGAGTATTTGTGGAATGAATTGTACAGACAGGTGAAGCAACAGGAGCCTACTAGTGCTACAGACTTGTGGGCCAAGCTGCAGGAAGCGTGGGTATCCTTATCACCAACTATTCTTGAAAAATTGATGTCAGGCTCGTGGTAGACATTTCGATGAATCACGAACTTAAAGTAAATTTTGATAGAAATATGTTACCAACTGATTAAGTTTCAGTGGAAAATAGTTTTTTTTATTTTTTTTATTGGTTTGATTTCCCTCAAAAAATCTACTCTCCCAAAATTTTTGAGCGGTAGTGTATGTTTAACTTGGTAGCATATTCTTGAGGCTTAATATCTATATCAATAAAAAAAATACCTTTTGAGTTTTCCATATCTAGAGAAGGCATCTCTAATAGTGTCTTTGGTAGTCTTGTAACTGAGCCTACTAACAAAGATTGTACACTGAGGTTTACCCTTTACATGTCGATTTGGTACATAGGTAGAATTGACAGCTCTCTCTATTGCTCTATCATGAGGTTCTACATCTGTTCCGTCTATAGAGCCGATTTTAATAGGGTCATACACTTTTGCATATTTAGACCACTGCAAAAAGACATTTCAAGATTCAGAAATTAAAAGCTGGAAAAATATTACCTGTTGTTCTGTAGGCATTACTTTTAAAATCAACTATCTGGCAACTAATAGGATAGGTCAAATGAGATTCATATAACTAACGCTTTGAGTTTTGATGTAAAATAAACCAGGTAAAACGGTAAATCCTTCTGTTTTCAAAACAACTGGGTATCTTAAAAGATTGGTTATGTTTACCAGAAAACAGATGTAACACCAGGGAAGTGAACAGTGGAAGTGTGAAAGGTCTTTTGGGCGAACTGGCAACACCAATGTCATATTCTCCAGGCAAAAATCAAATCCAAGCGAATAACCAAACTTTCTGTGTTTTGTGCCGCGGTTATAATATGGTTCGAGATGACACACGGGTTGATGACGTCAGTTACACGAATCGCTTGAACGCGTTGGTTTTAACCGCGGTTTTGTTGCAAGTTGTTTATTTTAGAAAAGCGCGTATATAATCTCTGATTATTTTTATTATCACTTAGTAATCGGTGCTTTTTCGTCTACAACTGTAAATATATGGAAAGTTTAAATAAGAAACCTTTCATAATATTCATGGGAGAAATGTTTTTTTCAGATTTTTTTTTTAATGATGGGACCATGGCTTTGTAGCTATGATAACTTTCAATTCTCTAAATTTTTCCGCATGTCAAAGAAAACATTTATTGATTCAGCAGAAATGATGAAAAAAGAAATTAGCAAAACCGTATACAGGTGGATATCATTTAGTGAGTTTATATGGCCATATTTTAATATTCTTGTGGTATATGGCTACACAGGATACGTTGTTAAGCATATGAACTACATTTAAAGTGTCCCCAACAACCGTAATGAGTATAACTAATAAGGTGCTCCACTTTATGGTAAAACTGAAGTCAGCCTGTATCATTTTTCTGAAAAATGAAGCTGAAGTACAATAACAATATCCAATACCCGGCAAAATTCTAACTTGTCACATTTTAAATAATAACCAGAAACATAAAACTACTCTTGAGTTGGGTAAATACCACAGTTTTGCGGTGATAACTATGACATATAACAGCTGATTCGTGACGTCACGGATCTTATAACCAAACTGATAACTACACTCGCTTGAACGGATTGGTAAATACCAACCCAAAATGGTAAATACCATTTCCATTTGGTTATCCGCTTGAATTTGATTAAAATCGAGGTAACCGTATTACCGGCATTACGTCACGTGCTGCTTGCTGGGATTCAGGGTTGCCAGGCGTGGCAATTTGACGGCTTCAAATGGATCGCTTGGCCATTTTTTAACATTTCTGACGCCAATTAATTTGTGATCAATTTTTGCTGATATGTGTTTAGAGGGAAAACCAAATTTGTCTGACGGCTTGAGTTCAATGTGTACGAGAGGGAATCGCGAGAAGTGTGTATCAACACATGTAAGAAAGAGATATAAGCCGGTTGAACAGCGAAGTTCATCAGCCCATTGCCTAGCAACGGTGACGCAGAAGCTCGTGCAAGCCTCCGCGTTGCAAAATGTTACACAAGAAAATGTTCTCGCAGGCTTCTACAATATGTTAAGTTACTGTCAAACCCAAGAAGACGGTCTATTTGAAGCAGGGCGACACTCCCCAATGAGTGCTAGATGGGTACTGACCAAAATCGCTCGTATATGGACATGGAGAGGGAAACCTTGCCTTGTACATGATCCGGTGTTATCAGACGAACCAATGATGCATTGTTACAGGACTTATGATGATCCTGACCTTTCATTCCGACCTAAAATGCAGCGCCATTAGGGCCGATCCGGAATCAATCCTAAACAGATTCGACACAAGTCACTATTAAAAAATGTGTACGCTAAAAATAAAAGCATTATTTGGTCGTAGAGGGCAAACTAACGCATGCTTTTAGCATGCACCTTAATTCAAGGAACTGGTGTAACATAATGGCAACGAGGCAGATTGCCGCCTCAGCGTTGATAGGCAATGCGGTGACGAGCTGCGCTATTCCAGCCGGCTTCTATCTCTTTCTAACTTATGGGTTTACAGAAACTTCTCTCCCGAACACATTGCACTTAAGCCGTTAAACAAGTTTGGTTTTCAGTGGAGATTAATGAAACATGAAACGAGAACCAGCAGAAGTTCTGTTCTCTAAGCACAATGACGCTTGTGGTCAAATGTCACGTCAATGTGTCGTGTTCTGAGCGTATCAACGACATCCTATCCTAACACTTTTGACACTGTTGCTTAATGTACGATTATTACAAATATATATAACTTGAGACGTGGTCATTGTCATCTCACTCATTATTCCATGACCACCATTTTGTGCAATCATCAAGTGGCTTCACGATGTAATGCTTTAATGTTTTTAAATAATTTGTAATCTGTCTTTAACTTGTTCTTGTCATATTTTATATAATTTTGACCATTGTACCATGTATCCAGCTCTCACCATGTTACTGGACGTTTCCCTCATCCTATACGTAAACAACAATTAGCAACATCCTCACATACTACTGTAAGTTGAGTCACTTTAAATTCATTTTACACTTTTGTTGCTACTGTTATCATTGTAATTGCAGCTCCTGATGATGATGGCAAAGTCCATTGAAAGCTAGAGAGAATTAAAAAAGTATAAAGAGTCCTCTTTGCTTAAATTTTGTCGAAGTACCCAACAAAAGGCGGAAGCTTTAATTATATATATACAGAGTGACTTTGCAGTTGAGTCATTAATTTTCAGATAATGATTGTAGAAGGAAGATAAACCAAAATATGTGTGTAAAAATAAAAAAAAATTGAAAAAAAATGTTTATCTTGTTTTATAAAGTATCCTCCCGACAAGTATTTCAGTGCGGACCTGTATTTGATCGTGAGGTCCCCTGTGAGGTCTTAAGTCACCTGATTCACGAGCCCGTTGTACTACATTAACAAAGGCACGAGGGGTTGGATGCACTCGATTGGGAAACCGATCCGCATAAACATGTGCCATTTTTTATTTCGTTTGAGCCACGCAACAGATACCACTATTCACTGACACTGACTGTATACAAATGAATGAAATAATTGTAAAAAGCATCGTTCCAAATTCTTTCGCTTTTTTGTTTCCGATGCGATGAACCGATACGGCGGATTATATCCGTTGTCGCCAAACACGACCACATAATATTATTATTGAGACAGGGCGGTACTCAAACTTCCAAAGGGCTATAACTTTGTTACTTTAATTTTACCAGGAAAATGGTAAATTTGAACATATGGCAACAGAGGAAAGGAATTGGTTTGCTAATGATTTGTGTAGTTCTCATCTGCTGTTGTATTTTTTTTCTCACCTACAATTCGCGGGTGTCCTGTTCCGCATTTATATATATATATACAGGGTGACTTCGAAGTTGAGTCATTTATTTTAACAGTGAGTAGATCTGATCAAAAGAAATGTTTTTTTCCTTTACCATTTTTCTGGTAAAATTAAAGTAACAAAGTTATAGCCCTTTGGAAGTTTGAGTACCGCCCTGTCTCAATGTGCTTGTGTTTGGCGACAACGGATATAATCCGTCGTATCGGTTCATCGCATCGGAAACAAAAAAGCGAAAGAATTTGGAACGAATTATTTCATTCATTTGTATACAGTCAGTGTCAGTGAATAGTGGTATCTGTTGCGTGGCTCAAACGAAATAAAAAATGGCACATGTTTATGCGGATCGGTTTCCCAATCGAGTGCAACCAACCCCTCGTGCCTTTGTTAATGTAGTACAACGGGCTCGTGAATCAGGTGACTTAAGACCTCACAGGGGACCTCACGATCAAATACAGGTCCGCACTGAAATACTTGTCGGGAGGATACTTTATAAAACAAGGTAAAAAATTTTTTTTAATTTTTTTTTTTATTTTTACACACATATTTTGGTTTATATTCCTTCTACAATCATTATCTGAAAATTAATGACTCAACTTCAAAGTCACCCTGTATATTACAATAGTGTCTCCCCGCTCTTCAATTTTCAATAGTTGTAACCCTCCTCCCCGTTGTCACAATATCACAAGAACATTCGCCAGAGGTCCCGACACCTCAAAATGGCCCTCTGGTCCGCCCCCTGTGAACAAAGTAGTGTTTCGTTAATATTTAATATTACACGTGTCTAACAACCCTCCATCATCACCCCTCGCTTTTCAATGTAGTATTATTATGCCTAACCCCCCTCAACTTCGCTCTTCAGTTATCGTGAACAGGCAGGCTACTTAGGCGCTTAGGCCAGTCACTACTCCACCTCCACGGGCGACAAATCCATTCCAATCTCTAACCTGGAGTTTTATGGTTAGACTTCTAGTTCATTTTGACTTTACGGATTTTCTCATCAAAACTTGGCGATCAACGTGACTGAAAACCTGGCAACCCTGCCGGGATTTTCTATCTTTATTCTTTATCTGAATGTAACAATATCAAATATGGCGTTTGTTTTGGTTAATATCAAGATTATCAACGCTGATGCTCTTGGAGATTTTTCGTGAAAAATGAGCATAAAATATAAAGCAACAATATAAGTAGCTGTGATGGTATACGTGAGATGTATTGTGGGAGATGCAGAAATTCAGGAGGCTGTGAACGTAACATATCGGCATGATGTATTTGGTAGATTATTTAAAATTGTATGTCTGTATTCAGCCTCTTTATAATCCTTGTAGTTGACACCCCTATAAATAAAGTATGAAAGGCCAACAAATTAAAGGCATAGAACTGAGCAAACTAATTAAAAGTGACTAGCTTATTTACAAAGGATTATGGATTACATTAGTATTTTCTGTATTATTTCAGAATTATCGAGAAGCGGTACAATGAAGTGAGACACTTGTGTTTTGTTACACTCAACATGAATTTGAAATAGGTCTATCTATATTTTCATGTAATACAATATTTATACCATTGTCACCAGCATATGAATATTTTTTTAAACGAAATAATTTTTTCTCTGCAAAACTGCATATTTCTTGAACATATATTCAATCCCCAATAAGGGGATATTTTATGAATATATGTTCATGAAATATGCCTTCAATATCGGAAATATTATTTTCAGCAGATTTCAAATTATTGACAAAAGAAATCCCCGGCAACCCGGCACATTCCTAGCATTCCTTACTCCAGGCGCATTTTCGGCATTCTTCCGGTAGTTCCTCCAGATCTCCAGGCAAGTAGGCGGCGCAACTATCTGACTAACCGTCAACGGTGTTGTCATTGTTTAACGTGCAGCTCGCACTTCTTCAGCCTTCTGTGTTTTGTTGTGTATAATCAAATCCAAGCGGATAACCAAAATTTCCGTATTATGTACCGCGGTTATAATATGGTTCAAGATGACACACGGGATGGTGACGTCAGTTACTCGAATCGCTTGAACGCGTTGGTTTTAACCGCGGTTTGTTGCAAGTTGTTTATTTTAGAAAAGCGCGTATATAATTTCAGATTATTTTTATTATCACTTAATAATCGGTGCTTTTTCGTCTACAACGGGGTATAGAGAGTTGAAAAATAGAAAACTTTCATAATATTAATGAGAGGAATGTTTTTTTTCCAAAAAAAATTTTTACTGATGGAACCATGGCTTTGTAGCTATGATAACTTTCAATTCTCTAAACTTTTCCGCATGTCAAAGAAAATATTTATTGATTTAGCGATGAAAAAAGATATTAACAAAACCGTAAACAGGTGGACATCATCCAGTGAGTTTATACGGGCATATTTTAATATTCTTGTGGTATATGGCTATACAGGATACTTTTTTAAGTGTAGGAACTAGATTTAAAGTGTCCCCAACAACAGTGATGATTACAAATAATGCTAAAACTGAAGTCAGCCTGTATCAAGTTTCCCAAAAATGAAGCTGAAGTACAATAAAAATATCCAATACCCGGCAAAATTCTAACTTGTCACATGTCAAATAATTACCAGAAATATAAAACTACTCCGGAGTTGGGTAAATACCACAATTTTGCGGTGATAACTATGACATATAACAGCTGATTCATGACGTCACGGATCTTATAACCAAACTGATAACCACACTCGCTTGAACGGATCGGTAAATACCAATCCAAAATGGTAAATACCATTTCCATTTGGTTATCCGCTTGAATTTGATTTTATATGTGTGTATCGTGCGTCTTACTTGTCAAAACCGCCATTTTTTCTAGATGCCAACAGTGTTGTCAAGTTGTGTCCGGCAACAACGCACTGTTTCCCATTCGCCCTTCGCCCATATAATCACTAATCAGTGTATAGTCAACGCCAAACAAAGTGGCGTGCACGTCATCACGATAAAATTCCCCGACCTAATGCCTAGGTTTCTATCACAAACAATTGCTCTATTGCAGTTTCATATTAATGTGATATATAAATTGTAAAATGGTCATTACTCTCTTATTATGGTTAATAGTCATATAAACATTGTTATTAAAATATCACATAAGTTGCTTTCTGATAAATTTAGACGCATTATGCGAAATAAAATGTTTTGCAAACGCTCCAATCACTTATCGACATGTAAACGCACTAAACCGATTTCGCAGCGTTGACACGTTGTCACCTTGAAACTTATTTAAACTGGGAACTGACATTTGTATTAATTTTGACACTGAATCAATTTGTGGCATTTCAAATCTTTATAAATCCTTTGGCCCCGCATACTGTAAATCAACAACTGTTTGTTTCAAAACAAAATTATTCATTTTACGAGTAGATAAAGGCAATTTTGGTATATAAAGATGCCCAAACAGTTAAATAGTCGGTGTAAGGAACTCGTGGCCTCGTTAATGCACTACTTTGAGCAAGAAAGGGACAACAACGGGCCTTTGTTGCCTTTAAATGCTGGAGGTCCCCATTTGGATTTTTATTCAGTACCTTTAAGCTATCAATTAAATATGGTAGTTTCATAGTGTCATCTGATCAATAATTGTCATACTTAATGATTATGCAAGTACAGATCTATAATTTTATTATACTATTATTTTTGTTCTCATTTGAGGTTAATATTGCTTATAAACCTAGATATGTAAATAATAAATTTTATTATTTTACAAAAAGTTTGGCAACAATGTAAATTTTTCAACACACCCACCTTGATGACGTGCACGCCACTTTGTTTGGCGTTGACTATATATTTATGTTTTGTGCCATTTGCCATATAAGTTGACTCCTAGTGGTCCGAAAGTTATCTTAACACAAAACACTCTTTTGTCTGTTACCTTGACGTTAAATATATGATTTTATTAGTGTTTAACGTTGATGTTGTCACCACTGCTACATAGCAACCCTAGCTGGACATGCGAATTAAATTAAATGGTAAATGCTCATTTTGTTAAGTTAGGTTCAGATTAGGTTAAAGTCTTTGTTAAGTTTCGCATGAACCAAGCATAATGTGAGATTAATAGTAATTTTGCAGGATATAGAACAGATCCATAGTATTATTTGGATAAGAATTTTGTTCAGTCAACATGGACATGGAAGAAAATTTTTGTACATTCTGCCATACAGTAGTACCTCAAAGTGAATTAAGCGATTCACTGGAAGAAATGCTGATAGTACTTTTCATTGAACAGGTATGTATCCAAGTTTTTTGCATGTGTGGTTCAGAGTACAAATGTCTTTAGACGAGTTTGGATCAGTCTTAAAACTGAAACTGTTTAACAGTTAAAAAATCAGAATAAACAGGTTCTGCTAAAAATTGGAGCTTCCCTTGGAAACAAGTAAATTTGAAATAACAAAAAACATAAAAAGGGAATTGAAGAAAAGTACTTACTATTCATTGAATTCAGGTGTGGCCCTGTCACATTTTCTTCAAGTTTCAGCTATTCAATTTCAAAACTCAGATCTGTTATGTTCTCACCAAAGTAATATTTCTTTATTTGTGTACATCTTGACCACCTTTGTGCAATATAAACATACCTACCTGGGTTGGTTCAAAAACATCCAGCAGGATGAGATGAACAAACTTTTAAAGTATCAATAACTACTTGAAGACACATCATAAATTAACATAAAACCAATATGTTACAGGAATGTGCCAAGTTTGGTTTTAACAAGTCCAATTTGCTAGGATAATCCACAAACCAGCCTGTTTTGGATACTGACACACATTACAACCTTTTTAGTTTTTTCATGTAGAGTGCCGAGCTGAGTTGGCCATTCTTAGTTATTCGAAACATGATATGTCATTTATCTTAACGCTTGTATGTGTTGCTAAAAAAATTGTCCCAACTTTACGCACCCTGTGGCAAGATATACTTGAATTTTAAATATTGATATATTACTTTGTTTTGTTAAGGACAGATAATGATGTAATTTCCTTTGATTTCACAGATAGGAACTTCATTTTCTTAATATACAAAATTCATATAACCTAGACTTTGTATATACTGGTAGAGTGATTTCAAAACTGGACACTTGCAAAAAAGATTTTCAATCTTTTCAATGGAGAACTTGACTGTATCCTTAATTATACTAGAAATCTATCATATATTAGCATATTCACATAATTTTTCTCTTGGTTATCAAGGCAGGAGTGTCCAGTTTTTAAATTTTCTAACCTTTACATATATGATTTTGAAACAATAAAATATTTATCAAACATGATTAGAGTATTCAATTCAAATAATTCATTCATAAAAAACTTTTATTTCATATTTCAGACATCTGATGGAGCTATTGCATGTCCATGTTGTATAAAAAAAATTACTGAATTTTGTGAATTCAAACTGCTCTGTTTAATTGGTGAAGAAGAATTATATCAGTCCAGAGAGAATGAAAATGAAGCTTTGTGTAACTTATTCCTAAAAGTGTATGGGTCCAGTAGATGTAGATTCTGCAAAAGCCAACTTGGTCTTTCAGAAATAAAAATGAGACTGCATCCTTTGGACCAATATGGTATCAGAGGACTTGTCAAAAAGCATTTTTGTGAAATGGTGAGTATTTTCATTCCTGCTATTATCAAGAGAAAGTAATTATAAGTTTTAAAATTAAAGTTTCTACTACAATTACTAATATTCATTTCAAAATCCAATATCTCAAATCATTTGTCTAGCTTGAGAATGCAAGGTAAATGAATGTGGGCAGACATATGGGAGGTCTATTGTACTTGAAATATGATTCTGAGGCTGTAGTTTGGAATATTTTGAAAATATCACTGAACATGAAAAGTGTGGTATACTCGATATATTATATGTATGATCATACAGTTATATCATTTTTTTATTTTCATCAATATGTATAGCTATTGAGGGATTGTAGTCATGATTATTTTGGATGCACCGAGGAATCGCTTCGCCCAGTACTAGGCATACGCGGTCCATTTTACAGATTACTCGGTTTTGCCGAGTATTTAATTACTCCTACCTTGCTGATAAGTTCTCCAAAAAATTAGCGCATCGTCAAAAAAATAGCTAAGCTTTCAGCATATTTTTGCCAGAGTGAGTTGCCTGATTCGGAATATTTTTGTTTGTTTTCTGTTTAAGATTTATTTAGCATGATTGCTACAATTACATTCTTGTTAATAATATAATTACATAACATGCAAATATTTATCCATCCAAGATGTTCCTTTAATTTTCCTTTAAACATCTTTAAATTACAATAATAATAATCATTTATTCACATCAATTACAAATTATGAACAAATTGATATGCCAGAAAAGGAAAATATCCTTTTATGTGGATATCATGCTTTACAATAAACTAATAGGACTAAAAAAAATTTTGGATCGTAGATTAGCAGTGAAGAAAAGATATTTATATGTTAGTTTTTTATAAATTACATCAGTTTTCAAAAGCCACTCATATAAATCTATTTTTAATAATGGTATTCTGTCTTTTCTAATATATTTTGGTTAGTTATGATATAATTTTGGGCCTAAATATATAGATTTCAACATTATTCCTTTTTTTTGGTGGTGCAATAATTATATGTTCATTTTTATTTCTAGTATCATACTCATATAAATGGTCGATTGTTTGTTTTTATGGAATTCTAGTATGTATAACATTATACCAAAATAATTTTTTTATATCTAGTAGTTTTGATTCTGTAAACAGCAATTTGGAGGGACATAGTAAAGGTTTGTTTTGAGTGGTTTGTATTCATAGTTTTTGTATTATTTGTAAAGAATTTAGGTGGTTATTATTCATGGATCCCCAGATAATAATTCCATAGGTTATGTGGAATTCAACTAATGTTTGATATAAAATTTTTAATTGGGTTTTATTGAAAATTTATTCTGTAATATCTGAATTTATATAATAGAAATCTAAGTTTATTTTTAATGTATTGGATATGTTCATTCGAACGAAGATGGCAGTCTAAAATAATTCCGAGATATTTATGATTAAGTTTTCATGATATATATATATATATATATATATATTCATTTTGGAGATTTGTTGTCTTTATATATAGCTGATTATATAGCGGTAATTCATTTATATAAGTGGTGAAGGGAATAAAGTAGATTTTTTTCTAATTTATAGTTGATAATTGATTATCGAACCAGTCTGTTATCTGTACTAAATCTTTTTCAGCTTATTCTTTTAATGTTGTCCAAATTCTGGCTTTATGGGTGATGGTTGTGTCATATCTGCAAATCCTAATTTTTCACTTTTTGTTGATAGATTATATAAGTTGTTGATATATATATATATATATATATATATATATATATGAATATATATATATATATATAAAATAGTAAAATAATGAGCAAATTCCGCAAAAGGAAGGAAAGTGAATTCGAGCAGAAAATAAGATAGGTAACCCGAGTAATACGTATTTCTGCTTTTCGTTATCAATAAGCTCAATGTGTCCGTCCGATTGGTTTTATATTTGTAACAAGTGCTCTCATCTCCGCGTTCGTTTTGAAACACCATTTGGCCAAACGACGAGTAAGTTGTTTGACAATTTAAGTCGTTCCTGTATTGGTTGCTAGCATCATAATTGTGTTTTCAGATCCTGATGAAGGCTCCATAGAGAATTGCCGAAAGCGTGATACTATACTCAAAAGAGTTAACTAAAGCCTAAAAAAGTTTGCCAATTTCCCAAGTAACAATTAATTGTATTTTTTGCCCAACTGGTCGTTGGCACTGGAAATGACTACTGCTCATTATATATATATATATATATATATATATTAAAAAGAAGGTGCGCAAGTATTGTTCCTTGTGGAACTCCATACGTTATAGTCATTTCTTCGCTAGTTATGTTTTCAATTTCAACTTTATGCTTTCTGTTATGCAAATAATTTTGAAATAATTGAAGTGGCGTACCTCTAATTCCATTGTGTTCTAATTTACTCAATAATTTCTCGTGATCTGTAGTGTCAAATATTTTTAGCTAAGTCGCCTACTAATAATTTCATGGCAACTTTGGTAGATACACCTTTTCTAAAGCCAAACTGTGAATCAGATGTCAACTTGAATTTATCAATAGACTTACTTACATACTTTCAGGATTTTTTCAAATATCTTCGCTAAATTTGTTATTACAGAAATTGGTCTACAGTTATTTAATTCTATCTCCACCTTTATGTATTGGTGTAATTAAAGCAGTTTTAAATGCACTCGGATAATTACCAGTTAAAAAACGGATAATTACCAATTCCAAAAATCCAATTTATTATGAATGGAAGAGATTTAGCTATATAGATAGCTATCATTTTTAGAGTTTCTGCTCTTATATTGTCATAATCTGGCGATTTATTGTTTTTTAAGTTCAATATAGTTTCAGTACTTGTTAAGTAGAATGAATTTGGTGTGTATTTTTTTCTGAAGAGACTCACTATACGTTGATTTTTTTTAATTGTATTCCTGAGTGTCCCACCTATATTAGAAAAATATGTTACAAACCTGTTTGCGATTTCTTGTTTTGATTTAAGTATATGATTTTGTTCTTTTATCAAGTTAATTTTGGTATCTTTCTTTTTTGTTTCCGATTCTTTCAAGGCATTCCATTTTCACTAATATTCTTTTGGTTATAACCTTTTTTGGCTTTTTTTATTTTTTCACTTAGTTTATTTCTAGTTATTTAATAATTATTTATGTTTTCTATTGTAGGGTTCTTAATCATTGTTTTATAAAGTTTGTCTTTTCCATTTCTTTCACAACATCATTGTTTTTAGTTTAATTTTATTGGTGCTTATATTAATATAAATTTGAAATTTTTTCTCTGAAGGTATTGGTAGCTATCTTTATATTTTCAGCATTTAATATATCAAACCATTTTTCGTTAGTCATGTTGTTTATTAGTTTTGTTTTATCTAAATAAGTTATGTTAGTTTCCAAAATAAATGGTTTATAACTGAATTTTTCTTGTTTCTAATAAAGGTATGATCAATACAAGATTTTGAGGTACCATGTATTCGTGTTGCAGTGTGTATAATATATGATAGGAAACCAAAATTACTCATTAAATTTAGGTAGTTATTTGTATTATCATTGTTTTTTAATAAATTTATATTCAGACCTCATAGAAAAAACAAGTATATCATTATTAATATCATGTGTAGTTAAAAATTCACTTAAACAATTTATAAAGTCATTTACTGATGAAGAGGGGGTTCTATATATAGATACTACTTTAATATTAAATTTTTCAAATGTTTTTACAATTTAATGTATTAATTTCATTGCTGACAATTCTGATATTTTCTTTAATATAAATGATAATGCCGTCGTTTTGATTATAATTTCCAAAATTATATATTATTTTATATCCCTGTATGGTAAATAATGAAGTGTCCATTATGTTCCATGTTTCCGTCAAAATAATTAAATCAAAGTCATTTTTTATTTGTTTTAAAATAACATTTAGTTCATAAAAACATTTATTTATGCTTCTGATATTAGTCTGAAAAATTTTGAAATTTTTATATAAGGTTTTAAAAGCGTCATTAAGAGTTTGGTTTGTTTGAGTTATTGTAACGATGTATTTACTATTAAATTTTCTTATATAGATATCCATCTGATAGTTTTCTTTTTAAAATTCAATTTTTGAGTATATGGAAGTTTTCGAAAAATGTATACATATATTGGACAATTTCTGTCCGTGGCCAATTGATCAGTTGAATGTTTTTTTTTAATGTGGCGTTTGAATACACACAATTTAGATTTGGTTTGTTACTATTATGATGATGAATTTATAACAATTTTTACATTGACTCACATAATTGTTATCGAATACACGTAATTTTTGATAACCTAAAAATATTTTACCACTATTTTCTTCTATCATGTTGTGGTAGACTAGTCCAGTTTCTGGTTTTATTTTCATAAGATAGGTTATATGTAGGTCTTCTTTTTTGAAGTTAGTTCTTTTGGTACATTAAATTTGTTTTATCTCTTCTTCGCTTGGTATTTGGTTAATGGTATATCCGGTAATTTTTATCCTATATATAATCTATATAGGTGTATGATCTGCAGATATCTGAGTTGTACAATAGTATAAAATATCACAAATATTGTTAATGTATAAAATAAATAGTAGTAGGTCTAGTTTACTACCTTGTAGTACACCGTCAGAAACATTTTTTGAGCTTGATAATGTAGATCCTATTTTGTTTTTTCTTACTTCTCTTTCAATTAAGTAGTTTTGTGGAATTTTGAACACAGATCGTTTAAATTCATAGGGATGCAATTGTGTGAGTTATGTATCCCTGTCGATAATTTTAAACGGCCTTTTGAGGCCATACTGTCACTGTATGTTTCCTATTGTCCATACATCTAAATATCGACCGTCTTCTCCAGACAGAGTATTTATGGTACTTGTGCAGTTAATTTTTATCTACAAGGTGTTACTAGTACATGTTCTTTAATAAAAAATACGGAAGTCTATGGAGCAGTGACTATGGGACTTTAAACTTCATGATGCTCTTCACTTCCATCCTTACAAGATGGCACTTGTGCAGGAACTTTCTGAACGTGACTTCAATTCTTTCTTGGATGAACGCGTGTAAGCGTTTCTCAAAGTCGTTCCTGAGGACGCTATTTTTTTAGTGAAGCCGATCCGTCAACAAACAAAACATGTGCTACTGGACTGACATCAATCCTCGAAAATTGCATCAGAGGCATCACCTAAAACCACAGTGTGCATGTATGTGTGTGCGTGCGTACGTCTGTAATTGCGTTTTAAATATTCTAAAACTCCTTGATCCATTGGCTGAATTAGTGACGTTGCATTAGAAGGCAAAAACATCACTCGTATTTCTCCACTTTTACGTTGCTCCTCACTTGGGTGGCTCGGAGCATTGTCTAATAGCAAAATATATTTTGTCGGATATCCGAGTTCATTCAAATATCGTTCTGTCTTGGGAACAAAATGATTCTAAAACCAGTCCTTGAATAGAGCGGCATCCATCCAGGCATTTTTTTTTTAATTTTTATACCACACTGGAACAGCGTTGGGTTGGACGTGTTTAAATGCTCTTGGTTTAGCTGATTTTCCGATTAACAACAAAGGAAATTTGTGTGTACCGGAAGCATTGCTACAAGCAAGGAAAGTCACACGTACTTTACTGCGTTTGTAACCAGGAGCTCCAGATTCTTGTTTTGAAGCTAATCTTCTCGCCGGTAACATTTTATAGTTTAGACCCGTTTCTTCGCAGTTGTAAATTTGTTCTGGATTTAAACCATTAATTCTTCCAAATGTTCTCCAAATTTTAATGCAGCAAACTTATCGGCAGATAACTTTTCTCCGCAAACTTTTAATTCTCGTATACCGTGTCGTTTTTTCCATCTATGCAGCCAAGCATCACTGGCTATAAAGTTATCAGGCGCCTCTATAACTGGCAATTCTGCACTTAAGTTTACTGCCTTTTGCTTTAGAATTGGCCCGGAAATTGGTATTCCACGTTCTCGATTCTGTGTAAACCACAGATATAAACCATCCACCATCCACTTTTTGATAGTTTTCATAGTTTTCCGTGACGGCTGCGATGATGTCAGAACACTAAACCACTTTTCAATTTTCTCGCGTTGTTTTTTCCATTCTGAAATGGTGCTCACGCCCACACCCAAACCGCTTGCCATGTTTTTAAGCAAATCACTCCTATATAAACGTCTGATTGCCTCAAGTTTCTGTTCTCTGATAATAACAACGCGTTTACGTTTATTTCTATGCTGCTCCATCTTAGCGATTATGAACCTGACTGAAACAAACATACACGCACACATACCAGTGAATTCCGCAAACGCGCTTGGAGAATCACCCGCAGCGAATCTAATGGCGCAAATGCCGAAAGGGGAACTATCGGCGGCTATTTCGGATCATGCGCCGATTTCACGAACAACTTCGGTTAAAACGGAGAAATTATTGTATGCGATCTGTTTCAGATAAAGCGGATTTCGGATAATCGCTATTCGGATAATCGGGGTTCTACTGAAAATGTACATAACACTGTGTATTGCTTGGAGCTCTACCCTATGTTCGAGACAAATTTTACATTTGACTGCGAAGATTTATCGTCTTGTTTGAGTTGGATTTAATCTATGGCATGATCACCGTACGATTTCCTGTTAGAGGAAATACAATTTTAGAGAAAAGTATGGATAGGTTATGATGCATGATTAGTTTGAATGACTTCTGAAAAGGAAGGTTATGTAAGTGCATTACTTTCCTTTTTATGTATATTTTTATATCAGATGGATTGTACTTACCTAGAAGTTTTGATGTTCCTCAGCTAAGAAAAGCAGAACTGTGGGTTCGAGGCAAAAATTATAAATCATCAATTTTGAAGCTATACACTGAAAAACATATGCTTAGCTGTTGGACGACTATTTTTTCGAAAAGTAAATCAGACTTGACTTTTCAAAAATGCAAATATAATCTTAATACTAAACATACCATAATTGGTCAAAAAGACCCGTTACGAAATTTTGCATAAAACGAGCTCTTATCGCTTTTGCACATTTAATATCACTAACTGTACGTAAAATAACTCAGAGTAAATCACTCCATCGAGTAATTCGACCTCTTAAAAAATATTACTCGGTGCATTCCTAGTCATTATCATGATGAACGTCTCATATGAGCTTTCAGCTGTCTTGTGTGACAACACTGTAGGTTAAAGCTACTTAAATAGTTATTGCTCATATCCTTGCATTTTTCTGAGGGTCCGATGATAGAAACATTTTGCATCTTTAATCTACCATCAATAGATAAAAACTTCGGATATTTTTTTTTATATATTTTTGTTTCTATTTGCAGGATATAGCAGAAACAAGCAGTTGGATGATATGCAAATCCTGCATAGAAGTTTTAAGCGATTTTAAATCGTTCCTAAACGCATGTGAAATTATTCCAAGAATAAACTTGCCCACTGACAAACCTAATGGATTATCAGATAAACTTATAATATCAAACGCAACATCCGAAATTGTAACGGGTGTATTTTTTGAATGCCAATATTGCGGTTGGAAGAGAACATCCAAAGAAAGCTATGACAGACATATTCGCTTCAGGCACAAGGATTGCTTGAGAGCGTCCTCAAATCAGGATCTTATTTACAAATGTTACTTGTGTAATATTAAGAAAAATCATGAGGTAGATCTCTTGCAACACATAATAACAAAACATATAGCATCGAAGCGTCCTGAAATTGAGAAAGATAAGGAAATAAGTAACTCTATAGGAAATCAAAGGAAAGAACAACTTTTTGAATGCTACTTGTGTAGTGAAAAGGCTGCTTCAAAGTCCGGTTTAATATGTCATATCAGAGCTTCTCACTTTAGAAATCGGTACCACTGGACCCCTCAAAGCCGAGGCAAATTAAAAATTGACAACATAAATTTTTCAAATGGAGAACAACAGGCTGACGATGAAAATAATACTAATGGACTTTGTGTGAAAAACAACAAACACCTTGAGAAAGTGTATTCAGAGACCAGAAGGAATAATCAACGTGGAAGGAAGATTAATTTGATAAAAACTACAGAACAATCTAAGACTGTCAAGACCCCTAAAAAAAAATCTGCACGGCAAAACAATCGAGATTATAAATGTACAATTTGTGGATATTCCACGAATCTGAAACTGGTGTGGTTCAACCATATGAGGTTCAAACACACAACTACGAAACATCACGTGAAACTAAAAAGAAAATTGCAACAGAATAATGATGCTCTAGACCCAAACAATAGTATTGATGAAATTGGTAAAATCATGGTGATTTCAAATGATGAACCCTTTGAGCAGAATAATTTCATACAGGACAAAGCTGTAACTGAAGATGAACCGAAGATTGAATTGGTACAGAAAAATAGTGGTATCGCAAATACTGAAGCAGCAAAAGTTACACCTAACTATAAAATGAACCCTATGGTTGTAAAGTTGTTAAACGAATCTACAAGCAAAAGTGATCGGAGCATTGTTAAGAAAAATAGTAATCCAGATGAGCATTCGACAGAAAATTTAAGAAAACGGTACTTTAGGTGTCAATTTTGTGATGTTGTCAAGCTGAAGCAAATTGCTCTAATTCTGCACGTCAGACATAGGCATTCAGCACAAACGAATCCCGATATTGGCAACGTTCTGAATGGTTCTGAAAAAGTAATAGCAAATTCAACTGAAGAATCGTCAACAAATAGTGGATTGCATCGATTCAAATGCAAATTTTGTGATGTGGTTAGAATGAAGAAATCTCATCTGAATATGCATATGAACACTCAGCATCCAGGAAGAATCCAATGTCCAATATGCCAATTCAGAACCAATGGGAAAGGAGCTCCGTTGACTAACCATATGAGATTCAAACATAATAAGAGTGTTTCTTTCAGTGGTAACGATTTGGTAATTTCCGATATAGTAAATGGGTTATTTGAGTGTTATATCTGTGGCGTTAAAAGGATATCAAAGTCCATCTTGCAGAGTCATATTACACGAATGCATATGAAAAAACGTAAACGTAGGACGAAAGCTCCTACTGATGAATCTAAAACAAGGGAGATCAAGAAAATGTTACTCGAATGTCCTATGTGTTCTAAGAAAACTGCAACCCAATATCATTTAACAAGACATTCACGATTTAAAAACCAAACTATTTTGAAATGCAAATTTTGTGGTTTACAGTTACGTTGGAAAGACGACTCTACAGTCAATAATAAGGGCACACATAATAATTTAGAAGACGAAAAAGAGGAAATATCTAAAAATGGGTATTTCGAATGTTACATGTGTGCTAAGATTAAAACAAGTAGACTGAAATTAATACATCACATTGAATCTAAACATCAGGATATATACGGAGATAGGATAAACAAGCTCTTCAAATGTTATTATTGTGGCACCAAAGTGAAACGTAAAGATACATTATTACGCCATATTGAACGCAAACATCAGGATTCAAGTCAATATGACGAAGTAACTAAACAGGATGGCAATGAAAATTGTCGGACAAAACATGAGTGCGAACCTGTTAAATTTACTTGCAACCTTTGTGGCCCTGGGACCGAGTGTAAACATCAGGATACAAGTCAATATGGCGACGTAAATAAACGGTACGGCACCGAATATGGCGATGAAAAAGGTTCGTCAAAACATGGATACGAACCTGTTACACTAATTTGTAACCTTTGTGGCCCTGGGAGAGAGTGTAAACATCAGGATACAAGTCAATATGGCGACGTAAATAAACAGTACGGCACCGAATATGGCGATGAAAAAAGTTCGTCAAAACATGGATACGAACCTGTTACACTAATTTGTAACCTTTGTGGCCCTGGGATAGAGTGTAAACATCAGGAAACTAGTCAAGATGGCGATGTAAATAAACAGTACGGTACCGAACGTGACAGTGAAAAAAGTTCGTTAAAACATGGATGCGAGCCAGTTACATTAATTTGTAACCTTTGTGGCCCTGGGAGGGAATGTAAACATAAGGATACTAGTCAATCTGGCGACGTCTCCAAACCACACGGGACCCAATATGGCAATGAAAATAGCCCATCACAACATGGGTGTGAACCTGTTAAATTAACTTACAATAAAAGTTTGTCAAAACATGGATGCAAAGATGTTACATTAATTTGCAACATTTGTGGCCCTGGGAGGGAGTGTAAACATCAGGAAACTAGTCAAGATGGCGATATAAATAAACAGTATGGTACCGAACGTGACAGTGAAAAAAGTTCGTTAAAACATGGATGCGAACGAGTTACATTAATTTGTAACCTTTGTGGCCCTGGGAGGGAATGTAAACATAAGGATACTAGTCAATCTGGCGACGTCTCCAAACCACACGGGACCCAATATGGCAATGAAAATAGCCCATCACAACATGGGTGTGAACCTGTTACATTTACCTGCAACCTTAGTGGCCCTGGGAGAGAGTGTAAACATCGGGATACGAGTCAACATGGCGACGTAACCAAACCCTGCGGTACCGAGTGTGACAATGAAAAAAGTTTGTCAAAACATGGATGCAAAGATGTTACATTAATTTGCAACATTTGTGGCCCTGGGAGGGAGTGTAAACATCAGGAAACTAGTCAAGATGGTGATGTAAATAAACAGTACGGTACCGAACGTGACAGTGAAAAAAGTTCGTTAAAACATGGATGCGAACGAGTTACATTAATTTGTAACCTTTGTGGCCCTGGGAGGGAATGTAAACATAAGGATACTAGTCAATCTGGCGAGATAACAAAACAACATGGGACCCAATATGGCAATGAAAATAGTCCATCACAACATGGGTGTGAACCTGTTACATTTACTTACAACCTTAGTGGCCCTGGGAGAGAGTGTAAACATCGGGATACAAGTCAACATGGCGACGTAACCAAACCTTGCGGTACCGAATGTGACAATGAAAAAAGTTCGTCAAAAGATGGATGCAAACCTGTTACATTAACTTGCAACCTTTGTGGCCCTGGGACTGAGTGTAAACATCAGGATACTAGTCAATATGATGACCTAAATAAACAGTACAGTACCGAAGGTGACAATGACAAAAATTCGGCAAAACATGGATGCAAACCTGTTACATTTACTTACAACCTTTGTGACCCTGGGAGGGAGACTAAACATCACGATACAAGTCATTATGCCGACGTAACCAAACAATCCGGCACCCAGTATGTCAATGATGATAGCCCGTCAAGACATGGGTGCAAACCTTTCAACTCTCGTAGCCCTGCGAGAGCCAGTAAACAGACTGCAGACCAAAATGACGACAAGTCCACACCTGATACTAAAACATTCCTATCTAACTCTTGCGGGTCCAAATCCGACACTAAAACATTCCTTTGTACTTGCCGTCATACAAAACATGACAATGAAAAGAGTCCGTCAAAACATAGGTGCGAACCTATTTGCAACTCTTGTGGTTCTGGGATAGAGTGTGAAAGACAGAGTACAGATACATTCCTTTGTAGCTCCTGTGGTACGGAACATGACGATAAGGAAAGTTTGACAAAACACTTGTGGGAACTTAATCATATATACCTTTGTAATATTTGTGGTTCTGAGGATGATTCTTTATGTAATACCAATGATAAAAATGCATCTTTAACTGAATTACCTGAAAGTCGGTTGCATGAAAAACTTGATGTTCCTGAACACGAGAGTGAAAGTTTATGTACAGCATCTCGGTTTTCAATATGTGGTACCCCTGAAGAGAGGGAGCACCCTTGTGATAAAAATGAGCATCCTGGATTATCGGAATCGAGCAAGAATGAAGCGATAGATCAACGTGAATCGCAATTTTTTGTATGTAGCTTACGCAATGTAGAATATGATACTCAACAAGCGTGCTGTCAGACTAGTATTGAACGCAAAGAGGAAGAACCTCAAATCGTATTAGAGAAGGGACGCCTAGAAATAGATTGTGTACCAGTTACATAGTGTAAAACCCATGACTGATGATGATGCAGGAAGTTTTTCATTTATAATAAAGGAACAATTTCGAGAGGTTTATATATCAATTTAAATGTAGAAATGAGAGACAGGAAATTTCAATTGTTTACGAAAAATTCAATTAATTTGACAACTTATATGGTACATCGTATTTTTGTATGTATTTGTATTATACTGTTATAGTATATAGTTGGATTCTAGATTATAAGATTCATAATTCTTGTGTCCCCACTCTAAGGATGTCGAGCATTAATAAAGAGCATACAAAATTAAATTAGTATGTTAATAATGAATAAAAATAAAATCACATTGTTCAGTCACAAAGATCATAAAACTGGCTGTTTTGAGGGAACACTTGCCAGAGTGCCTTACCTCAGTAGGGTAGTTGGCACTTTTTTGAGTAGATTTGTTCTATTAGACCAAAAAAGTATTACTATATTTTTTCCAAACCGTAAAACTTTAAAAATATATTTTTCTTAGGCGAAAAAAAAATGTTTGCTAAATATTTGTAGCCACAGAGATTTTGTAATATTTAATAAATACATTTATATACATATATATATATATAATCATAAAATATTCATTTTAGATATTTGTGGTATATATAGTTTATATATTTTCGCGATATTTTTTCCAAACATATAGAAAATATATGAGTAAAGATTTTTAAATATAAGTTTTATATTTTGATGAAATATCTTTTTCGTAAATATTTAGGAAATATGTGAAGCAACATATTTTGACGCATTAATCTGATACATATTACCAGTGTATTCTTGAAAATGTAGGAATCCTTTTATGGGTTTTTAAAGAAGATCCATTCTAGATGTAATAAATAGTTTAATTTTCTAGAAAAATATCATTAAAAGTATTCTAGACCTCCTCTACATCTTGCAAATCCATATCCCTGAAAAAAAAAACTTATAAAGTATTATTGGATATAGTTGTAGTCATCGTTCTTGGCGGTTACGTCATCAACGCCATATGAAATAGGTATACATATCGAGTCTCCGTACCATGCGCGTAGACTAATCTTCAGCGCATCTGCTACTCTCTCCAGTACGCATGAAGTGGGTAACGGGGGACCGCTGTTTTCATTCTCTTCCTGGAAATACTCTAACAAATTTAGCACGTGCTGTCAGCCTTCTCCATTGATTGTATTTCCGGGCATTGTACAATTTTATATTGAAGATTGATAACAGGGCAACTCAAATTGCACGCCGATGTCAAGTAAGTTGTCACTCAGACAAATATGATTGAAGGGCACTCATGCGTAACGACAAAGTTTTCGAGACGGAGACACACAACTAAAACACATATGTCTTTGAGCTTACCGAACAAACGTTCACATACAGGGGTAGGTAGCATGTGTATGTATCAGGGAGATGGTGGAGTTACATATATAATGGGATACTGGTAGTCTTACTTTGACCCACCAAGAACGGTGACTACAACTATACATGAGCTGCTTTCCATTGATTTTTTGTTTGAGAGTGATATTCTCCTGAACTGCTCTAAAACTGTATATATGGGAATATAAAATGGGAAAAAAGAGAAACTCAAGTTGGTCACCAAAAAGCAGGTTTATAATGGCTCGGCATATACTTCTTATAGAGTTCCAGATTTGGTAATTTTTATGAAAATTTGGGATCTTGATGGAAAATGTCCATGGATACAACTTGATGCTTAGACTGGCTTAAAAAAAGGTTTTAAGGATAGACCACTTAATGGTTTTGCTGAAATGTGCATTTTTGCAGTAGTATAGGGTGCTAACTTAGCCATAATATTTTGGGATATCTTAATATAATTCAAGAGACAGAAAATATAGTATTTTCGATTGCTAACATTTGTGAAACGTCACTGTTGGACTTGAAATGTTAAAATAGTTATAGCTTATATAACATATATAACATCAATTATTAAATGATAATTGAGATATTTAAAAAAACATTTTTATATCTTGATCAAGTTGTGATTGTGGTGACTTTTCATTGGGAGGTCAGTCCAAAGCCTACCTTCTCCTTAAGTTTGTCGTGGTACTTATTGGACACCCTGTAGAAGCAGCAAATCATGATACTGTCAAATTGTGACTCAAGTAAAGTATTTTAAGTATTCCTACCTGGACGTATAGTGATTCAGGTATATTCTTTACCACCTTTTCACACCTCAAAACTACGTACAACTCACAAATATATATATATATATATATATATATATATATATATATATATATATATATATAAATGCGGAACAGGACACCCGCGAATTGTAGGTGAGAAAAAAAATACAACAGCAGATGACAACTACACAAATCATTAGCAAACCAATTCCTTTCCTCTGTTGCCATATGTTCAAATTTCACTATGTTCAAGGCTCCGACAAAAAAATTTAAACGGTCATATTAAATAAACATGACAGTCAAAGTGAAGAGACGTATCCACAACAATATTCAATAACGACGTTAACTTAAAATATTAATATGTATCTTGATGATTTTAGTGTTATTGTCATTTGTATTAGAAGTATACTGTCACTGAAATAAGTACTAACTCGCAAAATTTCTGGGACAAACAATATTATAATAAACTATTAATATAAAATGTCGATATTCGCTTACGTCAATCCGGCAACACCAATACCCACCACGAACACTGATAGAATTTGTTCACTTACATGATATATGACAAAAAAACGTTAATACTGAAGTTTACATTAATTCTCCCTGGAATAACATGTTCTACATAATCCTTACATCCTAACTAAGTTATGGAGATTGCATAAATGTGACAATGTTGTGTTCAATTCTACGTAATATCGTATAACAAAAAATATATAAATTGTAGGGAATATGTTTTACTTAAAAGCTATGTTCACGTAACACGCGTGTTTAGTGGGTTATCACGTTTTATCTAATTTTAACAAGTTGATTCAATATTGCATCCAAACAGCAATTATAATTTATAGGAAACAGAATCAAGGACATAAACGTTTGTTATTCTAACATTGTATTCAACACAATCCACATTTTTGATAAACCAAACGTTTGACTTTGACAGAAGCTTGTGATGAAAGCCAAACATATGTATGCTTCGGTCAAAAAAATTGATCTGCTTTGGTCATACCTAGAAATTGGTTTCGTATACGAAAGTAATAGTACTACCTCTGTATTAAAAATACCACCCCTCATACATTTACCTGCGTGAAGTCGCAAATTTATATTTTTAGCAACATACTAATTTAGTTTTGAATTTTTCTATTTTAGTGCTCACCTTCTTAAGAGTGTGAACTGTGCTTTCAATGTACCTTTATTTTATATAATATATTTTTCACCAATATGAAATTAACGAGAACTTCTTCGCTATAGAAATGGGCACTAACATTAACATATTCCATCAGAAGATACCCAACCCAACTGAAAACTAAAAATTATTTGGTGAATAATTATTTTTTATTGTACTTTACAGGAAATCGCCACACAAAACAAGTCTTTGCAACATCACAATAATACAGACAAAACATTTCACAAAAGTCTTACACATTATTTTGTTACCTATGTCTAGACTTTTTATTGTTCTTTTTGGTGCTATTGAAACTCTTTTGCTTAGCAGAAAGTTCCGAACTCGCAGCGACACCGTCTAAACCGTTTGTCGTACCATTAGTACTGAATGATGCAGAAGTAGTACTAGACTGCTTTCCAGCTGTTTTGACACCAGTCGATTCGATGTGATTGGAGATTAGGCCTCCGGCATTCGTGTCACTAGAGTCTTCATTTGTCGGTGATTCAGACTCTTCGCTCTGTCTGTCAACTGATAGTGTTAAAGTGGGTTAGCTTAGATTTGACCTTAAGGAAGCTATTCAAGGTTGTTTTTAGTAAATACTGAAATATTTACACTGATGTTATAGTACTTTTCGCGATTTTTGGCAGTTACGTCATCAATGGCTTGCGAAATAAGCAAATCGACTGAACTATGTGCGGGGCTGAAGCTCCATAGGAAAATTGCACTGGGCAAAATGATCTTGAGCGCAGATACTCTTGCAGGCCGAATTGATTAATTAAGGATCATTGAATTCATTCGCTTTCTCAAAATACTCGAATAATTTTGGCAAAAACTGTAGATATTGTCCGTTAGTTGCATCACAGATAGGTAAGAATCAGCTATGAAACTCACCTGTCAGTGTTAAAAACGACCGCCGTTTTGGACGAGAAAATCGCAAGTAACTTTTCCTAGTACAACGATGAAAGAGGCTCGAGTCGCTTCATATTCAGCAGTGCTACACAGTGTTGCCACGTACCCGGCCGCAGATATTCTTTGCAATCGTAAAAATTATTTTTCGATATGATCTAGCGTAGTTTGGGTGAACCATTAACAAAGAGGCATCTGTCCGAAAAGAAGAGACAGAGTATTGATGAAGATTTACTTATGAAAGAGCTCTACATTGAATTTGTAATTGTGGCAGACGAATAAACGGAAAAATGTTTACTTTTGCTATGTATTCTTCGTTGCTGCCATATTGTCAATATATTGCATTTTCAATATAAACACTTTTAAATACATCGTTTACTGAATTACAAGAATTTCCATGTCTCTCATGAAAACGGGAACAGACAACCGGCAAAGTGACAACCAACGTTATCTAACCTAACAATTTTTATTTATTTGGCATAATGTGGACCACCGTGTGGTTGAATCACCCTATGGCGAGCGGCATATTTTCCAAGTAAGGAGCGTATAGTTGACTACAATTTTTGTAATTAACTTTTTTAACCAATTCAAAATATCGGGACTATCGACCGATTTACACATTAAAAACTCGTCATGTACGTAGAAGCATCCTAATTGAAAAGTCCTAGAAGTGTCAGGTTGGATTGCGTTGGTTATCACTTTGATGTTAATCAAATCCAAGCGGATAACCAAAATTTCCGTATTACGTACCGCGGTTATAATATGGTTCAAGATGACACACAGGATGGTGACGTCAGTTACTCGAATCGCTTGAACGCGTTGGTTTTAACCGCGGTTTGTTGCAAGTTGTTTATTTTAGAAAAGCCCGTATATAATTTCTGATTATTTTTATTATCACTTAATAATTGGTGCTTTTTCGTCTACAACGGGGTATGGAAAGTTGAAAAAAGGAAACTTTCATAATATTAATGGGAGGAATGTTTTTTGTAGCTATGATAACTTTCAATTCTCTAAACTTTTCCGCATGTCAAAGAAAATATTTATTGATTTAGCAGAAATGATGAAAAAGCGATGAAAAAAAGATATTACAAAACCGTATACAGGTGGACATCATCCAGTGAGTTTATACGGCCATATTTTAATATTCTTGTGGTATATGGCTATACAGGATACTTTTTTAAGTGTAGGAACTAGATTTAAAGTGTCCCCAACAACAGTGATGATTATAAATAATAAGGTGCTCTCTTATGCTAAAACTGAAGTCAGCCTGTATCAAGTTTCCCAAAAATGAAGCTGAAGTACAATAAAAATATCCAATACCCGGCAAAATTCTAACTTGTCACATGTCAAATAATAACCAGAAATATAAAACTACTCCGGAGTTGGGTAAATACCACAATTTTGCGGTGATAACTATGACATATAACAGCTGATTCGTGACGTCACGGATCTTATAACCAAACTGATAACCACACTCGCTTGAACGGATCGGTAAATACCAATCCAAAATGGTAAATACCATTTCAATTTGGTTATCCGCTTGAATTTGATTGTTGGTTCATTGCCATCTCAAATCAGGTATGCAAACAGCGTTGCCAAACCCAAAATAATTCTCGTTTTTTCAGGACAAAGGCATGCAAATTCTTGTGATTCAGGTAATGTTGTTTTTAATAGTGTGTACATTAAAATGCAGTGGATTGAGAATATGGCAGCAACGAAGAATACATAGCAAGCTTTTTGATAAATAGTAGTAAAATGTATTATTGGTTTATCAAAATTTCACATCATATCGTAACATTACAATTTTTACTGTTACAAAGAATCGCTGAGGCCGCTGGCATGTTTCGCGGCAACACCGGCTAGGACTGCTGAACACAACACTAAAACCTGTTTCATCTTTGTACTAGGAGAACTTACTTGCGATTTTCTCCGCCGAAATGGCGGTTGTTATTGACATTGACATGGGAGTTTCATAGATAATTGTTATCTAAGCTGTGGTTATATTTTCAGGTACTGCTATATTTTATATTACGAAGATCAATACATATGCCCATTTCAAGTGGGTTGTCACTCGGACAAGCAAGATTAGCAATATGTACTTATATGTTAGCGCGAAGATTTCCGAGGCGACGATGAAACGAAACTAAAAAACGCATGTCCGAGCTTAAACAAGCAAACATCAACGCACAGAGATAGAGTGCATATGTATGTGTGAGGGAGATGAATGTATAAAAATTATGCCTCTAGTTTTAGGGTGACCAGCCAAAAAACCGTGAAACGAGCTATACGAGTCAACAAATAGTTGCTATGCCATGGTACAAGGATATAAACAGATCAGACTAAGGGTTTAAAATAAGTGTCAAAAAATGCATAACGGTAAAGTTGTCATTGAGAAGGACGTTCAATGCATTTTGAAGTAAATCAGAGAGCATTGGTCAAAGTTAAAAATGGAAGTATTTACATCAATGTTATTTTATGCATCAAAATCATTTTTGTAAATAACAAAACATGGTAACACACAGGCAATGCATACAGCTCATGCAAGATAACTCACAGAGTATTGCTGAAAAGATGTAAATTGTGGGTACCTGTTGTATACCAATTAAGTCCATGATCTAGGAAATAATCAGAAGAAATACAGATAATTGTGATGTGAAATATGATTTCTACTCGAATGGGCTTTCCACTTCAAGTTCCCCAAATAACATTTCGCAAGAAGAAAAATGCATACCAAAAAAAATCAGAAAACTAATAGGTATATTCCCCATCATCAAGTAGACATAAATATTTCACATTTCATGCAACAACTGGTATGTACTGAAGAATAAAAAATCATATTAAAACTAAATATTTTAATAATACCATTTTTATAAAATTATAAAAATAAAATACCACAAAAAGAACTACAGATAAACACAATCATTAACTACTACTATATGCATAAGGGTTGTTATCTACATCATTTGAGTTCTTACTTTTATCAGGATTCTGATCAACTATTCCACTGACAGCCTGAAAAGAAAAACCCACAATAACATCACTTCTAGTCTGATGCATCCTAACAATTATTTTTCTTTATTCAACCATTGATTTACACATTCTGTCTGACCATGTAGTGAATTCGGAGATCCAAAAAGAGATCTGAATGATACCAGCTCCATCTATGAGATACAAGCAGAACACGAGAGTGAATTTAGAAATCTAATTTAAAAGTAGAGTGTTTGGACCTGTTGTCTCACAAATGCTGCTGGAGTCTTCAATTCCTTTTTGACCTCTACAGTGATGTCAAATACAGTAACTTTTCGGTAATCATGGTTACCAATTACTTTAACCAAAAGTAACCGGTACTTTGTACTGATTACTGATTAGTGGCATCACAAATGGCAACAATGTTGTTCATACTTATTCAAATGCCTCTGTTAAAGATTAGCACAAAATATTTGGTAATTCATGGTAGGAATTTAACCAGCACAAAGTAATTCAAAAATTAATTTTAGAGGTTTAGTCAAATAGTCCTTCATCGTTGAAATTGGAAGTTCCAAAATTTAGCGAAAACAAATAATAGAAGTAGTATGATACTGGTAGTATGAAAATGAAAAAAAAAAATGATGTTTATTTGTGTATATGATGCAGTGTTGCCAGAGCCAACATTGAAAATTCCGCTACTGGTATCGAAAAACTCCGCTACTTTCCGCTACCCCGGTGATTATCGTCGGAGGGAGGGAGGTTGGCGCACTATCATAAAACAGGGGGGCATTTATTATACAGGTTGTGTCAAAAAAGGAAAACAAAAACCACACACCGTGATAAAATATGGGGTTGTCCAAAACGGACGCAGGAAAGTAAACGCATATTAAAACAAGAAAGATTGATATTCAAATCAAGTTGGGTACTTTATTTTGAAGGTTCATTTATACCATTTATGTATGAAAAATAATATCGCTCAAATGTTCACCACGACTGGATTTACAGACGTCCACGCGATGGTCGAGATTTTCAATGACATTTTGCAACATGGTCGGTTCTATGGCATTTATCTCGGCAATGATGTTGTTTTTGAGTTCTTGGAGGGTGGCTGGTTTGTTGACGTAGACTTTGCTTTTCAAATATCCCCATAAAAAGAAGTCGAAGGGAGTCAAATCGCACGAACTTGGTGGCCATGGCACATTTCCTCTGCGCGAAATCACGCTATCACCGAAGAAGGACTGCAATCGATGGATATTGATGTTGGTTGTGTGACATGTTGCACCGTCTTGTTGGAAATAAACATCGTCCATACCCATTCCTTCAAGTTGCGGCCAATTTGGCGGTGTTCAAGGAGCCAATTTAAGAACGTTCGACACGAAAAATGGTCGGCCCGATGCAGCTCTTGCGTCGATTGGATCTTGTAGGCGTGTACATTCAAATCCTTGTGGAGAATGCGGAGCAAACTGGTCCTTGAAATGCCCAATTCTTGGGATCGACGCGTTGTTGATTGTTTCGGATCGTCTCTCACACTCTCCTTCACAACAGCAATATTTTCCAGTGTGCGAACGCTCCTTGGCCGGCCAGAGCCTGGCAGATTTGCCACAGAACCTGTTGCCTCGAATTTACGCACCAGACGACCGATGGTTGTTTCGTTTGGGCGGTTGTTGCGACCAAAATGTTCACGAGGCGCGCGAAACGTGTTTTTTGTTTTTGCACCATTTTTGTAGTGCTCTTGAATAACTTTAATGCGGTCTTCCATCGAATACGACTCCATAGCGATCAATGGTAAACATTCAACTAACAAAATGACATGTCGGTGACAGAAAACAAAGATGGCGTCTATGTCAAATTGACGTTTACTTTCCTGCGTCCCTATTGGACAACCCTTTATAACATAAAACTGTAATAAAAAACATTTGACTATAAAAACCAATACAATATTACAAATAACTGTCAAACAACAGAACATTTATCACGCAGTGATATTAAAAAAATATCACAGGATACTAGAAAAATAAAAAGCCATTTCTGATTTGCATAAAAAAATTGAAGTTTTTGAGTTACTTATACATGGTCACTGTCTGTATCTTCTTGTTGTATTTCTGTTCTCTGTATACTATATAAATTATTTTTGTATTTTTTAAAATGTTTTTCACCAAATTCGAAGTCTAAGCAGCAACATTTTTTTGTATTGTATCAAGTTTGATAAGTATCGCGAGCAAACTTGGAGGTAAAATACGATTCCTTTTCTTTGTTTTGATTATCCCCATAGATATATGAGAATGTCCACTCGACATCTGTATTACCATGTGGCAAATTTTAAAATTATTAGACATACTTTGGAAATACACTTCACAGATTGTGTTCTTACCATCTACTACCATCTATATGGGACTCTGTTGAATAAGAATTACCGACCCGTGGTTACCACTGTCGATTGGAAATATACCTGTATTTGGATTTGGTTAGTAACTGCACTCAATTTTTTTTCTGGTAAAAATATCCATCATGTGTACCTAAGTTGCAAAATTCCGCTACTTTTAACAAAAAATCCAATTCCGCTGCTGCGCCGCTACCAGTAGCGGAATTCCGCTACTTCTGGCAACACTGATATGATGTATAGCCTTCTCATAAAAGTATAATATTATATACATTGTCTTGTCAGATATTTGTCACCTGTTTAACTTCCTAATTTCCTTGATCATCACATGGCTTTTATTTTCATATTACACTACATTACATTGCATTTAAGGTTACAACACATATATACAACCCATTGTGCTTTGAGGAAGCAATATGTGCATAGTCCATTGCCCATTCTAGTAATCAGTAATCATGTATGAGGTTTGACAGTTCGAGGCTCTGCGACTTTGGAATGAGTAGAGTATCGACTACTGTGCAAGGGATAAGTATAATAACACAATTCAGCAACTAATGAATGATAAAAAACGTTACTCTAAGCAGATCTTTTGCTTTAATAGATACTGATTCTTTGTGCTCAAGACTAATATTATTGTATAACACCTTTTTATACTTATACTGTCCACTAATCAACAATATATGTGACCATTGTGGCAAATTTTTACAATACAAACCAAAGTAAAGAAAGGAGATCAAATTATATTCATGATTTAACGGTTTTATTGCTATAGTTCCATAAGATTTTGAGTGATATACTTACTGCCATAGATGTTATGGAAGATTTCGAAAACAGCCTTTCTGCTTCTTTAAATTTTCTATTTCGTTTATCTGCTTTGGAGTTGGTAGTTTTATTACTGGATAAATATCTATCCCATCCTCGGATTATGTTGCCGTAAAGCTGTGTATCTTCTAGGTACGATCCCTCGAAAGCGTATATCTGTTTTTCTAGGTTCGCCAACGTATCCTGCACGGTTCAAAGTAAGTATGTGTAAATGATTGATGTGAATTCAAGTTTCTTACCGCAATCTCAGCTTTTCGTTTGACTAGTTCAGCTAATTCTTGCCGAGCGTCTATTGAATTATTTTTCGCAGACATTTTTTAATTTTCTCCACCACAAATGCAAAATACAAACAAAAAAATGTCAGTTTAATGTCAATCAGTCATATGACTGTCAAAAAACGATTTAGTTGTGGGCTGGGTCACAGGGTGGTACACTTGTGACTCTTGGCGATAGTGATGGGATAAATTAATCGAATGGTTAGCTTTTTGATCTGCTTTGGTAGCTCAGCACCTGCTTGATTATAGTATACCTATTTCACGAGTATCCATCACGGTGGAATGACAGCTGATTGTAATATTTTGTTTTTTCGGACGCTACAGATTCATTTTGTACTTGCTAACAGCTCTTTTATGTAGAAAAGTTCATTTAAATACAAAAAGCAAAACGCAACAAACAAGTTTTACTAGATTTACTCCCGAGCCATTATTGCCAACGTCGCAGACAGTAGATGTCAAAACGTGATGGATACTCGTGAAATAGGGTATACCTACAAATTTACAATCACAAAACACAAGATTGATTTACAGTCCAGTGTATATGTTTTGTGTTTACAATCACAACACAGATTTTCTGTATCAATGTGCCCAGTTCTGGAAGATTACTAAACTAGAAATTATACCTACCAAATATGAAAAGATTAGGCCGTAGACACTATAGGCAGGTTCGTATTAACTAAAAATTCTGCAGTATGGTATTTCTGAATTTCAGAAATTGTGTAAAGCATGCGAACTTGAATTCTTTTAGGACGAAAAGTAGAAAGCAGTCGATATAAAGCAAGCAACGATGACGAAAAATAAATTATTACGTATAACCCAAATAAATGCTGCCCATTTAGATAAGGAAATCTACAATACTTTTAATACAATTCTTCGAGATGCTATGAAAAACTTACCAGTAGGTTATTTTGCTATACAATTTGTTCCATGAAGTATTTAACTTGATGATTTGTTCTTGTAGCCACAAATTACAGCACGTTGTGATCTGGAAATAAGTCTTTTGCTAAAATTAGCTCTTACATACAATTCCGTTGTGAAATCTGGAAGTACGTTTGGTCAACAGCTACTATCAATAAAATACAATCAGATTTCACCTACCCAGAAAGCATTGTACCTCATATCTGAGTGTTTAGATTATGTGAGAGTTAAACTAGATATGTGGAAACCTACTCACAGGATCAATAGTACCATATTCAACATCTATGTGTTGATAAAAATGCTGGAATATGTCAATTTGTCTATGTTCCTACTAAGTGGAGAGAAGCCTTTACTTATCGATAGAGTATTGGGTTTGCAGCAGGTATATGCTATCGAAAATGGCCAAAGGCAGTTTGGTTCAAAGTATCTTGCAAGGGAGTTACTGTGGAATGGATTTATTGTAAGTTACTACATATACAATAACTACTAGATAAGACCTGGGATTCCCTTAACCTAATATACAGGGTGACTTTGAAGTTGAGTCATTAATTTTCAGATAATGATTGTAGAAGGAAGATAAACCAAAATATGTGTGGAAAAATAAAAATTTACCTTGTTTTATAAAGTATCCTCCCGACAAGTATTTCAGTGCGGACCTGTATTTGATCGTGAGGTCTTGGAGCACCGACATGCCATCCATATGTGAGGTCTTAAGTCAAATGATTCACGAACCCGTTGTACTACATTAACAAAGGCACGAGGGGTTGGTTGCACTCGATTGGGAAACCGATCCGCATAAACATGTGCCATTTTTTATTCGTTTGAGCCACGCAACAGACACCACTATCCACTACCGACTGACACTGACTGTATACAACTGAATGAAATAATTGTAAAAACATCGTTCCAAATTCTTTCGCTTTTTTGTTTCCGATGCGATGAACCGATAAGGCGAATTATATCCGTTGTCGCCAAACACGAGCACATAATATTATTATTGAGACAGGGCGGTACTCAAACTTCCAAAGGGCTATAACTTTGTTACTTTAATTTTACCAGAAAAATGGTAAAGGAAAAAACATTTCTTTTGATCAGATCTACTCACTGTTAAAATAAATGACTCAACTTCGAATCCTTTTCCCAAACATGTAAAACTTTTATCATATTCTATTTCAGTAAAGTTGTTGATGCAGCATATCTTTCAGGAAATCCTAATTTATATTCTACCATTAATCAACTATCACAAAATGAAAAGAATAGTGAGAAGCTGGAATTGGATGCACAAAAAGCCAAAACGTCCGGTTGAGGAGAGAGTAATGACAGTAGCAACAAAGTGTACTTATTGTGGGGAGAATCCTATCTCACCTTACCACATGGGTTGTCCACATATATTTTGCTACTATTGTTTAAAAGTAAGCAAATGTTACTTATATGTTGAACAATTATTTTTGACACAAAATGTAAATACTTGAGGTGTCTTGAGGCTACATTCTACCTCAAATTTGGCCCCATGAGACAAAGTTCCAGTTGCTTGTACAAAGTCCAATGACATTCTCAGGTTTGCCATTAGAAAATTTTACAAACACTTGCATATTTGTGACCATTGATTAATGACGATATACTGTATTCCCTAAAGGGATTTAAAATACGCTATGAGACTCTAGCAGAACACAAAAATGAATTTGGAATTAATACAATAAAGATTGTTACTACTGCCTTACAATTACTACTTTATGGTAGTAAAGATCCAAAAAGGGAGGTCTCAAAAATGATAAGTTAAGTCTGAGGTGGCCAAAGGGTAAGGGTGATCCAAAAAAGGTTGGCCTAAGGAGGAGGAGTGGCCCATAAGGCTCCAGTAAGGTTGAACAGAACTAGTCCCAAATGCTTCAGTAAGGAGGTGACCTCCAGTGATTTTGTCTAATTAGATACACATAATTAGACTAGCACATTTTGCTGTTGAATTTACGTGATGAGACAAAAAATTAAGTGTGTTGTCACTGTAATGACTAAATGAATGGGAGGAAGCTACCAGAAACATCCCCACAGGTAGGTTTTACTAGAGATGAGGATGGATTTAGATATGCATAAAGATGAGCGGATTATCTGAAGTTCATGGATGGTAGAAACATTACAGTTTAAATTGGGTATTTTCATTATTTAATTCGCGTGTTTCAGCTGAAGATACCCAATTCAAATATGCATTAGAGATGTCAAAAAACCAGAGATCCTAGAGCCAAAAAGTATCAGATCCAAACACGCTGCTTCTTTCCAAAGTACTTTTCTAAATTCATTCATGTGTTCTGCTGCTGTTTCAGAGATGGATAAGATTAACTGTCTGATAGTTTACATGCTTGTACCAACCAGAGATAAAAACGGCGATTTTGCTCTACAAAGTTCCGTTTTCTAAGCTAAAGATTTTCGTTATAATTAGTATCCAATATTTTTTCTTTCCAGGCAAATCAGGCAGCCGACGCAAAGTTTGAGTGTCCTGTTTGTGAAAGTGGGTTTTTCAACATGATTTGTGATCCAGTCGAGTCATTTTGACCACATTTGTTGTTTTACAAAATGTTTGTTTTATTACTCTTTTGAATGTGATTTCTTAGTTGGAAATTTTTTATTTAACATATTCTGTATACAGGGTGACAGGTAAATAGGTGTAAAACATTTTAGGAGGTGATAGTACAGCCCCTTTGCTATCGAAATTAGTATATAATACCATACCCTATATTCAAAGGTTGAAAAGTTATTGAAGATTTAAGATTTTTTTAAAAACAATCCAGGGTACCAGTGAATGAACGCGTTAGGCCTTTTTCAAAGTAACCACTAATTTTATAAATCCATATTATAAGGTAACATTTAAAAAAAATACTAAATACTCGCTGTTTCAGTTGAGAATATATATTTAAAATCACATTTTCACAAACTTACATATTATTCAGTAAAAAAATAAAATAATTAACCATTTCACTAAATCCTAGTTAATGAACACGTGTTGCCAGTAAATGAACAATGTGTATCTAGTAAATGAACATAAATTCTAATAAATGAACAATGGGTATCTAGTAAATGAACTAACTGAATCCTACACATTTTTGGTACTACATCTAGGTTGCGTTAACTTAAGATTAGAAATCTATAACTATAGATTGATTTAGATATGACCAGGTGCCTATTCTAAAGGTAAGTATTTCTCTATTTCATTGCATTCAAATATGCCCCTACGAATTAATCTTGGTTCAGTAATTTGTTCTAAAATAGACGCTTTATTGTACCAAATTTGATCAACTCGACCGGGCCATTTAAAATGATATTTTCCTTCAATATCAACCTTGCACATAGTCTGCACTTCGTATTCCTCGCCTTCTATATTCTTGACGATTCCTGGAAACGGCTTTTCATCATAAAGGACGATTACATAGGACCCAGTATCAGGTCCAGATGAGTTTGAATTTTCTTCTGCGCCGATATTATTTTCCTTCATATCGAGCGAGTCATTTCCACCACTTTTGCGTTCTGTATGATTCTTAATGTTGTCTTTTATCTTAGTTTTACGTTTAGGATTAATCTTCTTGGTTTTAGCCTTCAAATTGACCTTCAATTTTCGTTGTACTCTCAGTTCTTCTTTTTTCTGTTTCACTGCTTCTTTCTTATCCATAAATTCTTTAAACTTCTTAGAAGTAATTGCGTACGGCATACGAGTGTTATCGTTAGATTTACGTTTTGTAGACTTCACTGGTTCACTAGGCCAACGCAAATGTTGCGACCACACCTCTTTCTCATCTATAACCTTTTTCGGGAGCGTATTTTCTGAAATGTTGTCCGCTTCCGTTTTGTTCATTGTGTTGACTTTCAATCTTCTGTAGTTTTTCAGGTTTTGTCACGCTGTAGTTTTGTAAAATACTTTCAGATTCATTAATCAAATTAACATCTTCCATCGTAAGCTGGTCTCCCCCTCTATTCTTCACCAGGTCTTCGAGGGTAACAACACTGTGTACAATAATTTTTTTCGAAGGTTCTTCCGTAGCGCAGCTTACTGACTCGTCTAATTGTTGGTTTTCCGTAGCACTACTGCACACTATCCCGTCGAGTTCAATAGGCATACTATTAATATCGAATTCATTGAAATCAGAAAAATCATTTATTAGTGATTCAAATTGATCATTGCACAAACTCCAAATGTGAAATAGTTGGTTTGTAGATGAATCTCCGATATCTCTCAATCGACTAAACTGGTCTAATAAGGGTGGATCCCCATATGATGTTCGAGAACTTTAAGAGTACTTTTATAATCTGCAGAATTAACAGGATTTGCAATAGTTCGCACAACTTCAAACTCCCGAATTTCTTTCGGCCTGTTCGAAATACATTTCGAATAGTCTACTGCATTTGGGTCAAAAGGAAATAAACCGGTTACTCGAAATCCAGCCATTATTGTTTCAGGTTTGATGGCTTTATCAAAAGCATTTTTAAATAGAGGTGCAAAGTTGGTTTTTGTGATAGACTTTTGTGAATCCTGTTTTTGCCTCATAACAACATCTTTCCAGGCTACTTTCAAAGCTTTGAACACCGCGACGTCACAGGGTTGGAGTATGTGAGTAGCATTAGGCAGCAAACAAAATAATATAATATTGTTTTTTATGCAAAAGTTGAAAAGATCCATGCTTATGTGCGATTTGTGTCCATCTAACAGTAACAAAACGGGTAGTTTTATATTATTTTCTTCCAACCACGGATAGAAGATATTGGCTACGAATTCGTAAAATGTCGCACTCACCATCCACCCTGAATCCGACCGACCTATTCCCCAATTATCTGGCATAGATGTAACAATATCCCGAGGTATTCTTTTGTATGGATACACCACCATCGGAGGTACACAGACACCTGCCGCCGAGAAAGTGCAAAGGACGGTAATGCACTCTTTCTCTGGTCCACTTGCCAGCTCATAAAAGTTCTTATAATTTTTTGGACCTAACAATTTTCCCGATTTTGGACATGTCTGCAACCCTGTCTCGTCTGCGTTAAAAATTCTTTCAGGGCATGATAGAATATCCTCAGCATTTTCGCTGATTAGATAATCCTTTAGTTCACCGAACCATGTCCGAATGCCTTCTTCTGTAACTGATGCTCGACCTTTTGAAATTATTTCAGTGTTTCGCTTCGTAACATTGGGGTGCCTTTGAAGAAAAAGTTTCATCCATTTTTTTCCTGGCCTATCATCTGTGAAAACATTTGGTCGTTTCACAATTTTCAAAACTCGTTGAACTGAATCTTTAACTTCGTCTGGGTCCATTGGAAAACCTAACATTGCTTTGGATAAAATCCATTTTTCTAGATTGGCCTCCTCTTCCATTGTAAGAATGGTTGTGGGTCCCATTTTTCTCACTGCAGGCACTTTGCCTCTTAATTTATTCGATAAAGTACTTTTCGGAATTCCATATTTTTTACTTGCTTGGGAAATGTTCAATTTTGATTGTCTGATGAACTCTACTGCCTCTTGTAGCTGCGCCTCCGTGTATCGAAATCTCTTGTTTTTTTTGGATTTTCCATATCTATAAAAAGACATCATCATACCAACCCATCTTTCCACGCAAGTAAGTATAATATTATGTAGGACAAAAGGGAATTTGTTAACGATCATTCACTGGGTATTGAAATTTACTTCGGGATCCAATAAATGAACGATTTATAAAAGAGCGTTCAATTACTGGATCGGGGCGTAAATTTAACGTACCACTATTGTAGACTGAAAGAGCATATAAGGATCTTACGATATGAAGAACAAGGATGAATTTCATTTGCATGTTGAAATACCCAGTCAATGAACGATCTGTTCATTTACTGGTTTATCAATGGCACCAATGAATGAACGACTATATTTTCTATTTTGGCGGGAAGTTAGCGTTTTCTAGGTTATGTTTAGTATTAAAAAGGAGTATATAGGTGTCTTATTCAAGTATTTATTCACATTACTGCTGCTATGTGAGCAACATCCTTATTATTGAGAATAGCTACTTACCTAAGACGTTATAGCACTTGCTCCGATATACCACAAGACAAGAAATGTGAATTTTTCTGCCGCCGACACGTTCGTTCACTAGATCTCAGAAGTGTTATTTGTGAAACAAGTTAAGACAAACGTTCAAAATATGATGTCAATTCATCAAAAATAAGGCTAGAGGGGAGTCGAATCTTAAAAAATAGCTAAATTTGGGCTTTTGTTCAATTACTGGTACCGTTCATTTACAGGTGCATTTACCCCATATTTCAGAGTAAAAAAGTCGAGAGAGAAAAAAGTTGGCGATTAAACATTTGTTTTTTGTGGTTTTGGGTTATTATTTCAATAATTAACTATTATAAATTAAAAAAGATCAGAAAACAATACCAAACAACGTATTTATTTTCATTCAAAAATGTTTAAGTAAGAAAAACAAATAACGTTTTACAGTAAGGTGTTTTACAAAAGAATTAGTATACAAAAAACGTACAAACAATTTAAATAATATCCTTGTTTCATAAGGAGTCTAAATTGGTATGATAAGTGCACAAAAACTGTGTGAAACTAAACATAATGTATTGTAATACAACAATAGGGAGTAAATTTACCAATGGCTTGTCTCCTATTTTCACAACTCTCTGATTGATAAGAAAGTGTTTTTGTAAAAATAATGTAACTGTAAGCTATGGGATAGTTATTATTTTAAACTACGCTTAAGTTACACGATTAGATTATTTACACAGTTGTAATTATACTACAGAATAATAAAAACTGACTAAAAGTTACTATAATTGGTAAGTAAAATACAATAATGAAATGAAGGTAAAATCCATTGCAATTGTTGTTCGAACTGACGCCCGCCGTTTCTTATGCAAGCCCGTAGTCTTTTTCTCATGTTGGTACGCGTGTCAGCAGCAGCAATAATTCTTTCAACTGTGCAAGAGTGTCTATGGGCTCAGCGTACACCAGTGACTTCATGTGCCCCCCATAAATAATAGTCATACGGTGTTAAATCTGGGCTCCTCGCTGGCCACGGTGTCGGTCCACCTCGGCCAATCCAGCGACAAGGATATTTATCGTCCAGGCACTGTCTAACACCCAGACCGAAATGCGCGGGACAGCCATCGTGTTGGTAGATCATCTGCATCCTGATATTCAGAGGCAGGTCTTCGAGATACTCCCAGAGTTCGGATCTCAAAAAGTTTTCATAGGATTCGCCATTCAGGTTGTCAGGCAAAAAAACTGGTCCAATTAGATACGTATGAATGATTCCCATACACACGTTTGCCGAAAATCTTCTTTGATAGTCTCTTGGCTTTGCCATGTGGGGTTTTGCTTCTCGTGGGGCCCAATAATGTAAGTTGTGATAATTTGTTGTCCCCTCTCTGTCAAACTTAGGCTCGTCAGTCCACAATATTTTAGTTAAATAGTCGTTTTCTTCTTGATCCCGATGAAGCATGTATCGACAAAAATCAATTCTTCTTGCGGGATCTCCTTCTTCTAATACTTGAACCGGTGTTTAATGGAAAGGGTAAAGTCTCGCCGAATGCAAAACGAACCAAACTTTCCACTGAGTTAAACCAAGCTGCTTTGCTATAACTCGTGTAGACCTCGTCGGGTCTCTGCCGTATCATTCCAGTATTGCCTCTCGATCTTCGTCGTCAAACAACCGAGGTCTACCAGTATCATGACGTCTCTCATGAACCTGTCCACTTTCCTTGACGCGTTGGTACACAGAAGCAAATACTCGATGACTCGGTATTAGCCGATTCGGAAAACGGTTTTCGTATTCTCGCCTGGCTTCAACGGAATTTCCATCACTTAAACCATAACAAAACAGAATATCAGCGTATTCTTCGTTACGGTAACTCGCCATTATTAAAACTGATCAAAAAAGTAAAAGTACGTCCTACCGCGTTAAAAGTTGATATTCTACTAAATAACCTAAGCGTTAGTTCCCTTTCCTTGATCCGTCAGCTGTGTCAATTCATAACAGACGCAGAGCTTGCTTCCGAGGAGCGGCGACAGATTCCGAATACTTAAACCCGAATAACGGCACAGGGCACAAAAAATAACAAGAAGGGTCGAACCATGAAAGGCTGGGTTTACCTGCTCAGTACAATGAAATGCGCTTAGCGGTCCTTTCTAGCAAAGTAATATTGTTTTGTTAAATGGTTTACTTACTGATATGTTATTATACCATTTTAGAAATCTAATGAATCATGGAAGGTTATTTGTACATTTTCTTTATTATGATTTTTTTGAAAAAAAGACTTCTTAATGTGAAAGATGAAAATAAAAATTTTCATTTAACATTTAAATGAAAATAAATATGTTTTCAGTAGTGTTTTCATATGTTTTTTAATTTATGAGAATTATTTATTTAAATAATAACCTGAAAACACCAAAGAAAGAATGTTTAATCACCAACTTTTTTTTATCTCAACTATTTTACTCTGTAATCTGGGTTGTTTTTTTTAAAATTAAATCTTTTATAACTGTTTAACCTTTAAATATAGGGTATGGTATTATATACTAATTTTAATAGCAAATGAGCAAATGTTTTACACCTATTTACCTGTCACCCTGTATAATATATGTCATTGGTCAATAAATTACATGGGATGTTCACAAAATTTGTAATCTCTATATTTTTTCAAATTTGGGACATTCCTTTACACGACGCATAGATCTTGGTCAAATAATCGATATTTTGCTACAAATTCTTAAGATTACCGAGATGTTAGGCTCCGCAAATCAATCAACGGCCGCTTTTGTAAACAAAACCTTCTACGTCGTTCTAAAAAAAAAAAAATGGCACACTCTTACAGCGAACAATATCGGGTTATCCATATTATTTTAATTTACGGTGTCTTTAAAATGCTACCGAGGCTTCTCGAGTACATGCAGATTCTTTTTTAAGTCCTTCCTGATTTCTTTTTGTTGCGATCAAGTTTTGCATCTTTGACGGCATAAGTAAATTGATAGTCAACTTGCGTGCTCGAGAAATTTTGTTACATTTAGTGGCGCCACCTTTACGTGTTCCTCGGGTAAAACCGCGTTCAATAGAATTTTAGCGATATTCAACATGAACATTGGGCCCATTCCACTCATTTAAGGAAAAGTTGGATATACGTGGTACATGTAGCCCTGAAATTGTAACATGATGTATTGTTATGACATAATGAATTTTGGAAGATGAAAAATTGAATTTGTACTGTATATCAATATATACTAAGTGACATATAAATCCGAACACCCAGTTTAAATGGTTTTATTTTAATAAAAGTTAGTGAATGTATTTATCTTACTGTAAATAACAAGTGAAAAAATTTTCAGCCTTATCAGTTTGGACATTCCGGATTTTATACTGCTTTTTTTAATTCACTAACGCTCTAAAAATGAGTATTTTAGCCGCAGTAAAGAATCAACGTTGGCGGATTTTGGTTCTTGACATACTTTACGATCGGTTACGATGCCTAGAGTACGGAGACCTGTACGATTTCGTCAACTTAGTGAGTTTGATAGGGGCCGTATAGTGGGACTTCGGGAAGCTGGACTTTCTTTTCGGGCAATTGCAGTTAGAGTGCAAAGAAGTGTAGACACTGTGGTTAGGTGTTGTCAAGCATGGCTTCGAGAAGGCCGTACACAAAGAGCAAGGGGCACTGGACGCCGCCGTAGAACAACAGACCGTGAAGATCGCCGCCTAAGATTATTGGCCTTAAGGGACCGTTTCTCCACTACCAGGTCCATTGCAATTGAATGGTTTGCAGAACACGGAAGACCTATTGGCATGCGAAGTGTTTACTGACGAATGAGAAGTTTTGGCTTGTTTTCATACCGGCCACACTGGGTCCTCCCTTTAACTCGAGAACACCGACGTAATCGCCTTGAGTGGTGCAGACAACGGTCATTCTGGGATCAGGAATGGAACAGTATTGTCTTTAGTGACGAGTCTCGATTCTGTTTAGGCATGCACGATGGTCGTGCCAGGGTTAGAAGGCGACGTGGTGAAAGGAGGAATCCACAGTTTTTTGTTGAAAGACATGTTCATCACACTGTTGGAGTTATGGTTTGGGGTGCTATAGCTTATGGTTCCATGTCACCTTTAATCTTCATCAGAGGTAACATGAACGCGCAGCGTTATATCCACGAAGTTCTAGAACCCCATCTTTCACCCTATCTTGACACCCTGGCAGTTCCAACTTTCCAACAAGATAATGCCCGACCAGATGTTGCAAGAGTCACAATAGACTTCTTTCAACATAATGATGTCACATTGTTACCATGGCCACCAAGATCTCCCGACTTATCCCCAATTGAGCACGTGTGGGATATGATGGGTAGGAGATTGCTCAATTTGCAACGTCCTCCTCAGACTCTAGAAGCACTTCGAGAGGAGTTGGTGGTTGCCTGGAATGAGATACCACAGGAGGACATTGACCACCTGATCAGAAGCATGCCTAGGCGCGTTGGAGAATGCGTAGCACATCAGGGTGCATCCACACATTATTAAAGGTCAAAGGGCTTTAAAGCAGTGCAATCATTTTGAAATTTTTATCATTTACTTATTATGCTTCATTAAGTACTTATACAAAATTTTATTAAAATAAAACCATTTAAACTGGGTGTTTGGATTTATATGTCACTTAGTATTATTACGTATACACAATTTCCAAATTATCTGCATCTTTAGGCGAGTTTGTGGTAAGAAACTACCGATCCACGACGTGTAGTGGCAACCATTTCAGTATATGGTGTTTTAATAACTTTTATTATTTCAGGTAAAATAAAAGAAAGGTTACATTGAGTACGTATATTTTATATAAAAAACATAAGTATAACAACCGTTTTGCCCTTGCAAATCTAACAATTATTTCAAACTTAAATGCCTTGTTCTAAATACTGAAAAAACTAGTACTCTAGTGTATAAAATCTTTGCAAAAATCAATGTGTGTATAAAAACAAAATTCAGCAAACATCTAAAACATACTTAAGACTATAAACAATCATTTGTTAAAGCTGTCGGTACACTGTCTTTCGTTTTCGACGTGGCGTTGTCGCCTAGCAACTCTGGGCAAGAAATTTTTCCGGTCTGTATCTGCCGTATCCGGTTCAACAGGTCGTAGTTTATGTGCTCCGACACTTTCGAATCAGACCTGGAATGAAAGAGAATCATTTTAATATCCTATGACAAGGGAAACGAGCAGGCATTTTGACAGCTGACAGACTGTCATTTAAGGTAAGATTAGCGAGTCTGTCACAAACAATGAATTCGAATAGGTTAGGAACCAAGTCTAAATGTTTAAAATGCATTGATTTCCGCCAAAATTTAGTGTATACTTTTTGCTCATTTGTCTATTGCCTAACTAAAATATTTCTCGCCAATTCAAAATATGTATTTAACGTCTGTAAATTAAGTGATAAGACTGGCGACGTAGCGTTAGATCTTGCAACACTGGAGGCGCCGGGCTTGGAGGGGAGACATGGGAATTATGTGATCCGCCTTCGGTACAGTTTGAACTAGTTCGAGTGATATGGCTTGTCCGTAGCGATTTTTTATTGTGAAACAGTTTTCTCTATTACGTTCTAAAAATGAGTGACATTAAATCCGAGTAACGGTATGCTATTTGGTTTTGCTTCAGACTTGGTTTTTCGGTGGTCTAAGACATTTTCAGAAAGGAGAGTCGATTGAAGATGAAACAGAAAGTGGAATCTTTAAAAACCGATGGAAATATCGACAGAATCCACAATCTTGTGCATTCAGATCGTCGGTTGACAGTCGGAATGATCGGGGAAGAGTTAAATTTGACTCACACCACCGTTCATCAGATCAAGAACAACTGGGTGTCGCATCACGATAATGCTCCTTGTCACACAGCAATGTCAATAAACAAAATTTTACCCAGTAGAAACATTCTTGTAGCTCATCAGTTTTCTTATTCGCCTGAATTTTTTCTCTACCCGAAGTTGGATCATTTTGGAACAGTCGAAAACATTCAAACGGCTGTAACTGGCAAGCTGAAGGCTACTCCACTACCACAGTTCCAGCACCGCTATGAGGAGTGGAAGAACCTTCTCTCTCTCTTCAAAAGGAAGTTATTTTGAGAGTTGTAGAAAATTTATTTAGCATTAATGCTACAATGTCAATTTTGTATAATGATTCAGTTACATATTTTTCTTCAATCCATTTTCTGTAATTTTACATTCTTTTATATTAAAATTAAAATGACAATATAAAATAGTAGTTATATTTGAATAGAAAAATGAGTCACATTAATTAATTTACAGACCTCGTACCTTACATCTGAAAAGCGTGGACATCATCTATCTACAACCTTTCACCTAAAGCCTAACCTTAAAACTTACTTGTATTCTGGATGTTCCCTAACGAATTTTCTGATCCACGAGGCTGTCGTGAGTATTTCTCCTGAGGCTCGTTTCTGGATGAACTGCAAGTATTGTTGAATCGTGCAATGCGTGTCAGCGTCGACGTCCATACCCGTTAAGTAACTCTTTATTAGGGGGATCAAACCAGGGAACTCTCCTTCCTAAAAAAAAAAAAACAGTGAAGTAACTCGTATCAAGTTATGCAATATTTTCTTTTCATTCTCGAAGCTTACAACAAAGGATGCATATAGGAAGGATGTGTCCGGAAAGGAGGAGAAGGAGGGCTGAGGAAGATGAAGAGAAACATGATTATGAGGATGATGACAAGGATGATAATGATGATGAGGAAGATGATAAGGATGATGAGGAGGAGGAGAATGATGATGAGGTGGATGATGAAGATGATGGTGATGAGGATGATGATGATGATTGTATTGAGTGTTGATGATTATGATGAGGAAGATGATGATGATGACGAGAATGATGACGATGACATGGGTGATGATGAGGATGATGACGATGACGAGAGAATGATGGTAATGACGACGATGATGATGAGAATGATGGTGATGCGAGGATGGGGAGGAGGATGATGAGGGATAAGGATGTGGCTGAAGGATGATGGGGAGGATTATACTTTAACACATAAAAACTTTGTTAATATGCTGATTTATGTATATCCATCTGTCTTACCTTTCCATTAATAATCTCGTTAAGCGTCATTTCTACAAACATATCACAGTTCTTCATATCACAATTTGTTGTACCCGTCTTACAGCATTCATTCGCTTCAGGCGGGCTGACTTGCGTTGTTATGTCTTTTCTGAACCAGAATTTCTCAACCTTCGCCGCGTTCCTTTTTTGCGCCCTTTGCATATTTTCGTCTACCTAAAACATCAAGCCATACTTTAGATACCATTTCTTTTCCGAGATCCCAGTGGTGAGGGTCGAATTTGGAACTCGCGCCTTGATCTTACCTTGCTAATTGGGATCAAGAAGTCAAGCTGGTACGACAAAATAACCCTAGTCATGAGTACTATGAAACACACAATAGCAGCATTTTCGAAATCCGTGATTTGTACTTCACATGGCCTGAATTCGACTCGCCAACCTATGGTAGAATGCGGGGGTGGAGGTTTAAACCTCATCGTTTGCCAATTCGTCGATTGGATATTCTGGAAAATAATTATGTTGATCAAATCATTTTTACTTCCCACGGCGCGGAAGTATTGTAATCGAAATTTTCAAGTATCATGTTTTCTGATCTACCACCCAAGAAAAACAGCTTTATTTGTAAAATTTTAGTAATTACACCCTTGAATGCTGCCCAAAGTTGGATTGTCTTGGGGGATCCTTTGTCAAAAATTGGTAACTACGACCAAATTTAAACCGTTGATGGGCATACCCCTCAATACTACCGGGTTATTAAAAGAGATAGCTATCGTGATATTTCGTGGACCTCTTATTTTTTATAAGTAAGATATAGCATATTAGAGCAGTTATGTTAATTATAAGCAGACATGTAATCTCTTTGCTACCTGAATCATTATTAATTACTTATGTTAATTTTTATATCTTCAAATGTGTAAAGGGGAATTTATTGTCAAGTTTGATACATATGTATATATAAATAAACTCGTTATTTTCATTACAATTATAATTTCGTTTCCAGGCTTTTATCTTGGCTTGGCCTCTAGCTAATTATTAGGTCTGAAATAGGCTAAACTCAACTAGGTATAAAGTTAAAATGCGATTTGAAATTCTGAAAACGGCTATTTTTAATATTAATACATGAATATCAACTAATTGCTTATATATTATGCTACTTTCTCCAAAAATACATTAGTTTGCATATAATTAACAACTTCGTGCCTTATAATTTGAGGTTCTGTTGTTATCAGTGTCTCGTTAACATTTTTAACAAAATTCGTTAATTTCGCTTATTTCTAAGGCTCGTGATTTTGGGTAAGTATTGTGGCCACATTTGACAAAAAAAAATCCTGCACATAGATTTTTCGTTCACTTGTGACCAAAAATCTAATTTCGAAATCATTCTGTTGCAACTGCAAGAGCTTACATGCAATGGTCTTGCGGATTCTAAACCGGTTTTAAGGAATAACATCAGTTTGACCTATGTAATGAAATATCTTTTATACAATTTTATGCATCTGTTTTGAAACAATCATATAAAACAGATCCAAAGAATCTTTTGATCCCAAACAAATATTGTATCCTAAAATTCCTTTAATACGGACCGCACATTTTTATTTCACAGATTAAAGCATTCACACTTTGATTTATTACACCTAGAACATTAATGCTTTGTTTATAGGATTCGATATGGCGGAAAGCTCATTGTGAAAATATTTCGTAATGTTTATGATCCTACACATTTGTATAATTCAGAATGATAATCGGGCTGTTATATAATCATCTACTATAATTTATGACATGATAAGGAGCAACAGATAAAGTTATTCAGTCATTAGCTTAATTAAGCATTTAATTGTTAGAATGAATGTTAAATGCTCCATATGCTAATAACTATCAATTTTACGGAATGTCAAAAGTTTAATTCGGATATAAGTAGATCTTGTTTGAATATTGTGAATATGGATGGTACATATGCGTAAAAAATATCGTCAAGTAGACTGACACTATACTTCCCAACCTCCGATGCGTCTTCTGTAAAGTTTCAAGACCAATAAATAAGGGTGGGTCTATTCAAAAGAGTTAAATCGAATAGAATCTTGACTATAGTTCATTACAGAAACTGTTGACAGCAAGGGAATGACTGTTTGAGTAATATTTTATTATAACACCGTTGGGAACACAAATTAAATCTTTAACTTAATTGAGATTTGCTTATATGCCTATTGAATAAAACACACAAATCCAACATACCTCGCACAAACCGACAACACTGACTCCTACAAAGCACAAATACCATGCTTATAAATACCACGTTGCCAAGTTAATTTAGGTTCTAAAGGCACTCCTAGACCAATTAGAAATCATGTGGTATATAGAAAATAATAGTACACTAAACTTAATGTGATCAAAAGCATAGGTACATTTTAAAATGCAGAGGTCTCCATGATTAGATTCATAACATTCATACATATAAAGTGAAGTTAGTTAGGTGGTACATAAAAGTTTTGGTAAACGACTTTTGTTGGTATAAGTTGATAGGCAAATGTGGGCGAGGATTATGTATAGAAATACCTAACGGTCTACAAGTCTTCCGAAGCAAATAATTTTGATTTGTGCGAGACTTGATAATGAAATAATGTGTGCGTCTATCGATAGTACAGCGTTAAAGCTGCTTTCTGACTTTTGACATATTTTTCAAGCGATATCTATCAAACCAGGCTTTAGCGCTCTACTGTCGTTAGACGCGTACAATAACAGCAAAAATTGTAATTAAAAAAAAACATCATTGATATTATCGTTTTACCGTTTTCTTGTCAGATGCGGGACGGATAACGAAAGGAGAAATATAGTGAAAAATGTTTATGACGCACTCCGAACACGATTTCCATCTACCATCTTCAGAATTATAAGCAAAAAAAAGCGTAATGTGTGTTCGGTGGTAGCAAAAAGCAAAAACGATGTTTTATTTGAGAAGAGAAATACCGACAATAAAAAAACTACAGCATGCTTTGAATACTGACGATAGTCTACCAAAAATAACCCAGCATCTTTTTCTAAGAATTTTACGAGAAAATATCAGATATTTGAAGAGGAATAGCGCATTGATCGAAAGGCATCACATAATAACCTGGCGCAGGGAGTATTTGAAAACAACATTCGCGTAATGGGAAGACAGAAAATTTATTATTTGGATGAGACTTGGTTGAATGAAGGTCAAACAGTTTCTAAATATTGGCAAGATCTAAACGTCATATCTTAGTTAGAAATTTATAAATGGCTAGTGTTAAGAAATATACCATGTGATCTGTCGATGCTCAAAGCAGAGTTGATGCAAATCGCTCGTCAGCACAATGGTAGGTACCCGAAATTAGTGGTAGATGAAACAGCAAAGGAAAAAGGATTTATGGTTTTGAGATTACCTCCGTACCACTGCGAATTCAACCCAATCGAGTTGATATGGGCTCAAATAAAAAGGAGGTAGCGCATAAGATTACTACTTTTAAGATGGAGAATTTTCGTATTCTTTTGAAGAGGCCATTAAGTGTGTAACTCGTGACACGTGGCATAATTGCATGAGGCATTTAGTCAAAGAAGTGGAAAAGTTCTGACAATCGGACCATTCCAGAGAGCGGATATTCGAACCAGTGATAATTAACTTAAATGACGACAATGATAGCGACAGTGACAGTTCCTGTTTGAGTTTCAGTTGTTATTTTTGTGATTTGTATTTTTAAGCTTTGGAGATTAATCATATTTATTTTTCATTTTGTTGAAACTGAAAGGCGGGTGGAGGTAGGGACGGGACACGATATGCAGCACCTCCCCGTGGTGAGTCTTGGGTAGCCCGAATATGTAAAAACACCCTGTATCTTCGAAACGGCTGAGCCGATTTTAACAAACTTGAGCTAGTTGAAAGGGACTATAATATTTGAGGTTTTGATAGTTTCACATGTGGCCGCTAGAGGACTTTTTTTGATATTCCGACAGAAATGGTTAATTTTCTCAAAGAAATTACGTGCATTGAATAATTTTTTCATATGAAAAAGTAGTTAAATGACGTCTAAACAAGCTCGCGAGAACGGCAACTCAATATCTTATTCTTAACCTAAAATTTTGGCCAAAGAAAATTTTATACTGTATTCCCCGAAAATTTTATTTGTTTAAATTCCTCTGCAATTTCTTTTCATTATTAAGTTGTGGCCCTAAAAAGAACCTGTAAATGGTTAATTTTCTCAAAAATAAATAAATAAATACATTGGTATGATTTTTTTTATGAAAAAGTGGCTAAATGATGTCTAAAGGAGCTCGCGAAAATAGCATCTCGATATCTTCTTCTTAACCTAAATTTAGGCCAAAGAAAATTTTATACGGAAAATCATTAAATTTTTATTTCTTTAAACTACTCGTCATTTCTCTGTAATTCTTTTTTATTCATCAGAATAAAATCAGCCCTTTTGAAAATATTATAAAATATCGCTAAAAGGTGGGCTATGAAATACAAAACAGAAATAACCTTCAAATTGTCAATAGTTTCGCGATACTTTGAGCAATACGTTTTATGAACGATGAAGCTGTTGATATGCTTGGAGTTTATTTTGAATGTCTTCAGAATGCCGCATGTAGCAAAAATAGTTTATGCGACTCGATATCCAAATCGGCGTCATTGCGATGTGAGAGTTTTTCGCCGATTAGTGGCGAGCTTACAAGCCAATGGTAGTTTTCGGCCTACGTTTCAGCGGCAAAGAATTGGATGAAAATATTAACCGCGAATTGGGATACATTGAAGGAATGTTACCATCCCTTGAGTTGGGCATATCACGAACAATGGTTCAAAATATTTTGTAATGGCCATCAAAATATATGGAATTATTCAAATTCAACTTATGTTTAATTACTTTTAGAATGCACCTATACCATGTCGTTTTGCATCAGGCCTTGAAAGAGGAATACTTTGATCGGAGGTTGGACTATTGCCACTGAATGTTAGGCATGGTACGCGAAAATAGAGAATTTTAATTTCAAATTCTTTGGACTGATGAAGCCACCTTCAATAGTGACGAGAGAGTCAATCTGCACAATATGCATTATTGGTCTGCAAAAAATCAGCATTGCATGAAGTTTACTACCAAGGCGTTGGAGTTTGAATGTGTGGTGTGGTATACTGGGAGGCAGAATTATTGGGCCATATTTTTTCGAGCAATCCCTAAATGGCAATGTATTTCTTGACATTTCGGACAATCAATTACCGTTGTTGTTGGAAAATGTACCACAGGAAACATGGCAAAACTTGTTTTTGCAGTTGGATGGTTGCCCAGCACATTTTGGTATTATTGTGCGTGAGCATATTAATGCAGTATTTCAACAGCGGTGGATTGAAGGAAGTCTGTTTCATGGCCTTCGCGATCACCAGACTTATCTTGATTTTTATTTATAAGGACAGTTAAAGGACATAGAGTGTTTCAGACTCGACCTACATCCTCAGATGATATGAAAAACCGGATTCGTAATGCAATACGTAACATATCGAGAGCCGAAATTGAAGCTGCAGTTTTGCTTACCCATGAGAAGCTTCAGGAATGCAGAGACCGCGATGGTCAGCATTTCGACCATTTACAGGGGCATTAAAAACCTCACTTTTCTAAATCTGTCCTTTTTAGGGTCACAACTTAATAATAAAAAGAAATTGCAGAAAAATTTGAACAAATTAGATTTTCAGGGAATTCAGTATAAAATTTTCTGTGGCCTAAATTTTAGGTTAAGAACAAGACATCATTTAGCTATTTTTTCATAAAAAACATTCAATGCATTTAATTTACTTGAGGAAATTAACCATTTCTGTCGGAATATCGAAAAAACCCTCTAGCAGCTACATGTGAAACTAACAAAACTTTAAATATGATAAAATTTGTAGCCCAAGAATAGCTATTTTCACTAGCCCAACTTTGCTAAAAGCGGCTGAGCCGTTTCGAAGATACAGGGTGTTTTTACGGAAACCACCGCATACAGCAAAAATTTTCCAACAAAAAAGGTTCAGATTATCTTTGAATTTAGAGATTAGGTATTTTTTACTTAAACTTTTCTCTTGGCGGTTTTAGTAATAACTGTTTTTGCCGCATGCCTCTACGATGGATAGGTTCCCAGATACAGTACCTCGCATCCTCAGTTGGCCATCATGTACATGAGACACCCAAAAAACATCTCATTTTCGAAATTCTTCGCGATTGCAATACAATGGTAAAATAGTTAATACTAAAATGAGATCTTGAAAAAAGTTTCTTACCTCAAAACTTTCAGTATCTTCTTCATCGTTCAAATATATTTTTTCCGAAAATAGCGATACAGAATCTCTTATAAAGAGATGGGCAACATGCTGCGCTAACAGAGGATCTATGCCATTATCAACTAGCCTTTTATAGTCTGCCTTATCGTATACTACAGGGATGTCGTTATATTTTTCACCTGAAAAATAATAAATATTTTTCTGACCCAGATGCAACACTGCGCAAGAGTTAGGCGGTAACACGAGCGATGCGAATATTCTCCATCTTAGTGAAAATTGAGGAGCAACTGGCAACGTCGCACTTGCTATACCGTGCTTCCTCCAATTTTCCCTAGTTTGGGAGAAAACGCGAGGCATTGCAAAAGTCTTACTGAACTTACCTTGTGGGGAAATATAACAATCGATTGAATCGTATCTCGACTTTTTGATGACGAACTTGTTATTTTTCAGAGGTTTTAAACCTCTTTCTTCTTCCGTCCGACAGTCTACGGATGCAGAAATGATGTTCCATCTACAGTCAACGTCTGTTACAAAGCCTCTGTGTAGTGGAGATGCTGCTGTAAATGCTAACTGAAACACATCACATTAAGAAAATATCCTTCATTGGAACCGTAAACGGCAAAACTGGTTGGGTGAGTGAACAAACAATGTTGCCATTTATACTCCTTACCATGAATTGTGTCATTGATTAACATATTATAATAGAAGGTGCCCAACTTAGTTAGGAGACCTGCCCGAGCAAAAGGGGACTTACTCGTAATTAGCGTAGCGCCAACAATGCCTTACGCTTACAACTATACAGGATGTTTTAGAAGTTTAAATTTAAAATCAAAATTCCATTAATTAATAAAATTGCGAACAACAATTACAAGTAATCTATTGCAACAATTAGGCAATAAGTAGGCGTCAGTATAGAAAAACCTGTGAGAGTAAATAAAAAATATAAATGTACTAAATATACCTACACGCAGCTTAAGAGAGCTTAGGTAAGTATTGAAAAATACAAACACAAATGAAGCGCTTTTCTCTAAATAAAATAATACAATGACAAGACACTGACTGTGAAACAGGTTAAAATCTGCGATCTAAAAATTGCTGCACTGTATAAGGTTCCAATTCTATGAGGATGTTCCTTATGATATTCTTAAAAATATTAATATTATGTTCCACCCTTATAAGATGCGGTATTTTGTTAAAAGTTGTAACAACTACGTTTAAAATAATGAAGTAAATGCGAGGTAAAACAGCAGCGAAAACGTAAAGAAGAAGTTGAAGCGAATTACTCATCATTCATTTGATGATAAATTTCAAGTACCGCCTTGTCACATGTTGCTCGTAAATACTGTTTGAAATTGTCGTCCTTAGATTCACAATCATAAGTTTGTTAACTAAGAAGTCGTTCGTGAACGAGAAGTTCAAAACGAGATATGAGCATTGCCACCTTTCAAACTGTTTCCTCTTAAAAATAATTAAGGGGGTGTTGATTTTTCCGTGGAATGTTGATATATTTAAGAACGAATAATTATCTTCTAAAGGAAAAATGGAGTCCGTTTATTACTTGTTCTTACTTGGCAACATGGGTGTGACGTTGGAAAATGCAGCATAGGGTTGGACATCTTGGAAATTTGTTAATCAATGATTGCATATAGTTCGCGGTAACACGGAGTACTAACCATGATAGGACACAGTGGTGTAAGCTGATCGTAAAGAGTTCTAGCTTCAGATATATTGCAGGCTTGGAAAGTTAGTTGTAGACAGCAACATCCCATGCCAAAGCCCATAGCGTCCATGTAAACGTGGTCAGGCATAGATGGATTACTGTATCTGTCCACGGGAATTTCTGTATATTTGTCTTTGTACACTGAAAAAAGTAGACATGGTCCGTCAGCCACTGGTCTCACCCAAAGTAACCCACCACATATGTGGCCGACTTTAGGCTCACCATACAACGAACGACTTATAAATGATGAATAGAATCGAATTTTTGAGAATTGTTGTCTGTTTACAATAAAAATTGAACGAAAGCACTGAGGCATTGAACAATGATGGTTACAAACATTTCGCATAGGATGTATCTAAAGTTGCTTACTGTTTCATGAGAATATCTTATCAAGAATATTTTTACTAATCATCAAAATTGATCTGGGTGGCCAGCTTTAGGTTGCTATCAATTTACAAATTAACAAGAGAGTAGAATTTTTTTTGGAAATCTTTACAGGTTAGAATAAAAGTTGGTTGAAAACGTTAAATTCATTGAATCATTTCAATTCCGTCACGAATACTTTTACTAATCATCAAATAGTGATATATGTGTGGCCGGCTTTAGATTGACCTCATCACTATTGATTTACAAATGAAGAATAGAATCGAAATTTTGATAAATTGATTACAATAAAAAACTGAATGAAAGCAATGAAGTGATTGAAAAGTTTCAATTTCCTTATGATTTAAAAATTCCATTCGCATAGAATCTGTCTTAAGTAGCTTATTGTTTCACGGGAATATTTTATCATACATTATATCTCAACGATAAGCGACCATGCTTAACTTAATGAATCACATATACGTGTAAAACCAGTTTTCCTATTAACTCAATTGCTGGTATTGCAAATAATATATAATCATCATCAACGGCGGATTCATATTAACGTGCAATTTAAGTTGACACATTATATTACATAATATTCTCAAATAGTTTGCGGAATTAAGGTTGGGCTACCATGATCATTGCAGTTTGATTGTTACGAGTTTAAAAATTTTGGCCTGAATGCGCTCATTGACTTCAAGTTGCTAATAAATGTAATAGAATATATACTAAGTGACATATAAATCCTAACACCCAGTTTAAATGGTTTTATTTCAATAAAATTTTGTATAAGTACTTAATGAAGCATAATAAGTAAATGATAAAAATTTCAAAATGATTGCACTGCTTTAAAGCTCTAATAATGTGTGGATGCACCCTGATGTGCTACGCATTCTTCAACGCGCCTAGGCATGCTTCTGATCAGGTCGTCAATGTCCTCCTGTGGCATCTCATTCCAGGCAACCACCAACTCCTCTCGAAGTGCTTCTAGAGTCTGAGGAGGACGTTGCAAATTGAGCAATCTCCTACCCATCATATCCCACACGTGCTCAATTGGGGATAAGTCGGGAGATCTTGGTGGCCATGGTAACAATGTGACATCATTATGTTGAAAGAAGTCTATTGTGACTCTTGCAACATGTGGTCGGGCATTTACTTGTTGGAAAGTTGGATCTGCCAGGGTGTCAAGATAGGGTAAAAGATGGGGTTCTAGAACTTCGTGGATATAACGCTGCGCGTTCATGTTACCTCTGATGAAGATTAAAGGTGACCTGGAACCATAAGCTATAGCACCCCAAACCATAACTCCAACAGTGTGATGAACATGTCTTTCAACAAAAAACTGTGGATTCCTCCTTTCACCACGTCGCCTTCTAACCCTGGCACGACCATCGTGCATGCCTAAACAAAATCGAGACTCGTCACTAAAGACAATACTGTTCCATTCCTGATCCCAGAGTGACCGTAGTCTGCACCACTCGACGCGATTACGTCGGTGTTCTCGAGTTAAAGGGAGGACCCAGTATGGCCGGTATGAAAACAAGCCAAAACTTCTCATTCGTCGGTAAACACTTCGCATGCCAATAGGTCTTCCGTGTTCTGCAAACCGTTCATTTGCAATGGACCTGGTAGTGGAGAAACGGTCCCTTAAGGCCAATAATCTTAGGCGGCGATCTTTACGGTCTGTTGTTCTACGGCGGCGTCCAGTGCCCCTTACTCTTTGTGTACAGCCTTCTCGAAGCCATGCCTGACAACACCTAACCACAGTGTCTACACTTCTTTGCACTCTAACTGCAATTGCCCGAAAAGAAAGTCCAGCTTCCCGAAGTCCCACTATACGGCCCCTATCAAACTCACTAAGTTGACGAAATCGTACAGGTCTCCGTACACTAGGCATCGTAACCGGATGTCAAGAACCAAAATCCGCCAACGTTGATTCTTTACTGCGGCTGAAATATTCATTTTTAGAGCGTTAGTGAATTAAAAAAAAGCAGTATAAAAACCGGAATGTCCAACTGATAAGGCTGAAAATTTTTTCACTTGTTATTTACAGTAAGATAAATACATTCACCAACTTTTATTAAAATAAAACCATTTAAACTGGGTGTTCGGAATTATATGTCACTTAGAATATTATGACAGAACTCATAAAAAATGCAAGTCAAGTCGAATGACTCTAATGGTAGAGAGGTACTTCAAAAGCATAAAAAATAAAAACAACCAGCTGTATCTGGTTTTCTTTATTACCAAACAAAAGAAGTATCCATGACTCTATTATTTTTTATAGCCCAAATATTTTGGAGAACATTGATTTCAAAGATGTGTTTGAGAGAGAGGTATACTGTGTTCAATAAAGAAACAAAAATAATCACCAGGTATGTTGATGGATACTTTTTCCCCTCTTCTTTGCCTGATGTTTCTGGATAAGGTTATGAACCTGGGATGTCCAGGAAAAACTGCTTCATCAGGGAAAAATAATGATTTTGTGCCACCCTTGTCCGGAGTAGGTTTTGTGGGAGGATGTGTAAAGTTCACGCAACCAAGCCTGAAAAAAGAAAAGATAACAGTTTTGATTCCTAGAAAGCTTACCACTGATCAACATATTCCACCAGGAGATAGATAATTCAACTGGAACTTGAGCCGCCTATGTGAAAACGGACATATTAACTTCAGGCCACATCTCGGACTGTTGCCGTTGGTTATGGGGTTTCCTTTTCCGTAATTATAAGACATTTTGAGGATATGAATAGTTATGAGGAACGCTAAGAGGTAATTTTTTCTTGAAGGTTGAAGTAATGTTCATACTTGGCAGTATGGCTGTAACGATGGAAATGACTGCGATGTGCAATCTTGCGGACGTTAGACGGTTGTGAGGCCTGTGAAGTTAGCCCAAAAAATATTGGGCCGTTAAAAAACGACGGGCCATATATGATTTTCCATCGTTTTTCTATCAATTTTTTCTACCACTAGCTTTTAAAAAAATGTAAGAAGAATTCTGGGCTAAGTTCACGCAGCCCAAATTTTCCAGAACAGCTATCATTTTCGACCAACAATATTCGTTTTTCCACCTTTAGGTTACGAAAAAATAACCCAGGTCATGAAAAGTTAGCCCAGCACACATAGATTTTCCATCGTTTTACCATGTTTTTCCATCCAAATTCGAATAACAAAAAAATGAGAAATGATTTTTCGGGACAATTTGAGGTTATCCTAGAAATTTCCGACGGGACCCTGCACGAATTCGTTTCGTCACAGCCTAAGACTTTTTTATTATCCTACTATCTACTCTTTGTCACCACAAAACAATTTTATCCTCCTGACAAATATAGAAAATTGATAACAAGAAGTTAGTTTCACACTTAGATAGTTTGCGTTTACTCATATGTACTTTTGTATACCTATCCAGGCTACGTGAAAATAATCAAAAATCGTTTTTCCATCCTACCATGTCGGGTTTCCATCAGAAATTTTATTTTTCCACTTTTGGTTAATGAGAAAAATTGAAAATAAAATAAGATCAAACGTAGGTAACATCAATTAACTTAAACTTGGCATGATCATCGTGCATGCCTAAACAAAATCGAGACTCGCCACTAAAGACAATACTGTTCCATTCCTGATCCCAGAGTGACCGTTGTCCGCACCACTCAAGGCGATTACGTCGGTGTTCTCGAGTTAAAGGGAGGACCCAGTGTGGCCGGTATGAAAACAAGCCAAAACTTCTCATTCGTCGGTAAACACTTCGCATGCCATTAGGTCTTCCGTGTTCTGCAAACCATTCATTTGCAATGGACCTGGTAGTGGAGAAACGGTCCCTTAAGGCCAATAATCTTAGGCGGCGATCTTCACGGTCTGTTGTTCTACGGTGGCGTCCAGTGCCCCTTGCTCTTTGCGTACGGCCTTCTCGAAGCCATGCCTGACAACACCTAACCACATTTATATGTCACTTAGTATATGTGTAATGATCATTTTGATATAATGAAAATCTAGGCTACGTGAACTTGGTCCAGAATCTTGATTTCCAATTGTTTTGAGCCAATGGTGGGAGAATGAAAAGTGTGGTGGCAAAAGTGGTAAAATGATGGAAAATCCTATGGCACATCCGTTTTTTAACAGCCGTGCATTTTCTGGGCTACGGTTGTGTGGTGGAGGTTTGACTGTCAAGCGTAGATGGTAAAAAAGCCAGATTTGATAGAAAGGTAGCCTATTTTTCTCGACTTCATCACGTTTCGACGTGTATTGAGGTGAACAGTAGATCAGCAATTGACATCTTAGACCTTAGAGATAACCTCCAACATCACCAGTGCCATATGTAACTTCTAACTTAGCATATCAAAGCATTGGGCAACACTGAGAATATGTGAATCAATGCAAAAATGTAAAATGAAAAAAGTTCCACTCTCGATGAAAAATCAAATTTTGAGAAGGATGTAGATGTCTCAATGATTTAGGAAATTGAATGAATGACACACTTTTCCAGCGAGCCATCCCTCAAGTATCTATAAACTATCCTTTCCAATGTCTTGAGCACAAAAATGAAAGAGTAATCGGTTTAATAGGGATATACTGCGAACACAAACAATTATCGATTCTCAATTAAATTTTATCAATCTGTCAGAAAATTACGTCTTTAGTGCAGTGATTTGCTATTTCCCACATCATTTAATTATACAGTTCAACAACCTTCAACCTTTGAGGCTGACACTGTTAAAAGCACTTATTTATTATCAATATGGAATATTTATAGTACTACAGTGATAAAATGCAACAAGAAAATTGAGTGCGATAACATATTTTGAGAAAGGTGGCTGCATTTCCACTGGATTAGTATTCATTTTTGGTCTCAAAAACTATAATACTAGTATTGTGCAGGTCAAGAGAGGTCAAGGATTTATTCATATAACCATGAAAATTATCTGAAATTTTACTAGAATGCTTTCAAATGCAAATCGATAAAATTTACAGTACTAAACATCACTACCAATATAAAACATTAGATTGCCACTTCCTCGCCAATTGGCCATGAAATATTAAAATCTCGTCAAAACGGGATCATTTTTGGACGTTACATGATATGTACCTGTATGTTGTTTGCTAATACTTGACTCCTTTATATATACCCTATGATTAAAAAGTACCGGGAATTTTTAATTTCAGCCATCTGCACATGACAGAACCGGTGATATTTATTTTTTTAGGCTGGTACGACCTGAACTGACCTAATACGTATCAATATTATAGCGCCAGTGCCTTATTAGTATCTGTCTGGCGTCTGTTTACGTCAGTCAACTTTTTAGCTTCTGTCGCATTTTGAATGATGGATCGTTTTGTTGAGCGAAGAGTTTATCTGAAATTTTGTGTTGCTAACACTGATGGAACGATGTTGCAAACAGCCTTTGGGGACTCTGCGATGTCGAAAACTCGGGCATAATAATGGTATAAAGACTGGTCGTACAATGGTAGGGGATTTGCCTCGTTCCGCCACCCATCCACGTTAAACAACGACGAGAACGTCAAAAAACTGAAGGTAGTGGTGCTCGGAATCGTCATACCAGCTTAAGAGAGATTGCTACTGCCCGTTTTGAAGCGTTTCAGCGACGCCGTCATAAACGGCCGGAATTGTGGGCCGATAATTCGTGGATTTTGCACGATGATAACGCGCCGTCTTATCGGGCCAGAATTGTGCTTGTTTATTTAACCAAACATCAAGTAAATACCATTGAACAAGCGGATCCACCTGATATGGCTCCGTGCGACTATTTTCTCTTCCCAAAACTCAAATTACCATTTCGGGGTAGGAGATTTCAGTCCATAGATGACATGAAGCAGAATGCGACGAGAGAGCCATACCTTTGACGACTCACTATCGGTGCTTAGACGAGTTTGTGAAACGCTGGCACATGTGTGTTGATTCAAATGGAGGCGATAAAATAAATTTGACTGAAAGTTAAACCGCTTTCGTTTTATTCTTAAATTCCCGGTACTTTTTTATCACAGGGTATGTTGGAAAGTACCGCTAACATAATGTAACTAAAATATCAAGGAAGCAAAAGCGGTGTGGGTTTTGAAAATTTAATACAACGACCGGGCAACAAACGAAACAAAAAATCGTTCGTTTTTCGATGTTTCCGAGATCCTTGCACAACTTTTTGGAAAATTTTAAGGGCAGAAAATTGAGACTTGGTGGTGGTGGAGAGAGGGAGAGAGTATATTTTATTTTGTTTTGCCTTAGTAAATACATATATATATATATATATATACTTACAACCCCGCAGGGTTTTTATGTAAAAAGCCTACATAATGACGGAAAAATCCCTCAAAATTAATCCCTGTACCAAGTCACAAAGCCTAGGAGTTTCCTCTTAAACTAAATACTTCTGTTTTTCTTTTCTCTTTTTCCCTTTCTCTTTTTCCATGACATTGTCTAATTTCTGGGCAACCAGAACTGACAGTGACTAATGGGCAAAGGTTCTACGGACCGCCCAGACAAACAAATGACGAATAGTACCAATAGTAGTCGAAAAAATCGGCAAAATGTCAACTTGTCACTAGGTAGGCGCTAGTGTGCCACTAGTTCATTCCGCCTCTATTACAAAGGTGACATTGTATAAGAAAAACTACATAATGTCAAACCTGTCATGGAAAATCAAAATAATATCACAAGTTACGTAATACGTGTGCCGGTAATTCCGCACACCTATTAGACATATTTCACATATAAATTTCCCCTTGAGTTAACTATCTGCAATATCCTCGTCGAGCGCAACAAAACTGGAAGTTAAACCTGTCGTGCTGGCAAGTTGCACTCATAGCAACCTGATTGCAATGTTGTCAGTTGGTCAGTAGGCCAGAGGAGAAATTTCTAGATCACAATATTGTCAAGTAGGCGAGGATTGGGGGCTAATTGTTTGGGCCTATTTTTCTGACTTGATCCATTCAACTCCTTTAATATACATGTTCGTAGTAAACTCTTTTTAAGAAAGGCTACCTAGTGCCTTTTATAAGCTGATGAAAGCATTGTATGGGAAATGCATAGTCAACCTACGTGACGTCATTATTCTATTATTTTTTTGTGCTTGTAATACTTATATAATTATGGGATACCTTAACGAAAGTCTGATAACATACCATTTTAGATAACTAATTGCTTTTCCACAGAAAAGGAGATATTCATTTGTCTAATATGTTAATGAGGTTAAATAACAAAAAAAAAATGGCATCAAGTAGATTGACTACAGTTCCCACACCTTCAATACAACTTCTGGTACAATTTTCAGTGCAAATACATTAAAAAGACTTAGGTTTTGTCAGGAAAAGTAATGCACTACCCGCGAGCCTCATTTCTTTGGAGCTCTGGTGTAAATTGCTCGTCAACGATGTTTGATATCTGATTATAATAGCTCTTGATAAATTAATATCTATATACTATTCTATATAATATTACGACATGAAATCAAATGTCATTAAATTACACTCCACGAATAACGCTGATATAATGAGATAATATCGCAACCACTTTGTATATCGGCGCGCTGCTTGCCTGCTCGGATCTAACACCAAAGTTGCAGTATTTATAAATATACCTCCTTAAAACCCCCCACCATTTTTAACCTCTGAAAATTTTTCAAAAATGATCAGGATCCTCTGAAACGTCGAAAAATGAAGTTTGAGCGATATTAATATTTTTGTTTTTTTGCCTGGAGGGCCGCCGTCACTGAACTGGTTCTCAAAAACTATACAGCCTTTTAGTCCCTGACACTGTGGTAACCTTGTGTGAAAATTTCATTAAAATCTGAGCAGCACTTTCCAAGATAAAGGCGGTCCATGGATTAGCGGACAGACCGACGGAAATAAGTGTCATGGTTTTTCGTGATGAAGATAATATAACATGCAAAAAACGCATCTCATCTTCGAAATTTTTTGCGATTACAATTCTTGCCTCGCCAATGTGGCATGGGGAGTAAAAATCATATTAGGAAACCGAATGTTTATTCAGCCTATCAAAATTTTAATATGACTTGCTAGTATTTTGTCAGCCTATAATATAAAATACCACAAAAAATATTCTAATCAATACTGTACATAAATAGATACCTGACTATACATTAATAGCTGTGTACACATTAAAATCAATAACTCATTTCATTCAAGTGATTATTGTTAGGCTTTTGTTGACAGTGAATATCTATGAATTTTATAGAGCTTATTAAGTATTAATGCAATATCTAATGTTCCTTCATATAGCCTAATGCGTTATTCCCTAATGCATTAAATATTTAAACTATCTATGCTGAGCATGTAGTCAGGGGCATATTTACCCAAGCGCCAAAAGGTCCACGGCTTGGGGCAAAAGGGATCAAGCAAGGGGAGGGGATCATGGGGCAATCGGGATCAATCAGCCAAACTTAACCCAATCAGTTTAGTTTACCGTTATGAGACTTTCATTGGTTGATGCATCTATCTTGACTGAACCTGACAATTACAAATTATTTCAAAACTAATTGCTGGTATATATCTGATGTATAAAATGGATGTTATGATTTTGAGAAGTGTCTATGATCATAGACAGCTACCCAAATCCGTAACTATGGCTGAGTGACCTCCCTAACTCAAAGGCTGGATGTTTCTTGGACTCAAGCCACCTTATTCGAACGTTTTCGCTTTTTTCCATTCCTTTTGCGATGTATGACAGTCGTTTTCTCGGTTGACTGTGGGGCATAATAGTCCTCTTTATATGAGGGTGACCTGTTTCGACAAATATATAAACATTCATGGAGATAGTGATGGTCTCACTGCATTTAGAAACAAATTGTACAATTACTTAGTGACTGAAGCTTATTACTCTCTAGATGAATTTTTATTAGGTCTTAGAATTTTATAATAATGTTCATAAACTCAATGACATTTTCTCATATACTTTAATGTATCTTTAATCAACCAATTTTGTGTTTTATATATACACATATATATATTTTAATGTGTTAGTTTTTAACTTGAATATTCATTTTCAATATTGATACTTAAGTTTATCTTTTTTTGTGTAACATGCATAGGCATGGGACAAGTCCAATGAATTATTACATTCTTTGTATAGTTTCAAAGATGAATTACTATTATGGGGCAACAAACTTTAAGAGGTAAAGGGTGCTGAATCTTAAAGTATGCTCGTGTCGTAGTTCATCCATACAGGTAGTACCCAATTAGTAAAATTCTAATAAAAAATATTTAGATATGATGTCAAGTCAAGTCTAGATAAAAAACTAATAAAGGAATGAAAAACTTAAGTTTGGAACCCATACTATCTCATCTTGAGAGTCTCCAGAAAGTTTCTGAAATATCTATTATCATTCAAAATATAATGTAACATATCTACCTTGAACAAAGAGTTTTATTGAATCATTTTGAAATGGAAAGCTTGAAATCTAGGTGTAAATTTTTATTGTTATTTTTGTATAAGCTATTTTACAACAGAATTGATAACTGAGTTATAAAGTAATATGAAATTCAAAGTTCCTACCTGTTACCGATAAATGTAATATATCGATGCATTTTTGCCAAAGTAACGTAAGTGACATTTTTGGTAAGAATCATGTTTTTCCATTAACATAAGGCTTTTATTGTTGAGAAGGTACTGCCAAGGTGTAGGAAGCCTAGATTTTACTTTAAACCTTTGTTTTTAACTTTTTTTGAAAACGTATGTCCAGAATTTTTTAAATCATATCCGTAAAAGAAACGTAACTTCAACACTATTTCCATCATAGTAATGCAAGCTACCGCCATAATAACGTAAGTGCCTGTCGGTTTCTGCGACTTACGTCAGATTTTCGCAGTCAGTGGTTGAAGTTAAAAAAACGTTTTTTTATAGTTAGAATTTAAAAATATTAAAATCTTAACTAACATTATGTACCTACCTATAAAACTCCCATTTCATATTTAATTTCGTTTATTTTTTAGAAGTTATTCTGTCATAACCTCGACGCCTGTGAGAAATTTACAGGAATGAATCGGTTGAAGTTAGAGAAAGACTGTTGTATTTGTTTCTATTCTAATTTTTATAGAAGCTATGAAACATTGTAAACATAAATGCTCAGTTAGTTTCAGATTATGTCTATGGTCAGTTCATGAGCAAAAAGGATTTTGGCGGCTCTTAGCCAAAATGATGAATCGAATAATGTTCATTTTGAAGAAGAAATCGGGTCTATGCCGTTATCCATTATTTCAAGTGACAATATTTTTGATCTAGATAATTCCGAAAATATTTTAAAAACTACTTTAGTAAATGAAGACGTAATCGAAATAGATCAATCAATTTTATTGTCTTCTAACAATTCGAGTCCTTATGAAAATGATGGTAACCATACTATGCAAGAAGAAATAAATGTATCAATAAGTTCAATAAGTACTGATAGCTCAAATGGGAGAGTGGGTGTTCACTTTGAACAGGAATGCAATGTACAAGAATATTTTCTGCCGTTAGTTAATTACATGTCATACCTGCCAGGTTTCACGATGAATTCTTTAAATTAAAATGGAAGTCTCTTCCAGATGGGTTAGCAGAAACTGATGCAATGAAGATGAAAGCTCCAAAACATATTTTTTACTAGTAAGAATTTCATATTTTCTTTTGTAACGTTATTATGTGTTTTTTTTAATAATAAACGATAGTTTTTAATTCTTTCCAAAATACTGTGTAATTACGTTACATTTTTGATCAAGACTTAGAGATTTCTGAACCCATAAAGTAACGTAAGTATCAATTAACCACTAAAACTATAGAAAAACTTCAAAAATCACTTTTCTTAAATATAGACCTCAGAGAAACACCCTGGCAAATTTTGCACAATTTAAAAAAGTTTAACCAGGTTAAATTAAAAACACGTTCTTTCTCCGAAATCGTTTTTAGTGAATTACGTTCCTTTGGCAAATACGTATCGATATAGTTTACAATTTTTTGTATTTTGTTTATTCCTCAGTAGGGTGATTTTATCTGTTAAGGGTTACAATTCTTCTGAAATAACTGGTGGACTTTCATTTTTTGAATTAAGACTTATGTGTACAATGATTCTATTGAAATCACATAGCTTTTTACATAGGGTTCAATACACATTTTTGAAATACCAGATTTCTACTTTTTTCTATGAAATTAGTTAAAAAGAAACAAACATTCTCAATCATGTAATAATAAAACAATCATTGCACCACAAATTTGATTTTCGAAACTTAATGTTAATAAGAGTCAAAGAAAAAAATGTACGAACCTTGGAAAGCTGGTAATACTCATGACAGCCTCATCAGGCTGCAGTATCTCTGAAATTTCTTCCCTTCTGTGCCTCATATTAGCCTCAACAACATTGAAATGCGCCAAGAGACCCCCGTAGGGCTTTCCTGGTGTACCTTCAATCATGTAAGCACCATACTCTGGTCTCCAAAGACTCTTAACACCTTCAGGGTTCAGATGCTCTCTTTCATTCAGGATATCAAGCAGTTCTTTTGCTCGAAGACATACCTTGGCTTCTCGTTTGTCATCGATGAATTTGACTATGATGTATTCGACTTCATCACCCCATTTGAGCACATCTCCCTGCCTGTCTCGTAGTCTCTTGTATATGTTTATGAACTGAGTTATGCCATGTTCCCGCACGTGCTGTGTGTACTTTTTTGTTTCTTCCCATGAAAGGGGGGTGCCTTCACTCAACAAACCCATTGTTTTTCGCGGCAGACAAGTAAACAACGTCCTACCTAGACACAGCACTCCTCACTACTACTTTATTCAAAATTATGCAGCGCGGTATTAATGTTTAGTCACGGTTATTGCGCAAATTATGCTGATATTGCACAATAATATAGGTGTTATCACTTAAATAATCCCATGTTTAATGATTGTTGGATAGCGTACTGTAGTTCTTTATAGTCGGAATAATTTGATTCATTCAAGGTTACTTGCTGACATTAGGCGTGTATATTTGATGAAAAAGTGTGGGTTTTTCTTTCAAAATCTAGAACGAGGACGAATCATCGAAAAATAAAAAGTATCCTCTTAAAGCGACTGTCTACGGTTTTTAAACATGTTAACTTTTGACTCAAGGGTACTTTTTGCCTTTTCTGTTTTAGGTGATGATAAATTTGGTTTTAAAAAAATTCAAATATTAACACATCCTAAAGACAGATCTTTATTTATAATGGATGACGTCTGTCAACTAACATGTAATGCGGAGGCTGATTCGATAGAATCAACTAGGAAAAGAGGTGTGGAATTAGAAAAGAGGCGAGGTTTAAGAGTTAGACCCCGCCTTTTTGACTTAAAGAAGGCGTGGCTACAAGTATTATGACAACGTCTTTTTTTCTAGTTGATATCCAGTGAATTCGTGTCCTAGAAAGCCTAGGCCTGACTTATTCTCAGGGGCGTAGCTATCCTAGGGCAAACCGGGGCAGTGCCCCGGGGCCCCGGCCATGCGCCTCAAAAAAAAATGTTTTTAAGCGCCGATCAGCAATAAATTCATTAAGTGCTAATATAACCTAGGTATACTAGAAAGAAAAATAAATAATAAATATAATGATAAATAATGTTTATTTTTTAAAACGCTACATATTTGAGGGAAACGCTTGCGTTCCTAAATGTATGTAGCTTTAATCCGTCGGACCGCGACGGGCTTGGCACCACGGCCTTAATATTACGTCTCGTCTTTGGGGATTCCGCGATCTACTGTTTTGATGATTTTAACTACCCAGCGTGCCCTATGTGATATTGATATGTATCGCAGTCGTGCCGTGGTGCCCGGCGTGGTGTAAAATAACATTACTATATTTGTATTGTGACTATTATGTCTCGTTATAATAAGGTACCTATTAGAAAAAAAGGTAAGTGTAAGTTATATTACTTAATGAATAAATGGCTCGATTTTGATTTGTGCGTAATTTTGTTTGTAAATGTACATTTGTCCATTACCTTGCTGAGTAAAGGCGCCCGCAGAATTTCTGTAACGTAAGACTTAAGAGTTTAGTTTCATTTAAGACAGATTAAGACTTAACCGCAAGGAATTATACAGAATTCTCATCAGGTGATTTATAAAGTATAGTCAAGACTTAAGCCTTAAGGCATGAGAAATTACGTTACAGCTTAAGGCTTAAGTCTGGGCTTAAGTCTTATGTTACGGAAACTCTGCGGGCACCTTAAACCCGACACTAAAATCGAAAAGCTTCTTAAAAACTAAAAATGATCTATTGACTGTTTCAAAAATATCGACTAATTTTTTCCTCTTAAGTATATAGTATATCGAACAAATTGTTAGAAATTACGAAAAAAAATCCTGTAAAAGTTACAGCTCTTTAACATTTCTTCATTAACAGGGGAAAAAATTGTTTTCAACTTTTGAATTTTTTTCTCATTACTAAATTACCATACGGATGAGTTCAGAGTTTACTCTTGTAGGGAATTGAATGCTTTACAAAAAAGGTCTCTTACAATTTTCCGATAAACCTACTCGTTCAAAAGTTTTTCGAGGGAAATTGAAATTTGCGATGCGGCACCACTTAATATTAATATTAAGAGCTGTTACTTTTACAGGTTTTTTTTTCGTCATTTCTAACAATATTTTCGACGTACTTGAGAGAAAAAATAGACGATTTTTTTGAAACAGTCTAATTGATACACAACTATCGAACTATTTAATGCATTTAAAAATGGATGTGTATTCTTCTCTTTGCAGAATTAGCAGATTGCGGAACAAAACGCTAAAAAAATAAAAATGGGAGATAAACGGAAATATCAGTCTGGACGACAGAAACGAAAATTGAAATCAGAAAAAGAGGAAAAATTAAAAAAGCATGCTGAAAAAGAACAAGTAACTATGCAAAATATATATTCCTTTTTTGGTTTAAGTATTGATAGATGGGATCTTTTAGCTTCTTTTACCAGTGAATCCAAAACAACTTTAAAAACATTAAATTCAACTCGTTGGTCAGGAAGGATATTGTCTATTAGTGCTGTTAAACTTCGTTATCTTGATATTATTTAATCTTTAACAGAAATAGAGTTACAGTCTCATAAAAAAGAAGAAAGAGAAGAAGCTTCTTCCATTAAAAAACAAATGTGTTGCTTTGAATTTGTATTTATTTCAACAATGTGGTATAAAATCTTTACCTAGGTTAACTTCGCCTCAAAGGTCCTTTAAAAGAAAAATATTGATTTAAGTGAATCTGTGACTGTTTTAGAACAAGTAGAAAAGAACCTTACTGACTTAAGATCATCTTAGGAAATTTTAATGATTGAAGCTACGGAACTGGCTAACAAATGGAATATTCAACCGGAATTCAGGCAAAAACGTCAACCTAAAGTTAAAAAACACTTTGACGAACTCTTAAGTGATTAAAGATTTAATAATACTCAAATTTTATTTAAAATAAATGTTTTTAATGTTGTTATGAATCGTGTTCTGACACAGATTTCTAATAGATTTAGGAGCATGAAAAAAATTAATAAATTGTTTGATCTACTTCTTCCAAAAATTATATTAAGTTGCGATGAAACATCCATTAAAAATAAATGTACAGCCATTTATAACAAATATCCTGAAATATTTGATTTAAATTATTTAATATTTCAGTATACCAATTTGTTGAATGTTTGTAAAAGAGACCTTCAGAATGATCTATCAATTAAGGAATATTTCAATATAATTTTAAGCAAGTATGGGGTACTTGAAAGCGACTTAAGTGAAGTTTACTTAATGTTCCTTTTATTTTTACGTTACCTGTAACTACTGCATTTGTTGAAAGATCTTTTAACAAGCTAAAATTTGTAAAAAACTATCTTAGGTCTACTACAGGCCGGATTAGATTAAGCGATCTTTGCTCTCTATAAAGAATGAAGAAGCCCAAAATCTTGATATAAATGATATTATCAACGAATTTGCAAACAGAAAAGCAAGAAAAAGGGATTTTTAATTTTATTATTGTTCAATTTTTGACTTTTGTTATTTCATTATTTTAATTTGTGTTACTTTTTGTTTTTATGACAATAAACAATTTTTTTATTATAACATGATATTTTTTATTCTTAAACATACCTACTCATGAGGGCTCCCAAAAAATGTTTGCCCCGGAGCCCCATGACTTCTAGCTACGCCACTGCTTATTCTCAGGATTTCATGAAGATTGAACCTGGCCAAAAGATCGTCTTATCTTTTCGCAACCGCTGTAGTGATTTTGAAAAACTACAAAGCACTTTCAAATTAAATTGCAGATATTTTTTCAAGATGACGAATTACCCATGATTACATGATAAATGGTTCCCTTATTAAGCAGATAATACTTTTAGAAATGCCTTGATCGAATGATATGTAGAGTTGATAGGTAACTGTCCAATTACCAACTCAACGGTCTGGAAAATACGTAACACGGGATATTATCGATAGACCTGTTGATAAACCAGTTGTTAAATGCATACACGTTGTCTGGTGAGAAGACTTCACTTCAGAGTATATACTGATGGACAAATAGTTCCCAATCGATTGTCTAACCTCTAACAAATCATACACGAAAATGAAATGCTTGGCGATTGAAAATGAAAGAGGGGGGGTTTCTCCAGAAAAAGCCAAAAAATGTAACCTTTTACCCCATTGATTGATATATTCTACCTGAAGATAGAACTTGTGACAGCTATGTTTCTTCTTTCACAGTAATTAGAAATTTAGCTGTAAAAGGTTATTGATAGTGACTCCAAGATGGCGATGTATCCTACTATATACAGCATACACAGCGCCATCTATAAGACACTGATTTTTCAAAGTAGATTTCTAATTATATTGCAGAGATATCTCGGATAATGTTTTGGTTTAATATCTTCAAGTAAAATACCTGCGTTAATTAATGGTCGTAGTTATTTTAACGCTTTGTGCCTGATATTGAATCTGTGCGCGTAATTCACGAAATAAGCTGCAGAATTTGGCAGTGTTGCATTCAGAACCGCAATGTGAAGATTGAATGATATACTTACTATATATATATATATATATATATATATATATATATATATGTATATATACAGGTATATAACAAAACATTTCTTCGCATGATCATTTTCTCTTTGTAGATCCTTTGGGCTTAAAGTGACACAGCAAGTGGCTATAACCGACCGCGTGGTTGTGGTTAGATGTCGCCTTGAAAATTCGAGGTCATCTAGCCATTTTATACTACAATGTGTAGGTTGGCTCTTGTTGTGGAATTCGTGTGTGATTTATTTTTTTCCCTCTCCATTTTTGTTTCCTCAGGTTACACCCGTATCCCGATATATGGGCATATGTATCTACTTTTGTAGTTGCATATGTGCATTCATTTCGGGCCTGATGAAGCCAACCAGCAAAAATACGTACCGCTCGGGTTACCCATCCTATTTTCTGCTCGAATCCACTTTCCTTCTTTTTGCGCATTTTGCCAATTATTTTCCTATTTTTTGTTATATACATTTCTCCGCATGATCATTTTCTCTCTCTCTCTATATATATATACACCTAGATATATATATATATATATATATATATATATATATATAGGTGAAAAATTAAAGCTTCCGCCTTTTGTTGGGTACTTCGACAAAATTTAAGCAAAGATGACTCTTTATACTTTTTTTAATTCTCTCTAGCTTTCAATGGACTTTGCCATCATCATCAGGAGCTGCAATTACAATGATAACAGTAGCAACAAAAGTGTAAAATGAATTTAAATTGAATCAACTTACAGTAGTATGTGAGGATGTTGCTAATTGTTATATATATATATATATATATGAGAAGTAGTCATTGCCAAAGCCAACGACTAGTTGGGTACAAAATACAATTACTTGTTAGTTGGGAAATTGGCAAAACTTTTAGGCTAACGTTGACTCTTTAGACGATAAAATCAAGCTCTCGGCATTCTCTATGGAGCCATCATCAGGATTCTGAAAACACAATTGTGATGCTAGCAAAGAAGACAGATTTAAAATGTCAGACAACTTACTCGACGGTGAGGTTGCAGCCACAAGGTGTTTCAGAAAGAACGTAGATAAGATCGAACTTGTGTTCAGTATAAAAACAAAAGGACGGGGACGTTGGGCTTGTTAAAAAACGGCAGATACCTTTGTTAAAAGTTAAGAAAAATAAAAATTATATCAATAAACCCGAACAAGCTAAAAATATTGCACGTGGGGAGACATTT